TTAAAAGGTCAAAATAAAAAGTTGAGGGAGAAGAAAGTCAATATTTTCAGATTTATCGGAAAGAAATCAGTGCTGAGATATATGTGTAAGTAAATATTTACTTGGATGATGAAGGTCGATATCATTTCTATTGACTTAATTTGCCGGTAATTTTTATCACGCCTTTGGATGAAATTAATATTAAAAGGTTTTTATCGAGAAAATTAATAACTAAGAGTATTGCTTTGGTCTGTTCAATTAATGAACATGGTTGACTTTGTTTGTTTTCCATCTTCACTTGCAAATTATCTTTCAATTTAGGGTCTCGATCTCGAATCAATCCGTTATATGACTCCACCTGATCAATCCACAAATTCGCTCATACAAGAGTGTATTCGTATCAAACTTGAACAATTACGTTTAGCTAAAAATCAGTCGAATCTATCTTCATCCCAATCACCATGTCCATTCAATCTTCCAAACATCAATACTCGATCATCGTCTTCATCTACTCTAACGAATGCAGTCAAACCAACATCTCATTACTTTCTCATTTCAAAGCATTTCACACCGCCGACGAATATTATCCCATTAATTTACGATCAACAAGTTATGCTAGAATGTTTATACACAAAAGATTCAATCGCCTACGGAACTGTTCGGGTACACAATTGCGCGTATGATAAACGTATATTCGCACGTATAACAGAGAACGATTGGCAATCTTATCAAGACATTCAAGCATGGCATTCAATGAATTATCCAAATGACAACACAGATACATTTACATTTGAAATACGTCTAGGAAAATACAAAGATACCAACGAAGTACCAAAACAGATCTATTTCGCCGTTTGTTTACAAGCAATGTGTCGTGAATTTTGGGATAATAATCAAGGATGGAACTACATCTTAGGAGTTCTCGAAAGGTAAACATCTGCCATTACAGACATCGTTTCTCAGCTTAATTATCAAACAATCTATCTATATAAGAATTGACAAATCTAATTCATTTGTTTATATCTGATGAATATTTATGAGACTGGCATTTCTTCTTTCGTCTTTTGTAGTTACTAGAAAAATTCTATGTAAATCAAGCTTAAGTATCGCTGGAAAAGAATGTCCATCTGTATTTCCTATCTGAATCTTTCCGTTACGACAATCAAATATAACCGCGTTTTTGCATAGTACATCTGTCGATAGTCGGAATCTTGTGAATATCTCCCTTTGACATAGTTGATTGGTTTCATCTGGACATCTGTTCGTTTTGTTATCGACCATATAATCATAATTATTATTCCAAGTCAGTTCCTGTTTAAAATAGGTCATGCTTTTACATGCTCTCTCTCCGGCTGACTTTCTATTTTTAATTAAAATGGTCGCAAATAGGTTTAACAAGCAAATCTTCAGGAAGATTTCTAACGAGCTGACTTGAGGTGTTCATGTGAATAATACTCTAATGAATTAGAATTCATAGATGTTGACTGTGATGTATTTATCGAAGAAAAGTGAACACTTTTCAAATGTTTACAGTCTAAACGGAAGGAAAGTCTTTTCTCGAAAAAGAGATATAGTTATATGACTATTAGATTGACGCAAAGATGTCAAGCGACGTCGAACTATGAAATTATGAGAAATCTCTCCAGGGTAAAATGTTATTATTAGACTCTCTCGAGAATATATCTTTTGAAGAATGAAACATTTTCTATAGAGATCGCTTTTCCTGTTTTTCTGCCAAAATAAAGTACTTTGAGTATATCAAAGATGATGTAAAACTGTCACGTTTAATAAATCGAATCGCGAGACATTATTCTTTTAAATTTATGATTATTTTTATTGACATCAATATTAGACAATCAAAAGAGATATTCATCGGTGATATTCCCTGCTGTATTCGAACATTCTAAAAATTGATCGGATAAATTTAGTGAACGAGACCTTTTTCGGTCCTCGTGTGCTTCAATGATTGTATGCAATCCGTTGATTTATTAAATTAGCTTGTAAATATAAATACACGAGAAGCTGTATAGTTTTCTTGATGACCTATTGTTCGAAATAATGAAATAAACTTGACAAGTAAACAATTGCGTTCTTCACTCATTCTATTTGATCTTTTCTAGACGATGAAAAATCAATAGCAAATGATGGATACAATGCTCAAAAATGGAAATACACGTCAAACGTGCATGTGTTCTTCTTATCTATTTTTCTGTCTCTTGTCTTTTTTTACGTGGGTGATACATATGTCCTTTTTTTTTCCTTTCACTATTTTCGTCTTGTACATTCGTCTTGCGTTTCTTTTCTTTTGAACATACGACTCGTTTCTCTCTCTCTCTCTTTCTCTTTCTTTCTTTTTGATTAGTTACTTGTATGTGTCGATAAGTGAGATTGATTATTAAAGAAAAACCAATTACCACGACTCACAGCTAGCTCATCTTCTTTTTATCTTCTTAGCTGCAGTCTTCAGTGAGAAAATCGCTGAATAATGCGTAATACTTTAAGCACGCACGACCTCGTTAAATACATATCTGATTCTTTCTTTTTGATAACCATACTTGATCAAAAAGCAACTTTTGCCATTCATCGACTTGCACGTACACATAGATTTTCCTTGTTCGATCGAGCCATTTGTATATGAAGCGTACGTTCTTTCTTGGCATGCTTCTATACATTTGATCTTGTGATATTAATGACGAATGATTTCTTTTTTCTGCTCGATCTATAGAAACTGTCGATTATCACACATTAGTGATACAATAGGCATAAAATAAACGAAAGAATAAAGCGGTTTGATCATATAAAGGGAAAGAAGATTTGTTTTCGATGAATCATGGCAACACACAAATCGAATCACTTGATGATCATTTATTGTATGCATATTTTCTGGAAATGAGCCGAGAAGAAGACAAGCATAGAGTATTTACTCGATGAGATCGTTGTCTAATCTCGAATCGTTTGAAGAGCATATGAAAAGAATCGGCTCTGTATGTGATCTATTTTGGATAAATATTTTCCTTCACAACTGCATCTTTATGATACATTTCAAGTAATGTTGCTTGTCAATCATAGTAAGTTGATTAATTCTATTGTTGACAAGACAATGATAATTGAGATACACATACAGTAATATCAACATAAACTGAAAGGCTATTCAGATGAATGTGTTGATGGAAATGTGATACGTTCTGTTGAGAGATAAGTTTGAGAAAGATAACAGTACTGAAGGTAATTAGAGAAGAAAATCATTCCATTGATCGTAATGGATACAGAAACAGAATGGTTTGTTTCATGAGCATAGAGATTTGATGTGATCGTCTATCTGCTAGGGAAATTATGGACAAGCATGGAAGAGATTTCTTTGTGACTTTTTCTTTTATCAACAAACAGACGCTTTAGATGTGAGTACTTCATGCATCTTTTTTTATTAATTCTATCAAACACTTGAACATCTTCCAGGAAATCAGTTCGATTTTCAAGCTCGAGGCAATCTAGCTGATCTTGACATAACTGTGCGCATATTTATATATTGACTGACCTAAAGTAGGCTAAATCACAATCAATCGTCAAGAAAACGCCGACGTCAACATTTAGTTTGCTCGGATAGCAATATAAATAGAAATCTTGCCATCTACATATCTTTCTTTCTCTCTCTCTCTCTTCTTCTCTCGTTTTCTCTCTCATACGCTCTTTTCTTTCTTACGCGAGTTTTCTTTCTATCTGTTTCTTGTTCGTCTATGACTGGCGACTAGAGATATTCATTTCGGTTGTTAGAAAGTAATAAAAAAAAAAAGGAAAAGGAAGAGCTTGCATGTAGGAGTCTAATGGTACCGATGAGCGTGTGGCATTTCCGGTCGGTAGAATAGATTTCTACACGGATTTACGAGAACCTGAGAGACTTAGATCAACAGTCAATTAGATTACTTATTCAATGCCCAATCGTTGTTCTTGCTGGATGCAAGTTTATAAAACGGGTGATGACATTGTTAAGGAACTCGATGCTTGTTAGAATAGTAATAACAAGGTTTTTTTTCGTTTATCTTTAGAGGACATATGCTTCTATATATATATGACATGGATACTTAGAAAGGAAGTTCGTAGCTATAGAAGATTCAGTGTTTCCTTTATTTGCATTGTGTTGACATTTGATCCTTGTCTAACGAACATCAGATCAATGTCAGTTAGAATGACTAATTTAGGTATAATAATAATCGAAACATAGATAGTTCAAGTAATCCGTGCCAGGCACGATTCTCATCAAGATCGGGTAATGATATTCTTCTAAGCAGCTGCATTTTATCGCACAAACTAATAGGATAGATTGAAAGTGCACTATACATCAGTATAAATCTATATTCGTCTCGTTTTCTTCTTCGATTAATATTTCCTGTGTTGTTGTATACACGTACGTATCAACTCTAAAGCTTTATCGCGTGAGAGTATTCTTCTAATTGACATGTATGAAATAGTTACAGATCAGTCGTCGTAAGAAGATTATATGTGTCATCTCGAGTCAATACTTTACAGAACGAACTAATGATAGCGACTAGTATGAAGAAAACGAGAAAGAAGCCGACTGTGTTACTTTGCTTCTATGTCACTAGTTTTCAAGAATATATTCAACGTAAAAGAAAAAAAATCACATGTGGAGAAGTGAAATAAAAGATAACCAGTCGAACATGAATCGTTACTTGTTACATATTCCCATCATTTCGATGCATACAAAAATATACGAATCATCTCGCGATTGAGTTTACTATTCATATTTATGCCAATCAAAGTTTTTCCTTTGTTCTCTCCTTGAATTAGATTTGAGCAGCGAACTGCCGAGAGAAAAGTAAACTGCAAAGCGAGTTTAAATTTCCAGTTTGTGTATATTTACTCACCATCAATTGTTAATCAGATCGGCGATAGGAGCGCACAGGCTATAAAAACCTTTTCATGTTTTTTAGTCTTCTTTCGCAACTGGCAAACGCAAACAAGAAAGAGTAGACTTCTTTAATTGGAAAGCACTTTCAATAATCATGAATAATTCGTCGACATCGTCGACATCCCCTCTGTCTGAACAACGTCTTGTAGAATTCAAGCGCATCGTAGAAGGATATTTATTATCAATCGTATGTATATGCGGCTTATTAGGCAATGCATTAACATGTGTGATATTATCCAGCCGTGTGATGCGTACGTCAACGACGAATATCTATATCTTTGCATTATCATGCGCATCATCGTGTGTTCTCATTGGATTTTTATTAACTCACGGTATTCGTTCGACATTTCATGCTGAGACATTCTATCGACACATATTCACAACAATTTTTCCTATACATTTAACATGTTTATTGATTCAAATCTACTTGACAGCGACTGTTGCTGTTGACCGTTTTATCCTCATCTGCTTTCCATTTCGAGGCCAGAAATGGCGTAGTCCACGACATGCGATGTTTGTTGTTCTGGGTGTCTCCGTCTTTTGTATTATATACTGCGTGCCATTTTGGTTTGAATTTACTCTCGTTGTACGAAATAACACGAAAGTCATAGTCATGTCCAAGATAGGTGTGAATCCTTTATTTCGAGCACTGATGCGTAAATATCTTTACTTTGTATTTGTTTTCCTTATTCCATTATCGACGATTATTATATGTAAAACCATGATCATCAAAAAACTCTACACGGTTCGCCAACGTAAACGTTTGCTAGGAACATCATCGAAGCAGAACCGTTCATCCAACGCGATTAATTTCCTTCTATTATCAATTGTTTTTGTTTTTCTCGCCACACAATTACCGTACTTCGTTTTCAACGTGCTCTACGCATGGATCGGTCCGAGTTTAATGGCCAATTTACGTGCAAGACAATATCTAGCTATAAATAACCTTCTCTCTGTCATCAACGCATCATCGACATTCATACTCTACGCGTTCTTTGACCGAAAATTCCGACAAGTCGGTCAACATTTTCTATTGTGTCAACCATTATCACCTAGTTTTGATAATCAAGGTGGTGCCACGAGGATATTAACCTCGAATCGTAATCCAAGTTTTTTCTTCTCGAATAGCAAATCCTCCCGTTCATCGATACATCTCCTGAAAAACTACCGTTACTCTTCGACTGTAAATAATAATTTGAAAGATTTTAATAAAAATCAATTATTCGACAATAAAATGTCCTCGGCGAAGAGTGCTCCACTTTTCGAAGAGAATGAACAACGACCGACATACAACTGATCTTTACATTAGAAATTCTCGTTTCATGTATTTCTTCTTTGCTTTTCTTATTGATTGTTTTTCTTTTTCTTTTTGGTTATAAACATAATTGAATCTTCACCGTCAATTCACACCTTATACATTTATCAAACAAAGCACCATTCAACATGTCGCTTCTTCGATTAGTAAATGAGAAATGGAAGATCAACATGCCGAAAAAACCACTCCTCGAATCGAACCGACGTTTATTTGTTTCGACTTTTACTTAGTATCATGTCGGTTACAATGTTTTCATTCGTATAGGAAATCTATGCCAAATAATTCTCGTATGTTTTGATTAATCAACATCTAGAAATGTTCAGATGCATCATTATGTTGGAATTTCATGAAAATCAGCAGAATGTTCCATGACTCGATCGATATTCTCAGATTTTGTTGAACATTATTCTTAGAAATGTTATTTATAATCAATCATTTGCTGATCGGCGGAGATGAAAGTTAGTGAGAAATACTCGGATCAAAGCTCTTTACCAATAAAAGATAACAAAAGAGCTCTTTGATTTATTGTTTATGATTAATCAATCTTACGGTTAGGTGATGTTGACCTATATATACTTCAATAAATCTACTGAACAGATGTCGGATTATTAGAAATGAATGTGATCTCTCCCGCATAGATAATCTCCTTTCAAAAAACTATACTTACATCTTAACCAGCACATAATTATTCGAACGATGATTATTGTTTCAAAATTATATATATATACTCTTACTCAAGCCTGTTAAAAGCTGCTTTTTTCTCTCGTAATTGACAGTAAATGCTCTGTTGTTCAAAACATATAATTAATAAACACTTGATGAACTCAGACGACATCTATTAACGATCTTTTACCCTTTCAATTTGAAACGCAAGCAAATATTCGAGATGATCAATAGTCTGTCGGTTGTAAACAAAATCAGTGATTTGATCTGATGTGATTAGTTTCTTTTCCTCTGAACACCAGACTTCTGATATGATTAGACTGTCTCATTGTATCTATACGTTTGTTTTTTCAAACATACAACCAAATTTGCACACATTAGTACTTCATATATTGAAAAATTACTTTTTCCTTTCTTTCCGATATGAATTATCATGAAGGGATAATGACAACTAGTTCGAATATTTAGGAAAATATTCAACCATTTGTTTCTCCCTCGTAATCGAAAGCATTAGGCTCGTCTTTAGTTTCGTTGTCTTTTTCAACATGAGATCTATGCAAATAGTTAATCGAACCTAGTGTTCATTATTTTCTTCCTAAAATATTAAATTAAGAAGAAAATAATGCTTTCACTAAGACGAATTAGTTCAGTTCATTAATGAATGTTTTTCTCTCATACATTCACACGATTATTTGGGAAGCAATACGAGGTATGTGAACTAATCTCGCACAAAGAATACTTCATCTTTGGAATCGTGCCCTTCAGCGATCCAAGAGACGAGATAGATCGGTCTACCGAGAAACTTTCTCGTGTTCCAAAAGGAAAACGATGATTTCGTTCACTTTAACCTTCAAGCTTAATTATCAATAGTGCTGATGTTTTCATGCCCTAGAAAAATGTTAATACCATAATCGAAAGTGATTTCGAGAACTTTCATAATCACTTACGGATTCCACGATGGTCCTGTTATACACAGCTGCTCATACGAATGATCTTTGCCTAGTCATAGATCAAGGCTAACTAATAAAATAACGTGTCTTATCTAACGCATTGATCAATTATTCGGTGCACTTAAAAAATCTAGACCATGGGAAGTTTAACATGACAAATAATGTCATGTGTTCCTACTTTTCATTGCAGAAAGATAAGACAAATTTATGCTCAACAAACGACAGGATAGTTGTTGTCCAATTCAACTTCACATTAACTCCTTTTTCTCTGTCGTCTTGTATAGAAGATACGATAAGGACATAATAACAGATTTATCTTCGCGATCGTAATCTGAAGTTCAACACGAGTCTTGAATATCTGATCATGAATTGAACATTAAGTCAGCAAACTCTTCCACGCAATGGTGACTATTTTCAATTTTAGTCATTATTACTTGCTTTTCTGTTTACAGGAAGTAATGTTAAACAATTTATCCGACATGGCTATTTCGATTCCGTTCAATCTAATAGAATTATTTGTTGTATGTTCATAATGGCACAATGTTTGTCCTTTCTTGCTAAATTTGTTTTCCTCCATAATAGAATGAGTTCACTTAGTTCTGAATAATCGATAGCTCTTGCTCTTTCAGTGCATGAAAATGCGAAGTTGTTGTTTGACTTCTACCATTCGATGGGCACTGTATGACATTCAAGTGAAGATTCTCGCTTATCTGTAGAACAAGAGCTCTTGAAATAGAATAGACACTGCACGACATCCGAATGTTTATTTAATGAGTACGATGAACAACACGTAAATATAGTACAAAAACAAACAATTAATTTTTCTTGGCTACTTTTGTCTTCTTTTTCTGTATTTTCTCTTCGTCATCGTCGTCGTCATCACTTGAGACATCTCCAAGATCAATACCCAGGAAAAACGCCCCTGAAGCACCTTTTTCCTTCTTTGTTTTCTTATTTTTTAATTCACCATCTTCAAGTGCGTCTTCCGAATGGCGACGTTTTTTCGAAACAACTTCATCTGTATCACCGTCGTCATCATCATCATCGAGAGTACTAACAGCTGTTGTTGATTTCTTCTTTTTCTTCAACTTCTCAGCTTGGATTAATTCGACCGCGACCTGAACAGCTTCATCCATATCATTCGCGATTTGTTTCTTTTGTTCATCATAAGCAGCATCGGAGAACTTGTGTGGCGGTGGAACATTACGATAATCCGATTTTTCTTCGTTTGACGATGCTGATGCTTTGTTCTTTTGATCAGTTGATGACTTTTCTAATTGCTTTTGCATCCATTCCTAAATTAGAAAGACTTGCTTTATCAAACAAGAGGACAAGTTGACCCGAACGAGTGAGTAAAAAAAACAGGAAATCATCATTTTATAATAGGGATCTAAATAAATCACGTACACATCTCATTACTCCCACAACAACCATCAAGAAAGAGGAGATGAATTGAATGAAACATTGACGTACTTGCAATTTCTTTTCATTGTTTACATCTCTCATACGCCGACCATTCAAATCACGACACGCTTCCTTATTTTTCGAGATCAAAATTTGTTTACCAAAAGATCGCAATAAAGATCCAAAACCACCCTACAATAAAATCATTATGAAACAATCGATCAGAGGAATTTCACACTTGACTTACCTTTCCACCAAGGATTCGAGGCCAAATTTTATAAGTTTCATCTTCAATCAATTGACATTCGCTCGACAAATCGATCTTCTTTCCATTTTGTTCGATGAGAAACGCGTTCTCTCCTAATAAATCATTTAATTCTTCGACAAGTTCATTCAAGTAGGTGAATGAAGTCAGTTGAAGCTTGTCTTGATGTCCGATTTGGATGTACATCTAGAATAATACATAGAAAAATGAGAGTAACAAGAGAAAACATTTCATATTATCATCTGACAAACACGAAAAACAAACGAAACAACTGAAAAATATTTTAGAGATAGAACAAATTCTTGTAACGATCACATTTAGGTGAAGCACCAAGAGTTTCACCAACTAACGATGAAAGACGTTGAGCAAACTAAAAGAAACGAGTAGATTTCATCTTGACGAAAAGAAGACATTCGTACTCGACAAATCGATGGGACAAAAAAATGATTTCGTTGTGGAATGTTCACAGTCAAACAAAGTATCAAACGTTGAACTTTCTGTGCGGATAAATCGGTATTATCAAAAAGTACAAGAAATTGACGAGCTTGCAGCGTTGTTGACCGCTCACGATGAGATGATAAATAAAAACAATAACTTGGTCTAAACATATACACATTGATGAGATTTTCACGCTAAAAATCATCACTCACGATTCTTTTGCAATCAGACAATCGACATTTGGAACCTTTTTTGGCTGAAAAACGAAAAAGAATATACTCTATTTGATATTATTATGAGTTGAACATTACTTGAACATAATCGTAGGAATTATAAATCATTTGTTTCATAAATGTAAAGATGATCAATCGTGGTTTATATTGTCCTATGATATTCTCATCAGTAATCATGTTAATAATCGATTGAATCTCGTTTTCTTTTATCAAATTCAAATCATCGAACGTTGTATAAACATTTCGTCCGATAATAATCGTTGTTGGATAAGTTTTATTCTCCTAATAAATCATCGAGCTCCTTCATAATCGAAATTGAGAAGAGAAATTCCAACATACTTCATAATAAGCATTGATGGCTAATTGAACAACAAGTCCAATATCATTTCGAAGTTCATTTTCACTATTATACGATTTCGCATGGCTGAAGTATTCCGTCATATTGTAATTAATTGAACCAACAATCGACAGAACGTAATCAAGATGTTCGGATGATTTATAATTGACATTGAATGAAGTCCAAGTAGCGATACCAATGACCATAACATTTGGCTAAATGAAAAAACACGTGTAACGATCAGAATTGCAGAGTTACCCGATGAGATCTTACCATGGTGATATTTACAGCACGAATTTGTCCACCGAGTTTGAAATTAATGTCTCGAGCAATGTTCAATGCTACACCGGGGAGAATGTCATCGTCAGCTATTGTACCTCGAAGAACAATCTAGACAGGTATGTGTAGACTCATGTTTTCAATCAAATTCATAGACTTACTTCGCTCGGTGTTGGGATTTCGATACAACATATGCGTTTGATCATATTATAGCGATCGATTCGACGTGATTTCACGATCACTGATACAAGTTGTATCTAAATACAAAAGGAAGTTGAAAGATTCAACAATAGTTCGACATCTACTTGATCATTGAGATTCGCACGAAGAGCATTTGCATACGTCTCAGTTTCATCATCGTTCATCGTTACATGAATTGGTTGATTAATGAGCATACCTTGCTGTTGTCCAACTTGTCGCAGCATATTTACATAGACTAATGCTCGCTCTTCATCGACTTTAGGATAAACTAGCATCCAACAATTCAATTCGATCTAAAAAAATCATCCTAGGAAAAGAAAAAAATAGCTGCTTTCTGACATACCGAACTCACAAAATGTGCGTAGGAAGGTTCGTAATCAACAATGTCCTTCTCGTCGTTTTCTTCATCATTTTCATCCGATGAATCTCTATTAAGAAATTTCTAAAATCAAATGACAAATATGTCTTCCTTCAACTTGTTTCTCTTCGTCATTTACTTGACTTAAACTATCAATTGTCGACTGATTCGGAAGAATATTGGAAACAACATTGATTCCCCATAGAGCAAAATATTTGACTGTTGCAACATTGCGTCGAATCATATCGTCGAAAAACGAGATCTCGGCTTGACGTCGACTGGAATCCAACGGAATGAAACTATGCGTCTTTCGTGCCTAGCAAAAGAACATCACTTGATTTGCCATAAACGATTTCATTATTTTGCTTACCCGAGCATCTCGATGTGCTCGATCAGATAGACCAGTTAAATAGCACAACTCTGGAACAAGATAATTTACTTCTGTATTCACCTAAAACAACTGATAATTTCGCATTAAATCTCGAAGATATTGCATTTCTTACGTTTTCGCCAGGTCGTCGAGGACAATAAACGATCAATGGTTGATCAGGGTCTTTGATTGTTATATCAAATTTGTTTCTAAATAAGAAAATGAATAACAGTGCTGTTATGAACAATTGACTTACGAATAATAGTCGATTAACGTCGATTGTGATTCATCACTGAATGTAAATGTTGCTGGTGTTAAATTGAAGTCAATATTATCGATTCTTTGTGTTCGATTGTCATATCTTGTGAGTACAAGTTTATTTATTAATTCTGTACGAATCAATTCTTCGTATTCTCCACCCGATGTCGACATATAAAAACGTTCTCTGAACAAAACATTTTCGTTTGATTCGTTATCTTCCTTTTGTTAAGTTCACCTTACAATTCTTCGTAACATGTGTGTGTTGACTTTTGAACAAAATCAATCGTTAACAATAATCCATTCTCCTTATGTTCAATATTTACAATTTTACCATTCCAATACCGAACTCTAATGTTAGAACAAGAGGTTAACAAAGAAAGCAAAATGAATCGATTGTTTTACTTTTGACGGTAACCAGTTCGATTCGTGGAATTGAGAATCGATTCTCGACCATGATCGATCGCCCTAAACGCATTCCAATCGTGTTTTTTCTTGCTAGTTTCTAAACGATTAACTTACAATCGAAATAAGATATTGACCAGATCAACTGGTATTTGTTCGATGTCTATCGTATCCACAAATCGAATACGTACTTCATTTGGAATATTAGATGCTGTATTATTGAAAACAAAAACCTATTTCAAACAACGGTCTGTTGCGTTCTTCTCATCGAAAAGTTTGTTACTTCTTTGGATAATTGACGTGGAACATAAAGAAATTCGCCGTCGTATAGTTTATACAAGCCACCGACATGTTTCGATAGGTGATTAATCATAGTAAAACGAGTTGTTCGACTAGAGAGACTTGGTTGAAAGTCGATCGCATATTTATACCAAGGTGTCACTGCACAACGAATTAATAACTGATTTTCTGAACTAAGATCGAAATCTTCACTTTAGAGATTATGGAATCAGTCCCACTCACAGATCGCGACTGGAATTGAATGATGATGATTGTCTAAGAGAAAGAAATGTTAATTTATAAGTAGAAAACAAAGAAACCTACTTGATTTGACGTAGAATTTGAGCAGCGCGTCCACTCGCTACTTGAAGATCACTACTGACATTCATTGATGGCGGTGGTGGTGGACATGGATGGATCGAATTTTCCAGAATCGTTCTCACCAGATTTCCACGTCCAAACGTCCCTGAGATATTGCATTGACTCATTACTATTTTCGAACTAAATATAATGAATGACTTACAACATACTTTGGGAGAAAGCTCAATCCACCAATCAGAACGTCGTCGATAGTAGCGACATCTTCGATTGACTTCAATGAAAAGGTGCATTGCTAAGTGACAGACCTTCAAAATGGTTGATTAGATATTTATACATTTTGATTGTTTTCATCGTTGAAAAATGGCCGACGAACATAATGTCCCATTTCCACCTTTGCCATCGATGGTCATCGAGAAAGATGACGATTCTGCTAATGATGTTAAAGCTTCTAAACAAGAACATGAAACGAAGTTAGCTACTGTGAAAATGTTGTTAGAATCCATTGATCAAACGGTAACAGTAGCGTTCCCATTACACGCACCAGTTAATGAATTAATTACACATTTTGCCAAAGAATTGCGCATGTCAGTGAATGTTCTCCAAATTATTTTTAAAGGTTAGTTTAGTTTTACACTGAAAGTCAACTTTGTCTGAAACTCTCTTTCGATTAGATAAAGTTCTTGAGAATCAATTAACTCTTTCTCAAATCGATGTCGAACCCAACACAACAGTCAGCATGGGTTTGTTCAGAAGATTTAATTTTAAAATAAAACTGAGAATATCCTTTTAGAATTACATTCGAAAGATCCGATCAATCAACCACTGAGACGTTATAGACCACGTCAAGACATATCCATGCCTGATGTTATCACCGTGCGAATCGATGAAAGTAAAAGAGAAAAAGAATTCTATCAATTAGAAAATGAATTTCTCTATTAGATCCAAATATGACTCGTGATGTCGTTGTGGAAATCGAGCGTAATAATATTCGTAAACCATATTTGGGTGGCACACATCATCGAATAACTGGAAAAGAATATCATCATGCAAGTGCTCAAACTATTCCACCACAGAGACCAGACAAAGGCACAGTTCGTTATTGTCGAGATACTCAAACGATTGAATCTCGACATCGAGTTATTCAAACTACGAACGAACAATCGACACAAATGAGCAAACCGGGATACTACATTTCGACGGAAAACGATCGTTTATTAACACCAAAACCTTACCAAACGGCAGAAGAACGATTTGAAATTTTAACAAAGAAGGTAAAAAGAACCCTAACTCTTCATTCCCGTGTAAGAGAAAGTACAATTTTAGGCGACTATTATCCAAAAATACTTTCGTCGTTGGTTGGCCAAACGTGATGTGAACACACTGCGAGAAGCATTTCAAAAACGAGTTCAATATGAACTGGAACAAAAGCAAAAGCAAGCAGAAGAACGTCAACGACGATATCAAAATGATCTCGAACGGCGTTTACACCCGCGAACAAAAGATGATTTCGATGTACTGTACGCTGCACTCGAAAGTACAAAACTAATCTTGAATGGGTGAGAAAAGTAAATCTCGTTTTAATCTTTGTTTTGTAGAATGGCGTGAAGAAGAAATCGCGAAAATTAACGCAACAAAGCAAGGAGCTGGTATGTGATAGCTTGAATGTGTGAATATCGGAATTGATAATTGGACTTTTTTTGTAGCTCGAAAAGCGGCATTAGCATTGCTTGTTGATGAAGAGACAGAGCTATTAGCGACGATTGATCGGTATAAAAGTGAAGCATCTAGACATAATAAGGAAGCGAATATTCAACGATTTCTCGAACGTGTTGCCCAGCCGAAAAAATGGAAATATAAAGATGGAACCACTACTGAAATGGAGTAAGTTGTTTTGTTGATTGGATACGATTCGAGTTGTTGAACTCTAGTACGCCTTACTCGATTCGTGCACGTGAATTAATGCAGATTTACAATACGGTCACAATGAAATTCTTAACTCTTGATGAACGATTAGATATCCTACTTACGTTGAAACATACTGTCAAAGTAGAGTAGATTTTCGGTCTTTTGCATAGAGCAAAGTGAATCTCGGTTTAGGAACATGACAGTCGTCTTACTCAAGAGATTATTCAATTGATCGATCGTGAAGCTGATCTTCTCATGCGTGGAACAAAAGAAGAGAACCTAAGCGGCCTTCGTGAACGAATCTCAACGTTATTTCTTCAATATATTAAAACACCAACATTCAATCCAGGTGTTGTTCGACATCTCAAAGTAATACCGGCCTAATTTATCAATCGCATACAAGTTCCTTGACTATTTCCTCTTAGGTACCACAAGATCCAGTTACCGCTGCACAATACAAGACATTCTATTGTCGTAGTTGCCAAAAATACTATCCTTCAACAGAATTTTCAGTTAGCAGTACAAATGCTAAGATTGGCAAATGTCGACAATGTCTTCGCCTGGAAAACATTGCCAACAAACGCTCTGATCAAACGAAAATCAAGTATGCGACATTGAACGTTGGTTTTTTGTCATTATTCAATGAATATTTTCAAATAGATATCTTCTTAAAAAGATCGAAAAAGACGAATGTGGTTATAATGACGGAGCTCATTGTATATTTTTACTAACGGTCAATGATATGGAATACATGTTCAAAAATATCTGGGATAGTCATTCGGTTTTGAGTGAAGAATCGGATATTTATACGTTAACATTCGTTCGATGGAATCGACATGAAGAATTCACACCTTGGAATTGTATTCTACTGACAGTTGAAGAAGCAAATGCGCATATGAAACTCGATGATCCTGAAACGGTATGTCAATATTCAATTTTCATCATTAACAAAGCTCTTTTCTTTAACGTAGAGTTATAGCGAACCATTTTGTAAAAAGATTCGTTACAAACACGCGATTTCTCGCAATCATTTCACGAAACTTGTTGAACATATGAAAAAGCAACAGCAACAAATTCATGAATCCAAAGATATGACAATAACAGCGGTTAAAGTTGGCCGACAACGTGGGACACCAACAGCGATGGCCAATGCATGAGTCTAGACAAATAAATGGACAAGATCTTTTTCGTTTTGCTTCAAACGTCTTCAGAAATCTTTCATCTTGTCTTTTTATTATTTTTTTCTATTCACATTAAATCCGTCGTGACTTAAGTTCAATAGAATTTCTCGATTTCCAAACATATTTGTTTATTTTCCCATGTAGAAACACTTCAGAATGGATGAACAAAACTCGAGAACGAAAAAACTGCAACTATTTGATGAGTTATGTCACAGTAAAAAAACTGTAAGATACGCTTTCTCATTTGATTTCTCATTTCACTTCTCTATAGGAAAATTTTCCAATGACAGATCCACTACTTCTCGAAAACACCGAAATTCTTCCGGACAGCTTTGATGACTTTTACAACGTAGGTAATCTCATCGATCATTTCATCAAATATTCCAATGATCTCTCGTCTTTCATAGGAGTTTTCGGATATGTTTAAAACCAATCTAACTAACTTGCAACCATTGGAAGATCGGATTAGAGAATGTGAAGCGATTGTCAACGAATATGTCAATGTGTTTTTTCAACAAGAAAATGATTTGTTTATTCCGATGAAACCAGTCGCTCGTTCGTTTGATTTGACTTTCGAAGGTAGGAATACAAAAACTGATTGAATATCTTTCGATTGAATGTATTTGCATTATAGAATTAGAGAATGTCGATCCCGGTAGTGAATTAGGTGTAGTTCTTAAACGAAGACGACAGATTCATGCGAGTTTCTCAGTTCGTGATAATGAAAACGATCGTGAAACAGTTGAAAATATTTGTTACAAGCCATTTCAACTCGATTTTTACAACGATCGGGTATTCAGTGTAGTTGTTGATGTACTGGAGATTTTGAATAAAGTCTCACTGGTACAAAAATTCAAGGTTGGAGCTTTCTTCATGCAAAGTACACGAATGCCTTTTTGTTGATTTAGGAGAATTTTCTCTTTTGTTGGAATCGAATTGTTCGAAGTGAAATGAGTCAACACATACTTCTTGATACGTTTTGGTGGATTTATTTGCGATATTTTGCAGTATGATGGAATTATTTGCGAGATAATCAATGAATACGAAGTTTACTTGTAGAAACCAACGAATGCTGATGAAGAATGCGAGAAATATTTCACGCGTATAGCGAAAAATTACGTTCAATTACTACTGTCGGTTGATTCGTGGTTTCGAGATAAATTTTTCAATGTTCGTTTTTTTCTCACTTTCATTAAGTTCGCCATAACTACATTTGCTTATTCAAGATCTATGGTTCGTATTTATCTCAAGCTGTCTACCAAATGTACTTCGACGTTTGTCCCGATTCACGAATGAATTTCACGGATCAATTCAAGGAATTCATCGCTAGTACCATTTCTGAATGGGCATCAGGTATAATTCGTTTTGACGAAGAACGATAACAAGTTGAAGGTGTTTAGGATCTCAAGCAACTCCAGAGACGTATAAACGCTGGAAAATTCGTGCAGATGCAACAATGTTAACAAGCGACAATGCAGCTCGACAGAATTCTTCCCCAGCTGAAAGTTCGTATCTTTTCAAAACTTGGCAGTTTACATTTCATTATTTGTTTAGTTTTTAAGAAAATTCGTCGACTTGAAGAAGAACTGGACACGCTAGGTGGAGAAAGTGGAGAGGAGACTGCTCGATCAGCAGTCGTACGAACACCGAAAAGAGTATGTCTCTTGTCATGAAAGACAAATATCATCTTTTGCTTATCGTTCATATTCTAGAATGTCTCGATTGACTTTAGTAATCGAGTTGAACTTGAAAATGAATTGGTTGACCTGAGCAATCAAAGTACATTAGTAGCTTGGTTTTTTCAACAATGTGATATTCAACCGAATACTCCACGCCTGAGAAATATTGAACGAACAAATATAAAAGGATGGCCAACAGAGCACTGATTTCACTACTGTTTATAAAAATAGACTGTGTAATGAATTTTTCTTCAACTGCCACCAGGCCTCTATGTGAATATATTTTATCCTTTCGGCGTATTCAGTAATCCGAGACATAAATACAATTAATTCTCAGAGCAATTTTTTATATTAAACGGCAATCTTGTTTTGTAAAAACAGTCTCTCTCGGCTTAGTGTCTCTTGAAATTCAACATACCATCACAAATTTACAGCATGGAAATTAAATTGTGTCGCATACACGTTACTTCTGAGATAGTGGATCAGCCATAGTAAGAAGGTAGATTTCTAATTTAGCAGAGTTCACCGATGCATAAATGTTAACGAAGTCGAATAAATAGAATTGTCTCTTTGTGACCTATCAACAGGTTCTCCGCTTTTTCTATCTGACATTTTCACATCCATCATGTGAACTACCTCATAGCAGGTAATCCAAAACTGAATTCTTCGAAATAGTCGAGTGAGCAGATAGAACATATAGCTAAAATCATGTTTTATTACTAATGAAAAACAGAACAGGTGGCAAGACGCTTCCATAGCTCTGATGATCAAAACTGCTCATAATGACAGGACTCCATTCTATCAGAAAATTATTATATTAGTTCTTTTTTTTATGTATGATTATTTAATTAGATCGGCCGATATTTAAAGAATAATTGAAGAATCAAACAAAATAAGACAACCTACACTTTTTCATCATTTCAAAGCAAGACTGCTTCATTGCAACTCAGTGCACATTAACTTCAATGTCGAATTCATCAAGTATCTTTTCCTATCAGTGGATCAGTCAATCTATGACGATCTACTTCGGATTTTTTACGTTAATCACTGGCTTCTTCGGTGGTCTTCTAAACATTTTGGTTTTTACAACATTGAAAACATTTCGATCAACTCCGTGTGTGTTTTATCTGACCACGGCTTCAGCTGTGGATGTTGCTCAATTGTTAACTTCGTTATTAATTCGAATACTTTCCTACGGTTTTTACATTGACCCAACACGAGTATCCTGGTTTTGTAAGCTTCGAATGTTTACCGTGCAATACTCCGCTTTGATTTCTTTAACTTGTATGTCGTTAGCAATAGTGGATCAGTTTGTGTCAATGATACATCAACGGTTGAGTAGTCTACAATTAGCTCATCGACATGTTTTCATCAGTTGTATTATTGTTCTCATTCACGGAATTCCCTTTTTGCTTTATTTTGATTCGGTAGATGGCTTATGTCAAATAGTTGACTCGAGCTTTGCTAAATACTTTTCGTTTTTTTATCTCCCTTTCCTGCTCGGTTTTCTGCCGCTTATTATCATGATTACCTTTGCTTCACTAGCATTTTTTACTAGCCGCACCCACGCCAATCGCAATCGGCATATTGAAGTTTCAAGTCGGAATCGACAATTATCAGCGATGGTATTAGTTCAAGCGATTTTCATTGTTCTACTGACAGTACCGTATTTAATTGTGACTATTTATGCATTAACTGTAGATTCACCTCAACAAGATCCGGTGTTACACGCGCGAAATAACATGATTCAGTCGGTAACAATTTTATTTTATTATGAAAGCTATGCAGTAAGTTAAATGTTGACGACGAAAGTATATTTCAATGATGATTTTAGACGCCGTTCTATGTTTTCTACGCGGTTTCGAGACGATTCCGTAAACAAGTTGGTTATGTCTTGTTTGATATACATTTCAAACGATTTCAACAAGCGACAAATAATCTCAACAATAATCAAGTTGTACCGAACACAGAAATAGATTGAATAAGTATCAATAATCAGCATCACTAACATGACAGTACTTCATTGTACTTATGTTGTTCGTTCCGTCTTTTTATCTGTTTCGTTAAATATATGAGTGTTGTTATGCCTATATATTTTGGAAGTGCCGATTTTTTATAGAGCGATGAACAAAAATGGATCAAATATTGTTCATAAATTATTTTTATGCCAGTTTTCTTCTTTTTCAAATGCTATTTATATCTCGTAGAAAGTTCTATATGACACGGATTCATTATGAACACTTCGCCTAGTTTCAATGATTTCAAAATCAATATGTTCCCTTTTGATAGAAGCATCTCAGTTTATATTTCCCTTCATACACAGCTCGAGATGCAAGAAGCCGCTTTCAGATAACTTTTTACAGTCATTTTTTCAACCTCAATTAAGTATTTTGAAAACTATACATTCTTCAGTGTAACATTTAAAGCCTCTGAAAGAAGTGTATGGTGATTACTCTGATGAATAGCCATCGTGAATTCAAAAAACAATTTTAAGGGATACCAGTAGCCGGAATAGATATGAGAAAGACGCATTTGAATCGCATAATATTCATTACATCAGATTTCCTACAATTGTTGAGTTTAACATTAGCTGTGGAAGCATTGGATGGATTTATGAGTAGCTTGGTATGCTAAATATTAATCAATACTTTGTCTTCTTATTTGCACAAGACTTTTGTAGATTCCGTACGTATATTGCACGCTTAAACTATTATATTTTGCATAATCTACCTTTCAGTCTAGAGAATCAACGTTAACAAGACGATTAATTTGCCTTCGGATATGAATGAATATATAACGAGAAAATCTTCGCAGGCGGCATGTTCTCTCCTCAATAATCTCCATATCGTTTCGGGTGAGGTCACTGAACTGGTAAGGAATCGATAAGACTTCTGTCAAAGGTTCCTGCTTCAAAACCATGTCAGTAAAAGTCGTATAAACCATACACTATCCAAGTAACATTATGTGAAAAGACCGAATATAGTATCTATTATCTCAAGCGTGACTTTAGAATCTGAAATATATATATATAAATTCTTGAAAATCAACAGGGAACCACTTGAAATTTCTTCAATTCTTAAAAGTGTTCAAAATAGCTTCATCAGACTATATGAAATCCTTTCTTTTAATCTTTCAGTCACTATGAGACTATTTCATGAAAGAATTAATATGTTTGTTGTGATATCGCGACTGAAAATATATCTGGAGGCAAATCCTGTCACTACAGGCTATTTTGATTAAAACATTCCAGCACTCATAATAAACATTGGACTTTCTCGGCTCTGAGAGAAGGAACAGGAAAGTACACAAGATCTACCATACAAGAGTAGTTTTATCAAACAGAGAATTGCACTTTTGATTGAGATGGGAATACAACGAAAATCATCCATGAGAATCGACCTTTGATAGAAGAAGGTGTCGACGACCCTATTTTATTTTAAAAAAGCATCAAATTCACTTTAGCATAGCGAACAGATTATGTGCTGTGGTTTTATTGTCATTCATTTATAGAAGCGTATTTGACTTTGATGGAACGTCCGTCGAATCAAACAGGAATTAACGCCATCTACTAGCAGCGCTATTTTCTTATTTTTTTAATAGTAGATTTTGTTTAAATAGGTCAAAATCGACACAAACCTCATACATAAAATATATTCTAATGCTCGCCTATAGAGAGACCATAGACAAATTTCCATTCGTTGATTTCCTTATACAAAGTGTCAATGAATGAATCAGTTACTACTATTCAATTGTCACGTCACTCTGTGCATGAATTTAGTTATTTGATATCGTGGATCATGGCGTCAAACTCGTATGTAAATACTTTCTTGTTTTCTCTAATCAACCTTCCGACTATTCTTTTTCGAAAGATCGACTTGCCTTCGACCACTTGATCGCAATGAAACAGCTTGTCTTCAGAAAGGTTACAAACCAATTCGTCTTGTCTACACTGAACAACCCCTAACTGCACGTATACTTATCGATGGTTCGAAAGTATGTTCTATCGAGTTTGTTACTACTATTCCCATCTATAAATATTTCTATTAGACATTACCAATTGACGATCTCATTCGTGAATTTTTCTCATTACATCGAATGCTCTTATCGAAAACCAACGTTGACGATATTGATATCTGTCTTATTCCACATTGTGATACTCGCGAAATAACTTTAAACCAATTAACGAAACTCAATGGTCATCAAGAACCAGTTTTGCTTTTAACTGCACGTTCGAATAGCGAATATTTACTTGTGCGTGATCTCGAAGAATTAACATTTCGTCAACAGACTGGTTTAAATGTTGATATATCTGTTCTAAATGACATTAAGCAAGAAAATGAACGTTTACGCGAAGAAAATCAGTTACAACAAGAACGTATTGTTGAATTAGAAAAACAGCTAACTGACTTTATTGTTATTCGTGATGGAATGAGACAACTGTGTAAAGAATATAAGAAAGATTTGAAAAGAACTGAAGATAGAACCGAGGAGTTTTACAAGAAATTTGATTGTCTCGATCAAAAACTTAGTAAACAGTTCTCCGATGAACAAACTGTTCAGTTATCAACGCGACTAAAAAGTGAATAAAAACCATCCTCGTATTTTCTGTTTTCATTTTTTTAGATATCATTCTTTTTCTACCAAATAAATCTTTATTTGTCGATGTAAGTTCAATATTTTTTCCTCATACAAACTCATTTTCTCTTCTAGACTGTATATCGATAGTTGATAATTCACTCGCGATACCGTTCAATCACAATTGGCATCTGTTGAAACTGACATGCTGTTATTCAATCTAATCTCCGGAGTATTTTGTCAGTCATTGTCGGGAATATTTCGACTTTGAACTGCAAGACAAGCATATCAAATACGACTTACACATTATTCCACTGATTAAAGTTCATTTATCGAAGTAATATTCAGGATAATGAAAAAACTGTGGAACAAAGTCTTTTTTGTTCTCTTTCAACGGGTTCAATAGCTCATCAATGGTAAAACTCTTTAATGTAACAGGATTGTGATGTATTACGTCATGAAGTCAACTGTTTGTTATCATTGAGTGATTTATAAACCATACTAAGGTGCATGAACGTCAGAGTTTTTTTCTTAGGAAAAAAAAGAACAAGATCTTCTGATTAAAAAAGCAAGTTTGACGTAATCCAAACTGTTGAATAATGCCATTAATTATGTGAAGTGTTTTTTTTATTCATGTCTCTTCTTTTGAAATGATCAAGTTTCAAAACGCACCGACGCTCAATCATGAACTGGCATACAGATGTGAATTTGACAAAAAAATTGTGTCATGATATGATGTTAGCTGTTGACTTAGCTATAAAAATTACAAGGACAATGAATCAGCAAGAATGAACATTAATGTCAAGTAAAGTTTTGTATGAGGATAACAAGCACCGGTTTGATTGATTATATGATGACTTTTTTTTTCGGTGTATATGTATATGTTTTTTGAAGTGTAAGAAAAAAAGTGATTTTTTTCAATCTATAGAAGAGTAACGAACGGGAATGAAGAGAAATCAGTATAACATAAAAGAAAATATTTGTCAAGTAAATAAAGAAAAAAAATTGGAGAAAATTCATTTTTATAATCTCGATCTCTTGTATTACTTGTCATTATTTAACAATAATGACCTTGTCGGGTTTTTTTCAAGTATGCAGTAGTTGAATAGGATCAACCGGCAGCCAAATGTGTCTGTCTGTGTGTGCAACATGATTTTAACATGAGGGAATGTCTCTTCTGCACTTGGTCGTTATTGTCGACATTTTAATCCATAAATGATATAACTATTCAGCTTGTCCGTCTGTTGACCGATAGTGACAGTCGACACTTTGCATGTCTCTGTCTAGCTTTTGCTATCGTCATCACCGTCTTTTTTATCGTTCAATGGATCAGACTACTATAAAAAGGAAGAGAATCAGACAAAAAGAGAGAGAGAGAGAGGGGGAGAATATCGTTCTTCTCTTCCTTCTCTTTCCCTACTAGAAACAGGTATAGTAGGTAAGAATAGACATCACTGAATATACAATAATAAAAAAAGACTGCATGAGCGTTGTCGTCTCTCATTCTTCGTGGTAGTTGAAGCCACGCGAGCGCTCTCTCTCTCTTTCTCTGTATTTCTCTCCTTTTCTTCTATTGAATTTCTTGTGTAAAAGGATCCAGTAATAATGGTTTCACGTCTGTTCTTTGATGTACACACTCACATATGTACGCACACATCTATATGTAGAGCACAGACCTATTAACTAGACGTGTAAGTACGCGGTACTACCATCGTTACGAATAATCTATAATTATAAAATCGTACTAGATGCGTATGATCGATGTACCTGTACATTGTACACAAATGCATCTTATGAATATGTTTGGATAACAGCGCATACAAAGCAATATTTGATTACTATTCTTTGAGTGATTCGTGTTCAACAGACACTAGTATTCAACACTTTGCCATTTCGATACTTATTGTCAAATCACTTGTCGTTGTTGTAGAATAAGTGAGTTATAGGTGTTCCCTTTTTTTTCAATATATTGCTATACGTTATTGAAAGAACGTATATACATCAGTAGATTGAACTTCTCTCTTCACTTCTCCTTCTTCTTCTGTATTAAACCTACCCTTCAGCCCACATAGTAAATTATGCCGATTCACTGTTAACAAGAGAAAGAATCGGCCAAATACATATTACATCAACTAGAACACACGTACAATAGGCATAGATGTTATTCTTAGAAAAAGAATGCTTATAATTAGCTCCGAGTTCAATGGCGAGTTGCATGTAATGAACAACATTTTCTAGGTTTTTTTTTTCTAGAATGCACCTTCCTTCTTCCCTACGTGATCGTTCATTCTATGCCAAATTTTACAGTCGTCATCCATCTGAAATCGAAATCATCGACAAAACACAACCACCATCATCTGCTCTACGAACATTATCCCAAAGTCCAACAACAATTATACCAATATTGTCAGATGTGACATCCAGTCATACTTCAGGCTTTTTCTCATCCTCAGATTGTTCATCATCAGAGTCGACTAGTTCACATACGAGACGTCGACGGACAACTGCACCCACCATACAGGAACGTTTAAATACATATGAATCTGCATGCATTCGTCCGAATCTACCGTTACCATCATCACCGTCGAGCAAACAGACAACTCCATCAATTCCGAACCTCTCATCTCCATCTCTAGTCAATCCAATTAACTCTCAACAAACAAAAAATCCAATGAATTTAACCAAGAATGATCCATCTAAATCTAATGTACCTGTACAAGACAATTCATCATCATCATCATCATCATACTCATCATTGTCACCATCGTATTCGATTGTCAAGAATAAAACAACATCATTAGATTCATCTAAACGATATCTATCAAAATCGACAAGTCAACTCTGTGACCAATCATTAAATCATATTAAAGACGATCAGGGATCTTCATCTTCATCGTCGAGGAATATTCTCGATGTAATACAAGAAGAACTAGTACGTCTAAACAACCTTATATGATACCTCATGTGTTTGTTATTCTGTTCTTTTCTAGTCAGAAATTCGTCGCGCTGATCATGATTTGAAAAAAATGTTTCTTTCAATTTACGGTAAAATTCAGAATATTCAACAGATCAAGTCCAATCCAGTATATCCCCAAAAAGGTCAACGCTATCATTATCTGCGTTCTGAACGACCTTCACGTTTAATCACACATTGCTGCTATTCGAGTAACAGTGATATTCGTCGATCAAGTTGTACTCACCTTAATCGAAAATATGCACTTCATTCCGCTGTTGTACTACGGAATCGTATGAGCAATTCGCGCGTCACATCAACAGCAGACAACGACAGTTATGTCGATACAGATTCCTTGTCTTCCTCGTCTGATAGTGGGACATGTAACTCATCCGTCGATAATGTACCTTGTGGTGATGCATGAGAGAAAATTTTTATTGTTTCCTTTTTTTTTATAAATTAAAAAGAAATACAGAGTAAATTAGTACATGTATATATAAATAACATTAATCTGTGGATGTTTTTTCGAATGTCATACGAATATGTACATCGCCACGGCTGCCAAATCCGAGAAAACCTGGTAGTTTAACCCAATCGTCAAAACGTCCTTTTTTAATAACATCATCGAGATCGATTTTCGTTGAACCGATTAAATCAGGTTTTTTGCCTACATCTTCATCATATACATCTATATGAACATATTCATTACTTGGCCATGTATTACTAAATAAAACTATGAAATTTGAATAAAAAAGCTTTCATTACTTACAATTCAAATGTTTCATTCCACACGGGTCGTTCGACATCTTTTAATACTTTAGTTTGATGCTTAGTTTTTTCATCGATATAAACTACCACATATGCATCATTAAAATCTGTTTTATCTTTATCAGCCAGTTTGGCTGCTTCGACTATGGTCACGCGAAGTCGTCCTTGAGCCATCGAAATCTTACGTCGATTTTCGTTTTTGTCAGAAAAGTGCAAAAAAACAAAAGAAAAAATGGTCTGTAAGTAAAATTCAGCTATTATTTATATGACGAGGATAACGTCTATGCATGCGTAACGTCATTTATTTATTGTTTCTATACTATTACGATGAGAGACGAAAATAGCTACGAGTCAGGTGCTTAAAATCCAAATGTTTGGTGTTTTTCGTGTACAGATGTCGGTGATGAATAGAAGAATACAGAACGAGCTGCAGAGAGTACACAGAAAATGATTTAAACTTGTTTTTGTTTTAAATTCAACGAGTAGAACTCGATGAGGACATGTCTTTCGGACGAATTAACAGCCGATGTTGAGTACTAAATTGAAATTTCGATAAGTACTTCTTTTCGGTCAATATTTCTTCTGTCAACATGTTGGTAATCTCTTGTTTTTTGTCTTCATATTCCATTGTTTCTCTTACACGTCGTTGACATTGTTTTTGCTCGGCCTATTGGTAAATCGAATATGAATTCATCTAGTATCACACTGTCTATTGATTTATTACTAATACTTGATTGAATGCTTTGATATTATTGCTTAACTGGCGTCGTCGCTTCATTTGTATGGCTTCGAGAGTTTTCAAATGATCGACGACCGCCAGCTGATTGTAATCATATGCTCTATCAGTCATGCGTTGTTCTTCGATTTCAAGACATTTCTGGCGACACTAAACAAACGAGATATCCGCTGACTCGATAATAATTGTTTGTACACCACCTGTTCAACAATCCATCGAGTCATCTGATTCTTTTGTTTTCTTTCACGATCGGGTTTATTTCGGTCTTCGCCATCAAAATATAAACAACTACTATTTATTGATTGAGTTATGTCATTTAGATTTAAATCGGATTCTCGAGCATCAGTTGCTTGTTGATATTTCGCTCGAAATACATTTAAATCTTCTGCTAGACGACGACGATCATGCTCTTGACGATTTGAAAGCAACTGAACAATAGCATCGTGTTTAGTTTGATCACAAGCTCAAACAAACATCATAAATACAAATACATAATCAATGTCTATGTACCATAAGCATTAGATAACGTTTGTTCATGTTTGTTGCGCAGATTTTTATCATGAATTTGTTGTGCGAGCGTGGCTTGATCAATCTATAAGATATGCAGATTATGAAATTGGCATCAACTATTGTCATACAGATGAATGTTTTGATTTCAGCTTTGCTTCTTTAGACTTTTGTAAATACCGCCAACGTTCAATTACGCCATGTTCTTTGATATCCAATTCAGTTAATAAATTCGTCGTAGTCATCAACATAAACGGAGGGAAATCTAATTAGATTGATTTCATCATTATGATCTGGTTAGACAGTCTACCTAATGATTGGTGGATACCATATCAATCAACGACAAAGTTTTCGACTGAATGCATTCGAGAAGTAACTATTGAATTGTTATTTGCTGTTCGAAATCTCATCATTGATACACGAACATACGCACGTGCTTGTAAACGTGATTGTCTTCGAGTAAATGACTTTGAGAATGCACTCGAGAATCGAAATATTCGTCATTCATCACTTGAAAACCTTGAAAACGATATGCAAGAGAAGAAATCTTGTGTCATTTCTATATCATCGTTGATTCAATCGAATGATCAACTACCACGAACGATTAAGAAACTTCAATTGACAATGCACTGGTTAGCAATCGATGGACAACAACCGATAACTTCAGAAAACCCATTACCCAATTTTTCTCAAGGTCATTCAAATCATCGGCAACGCGAGAAAAAGACGTTATCAACTGAGCTCAGCGAACAATCTCCTATGATACAACAACTTTTTCATTTAGCGAGTTCAACTCAAATAAAGTAATTGATTCGCTCCGTATTAACTTTTCCGACTGATTTTCATACTGTTTCAGCCGCAAAGACTTACATGAACATGTTCATCCGTTAACTAAGAATAATCTAACTATTAAACCAATTTGTCCTCTCAATTTATCTGCACGTCGTCTACCAATTAACAACCAAACACCAACGATACCATCATTTTCATCATTACTTGGCCATGAATTAAGTCTTGAGCAGCAATTCTATTTTAAAATGCTGACTGAATCATATTTAAATGGCACTGATCAACAACAATCCAATACAGTCCGTTGTCTTTCATCTGATGCTGCTCTTCAGCCACTTTTACCACGGTTACTCCTATTCATCTCTAAAGGTATCGAAACAAATGTTCATTTACATGATTTCGATTTTCTCTCTCGACTTTTATCACTATTAATGAATCTTCTAAACAATCGATTTCTTTCATTCGATAAATATCTTCATACAATCCTTCCGTCGTTATTAACTTGTCTTATTTGCATTTTTGAGACACCAAAGCTTGATATGACATCATCTATCAATGATTCAATTAGTCACTCTATGATCTGGACTATCCGAGAACAAGCCAGTAATTTAATTCATCATTTTCAACAGAAATATTCCTTTGTATCTTGTCTTACCGATCGGATTACTTCTGTTATTAAATCCTTGTTTATTAATAACGATGAGCGAATATCATTTTCAATTGTTTATGCATGTTGTCGGACACTATTATTGATTGATATGGAACAGTATCATTCCTTTATTATTGATACCTTACGAAATGGCAGGAAGATGTATACGTTCGAATCTGATTGTGATTTGGATTATACCAGTCAAGAAAGAATATTTCGAGAGAAAATCAATGAATTACTTGTGAAATATAATTTGAATTTAGAAAATGACTGATTGATTTTGCTTTGAAAAAGAAAGACAGAAAGAATACAATACAATACTTCTCCTTTCAACAGACTGAAAAGTCAACAAAATTAGTACAAAAGACACATCAGGAACCTTCTTCGCTTCTATGAAATACAACAAAGAACGAATTTAGTTGATACTTGGCAAGATGAAGCTCGTGTTTTATTTGTTCACTGTTCCTTGAATACTTTAAATAAAAATACAGACAATCTCTCTCTAGTTTCAATACGACATACGATGTCCAAGAACAAACCCAAGTAAAGCGACGAAAAGAATAATAAACGCTGCGAAGAATAAATTCGGTCCATGATGAAAATGTTTGTGATATGTAAGTATGGATTCACGTTGTGCGCCGATTGCTTTCAAATACGATGGGTCGTCCGGTGGAATTGTTACAAAAACCATCGGATCTTGTTTGGCTGTGTTGTTTGCTAAATTCTGCGATGGAACCATTCCGATTAAAATATTCTTCGTCGAATGTGCTGGTGGGTGAAACCATTGAAGAAGTACAACCATAATCAATATGATAGCGATTGATAGAACAAGAATATTAACAGATCGAGCGACAAATTGATATTCTTTCTTTGCCATGCCTGAATATTCGAGATAGGTTTGACCGATGATCAGAATAATGAACATGAATAAGGAAATAATCAAACAAAGGACAGCACCAGTTGGAATTAGTTTGAAAAGACATGAAAAAGCTCGTTCGGAGTGTAATAATGAATGGCATTCGAATGTATTTCCATATCGAATGCACCACGCCGAGAGTGAACCACCGACAATGATTAAAACAAGTGAAACGGCTACAAGACCAGCTAGAACTATGAGGTGATAATGAGTGAAACACTCTCGTGGACGTAGACTCATGTCTAATCTCAATCTGAGTTGATTAATCCTTGTTTTCTGCTCTTTTATGCAAGTACTTGCTGATTAGACAAGAAAAAACAGAAGTCAGACGTGATGGAATGTTTAATAAAACACTGGTCTTCGTAACGCACATTCACCGGTCATGTAGGAGTGAAAATTAGTTTATTTATATTATTTTCTTACATATGGCATGTCGATGATTAATATCTTTACAAGTATAGACATGATAGATCGTTCGACTTGTCAGTAAGAAACTATTTATTTAAAAAGAAGAAGAGAGAAAAAAAGATAAACTTGCTCAGGTTTACTATATTCAAAAGATCAAGTAAAAATAATTGTTCATCTACGTGTATTGTTGATTTTTTAATCGATATGGATTTGTTGGCGTGGAATTATAAGTGATTTAGACTCGTTTCATCATTGATATTCATTAACATTGTCGAGAGAAGAATCGATTGAAAGAATGATACATGATCTTGATATTGTTGTGGGCGAATTTCATTCGTGTCTTCTTTATTTACATCATGATCATTTCGTAGGATTCTGAAAGAAAAACAAGCGAAGAATAGACGACAGGGAGAGTGTTTGGTTTGGTTTGAAAAATTAGAAAGACGTACTTGCCGAGCAGCGATCGAGGATCATACTCTCGATAAGACTGTTGGGAGTTTTTTGATAAAGTATTGATTAGATTACTATTCATTGTTGCTGTTGGATCGTGAGGAATAGCTCCATTTAAGAAATTCGGATTGTTATGCGTTGGTTGCATGGCGGGAAAATGCTGTTGCCATAGCTGATAATCATAACCCGATGGATGTGTAATAATGACCGGTTGCGACGATAAGGACTGTTGTTGAGCGTGACTAGATCGCTTTTGTTTCGCGTTTAGTAGAGTTGATCTAGGATAGGAAGAGAAAATGTGTTGATTTAGGAAAGATTTGAACGAATGGATGATGTGAAGTATACTTGATTTGAACCATTGATTCATTATTTTCGATTTGTTGTTGCATACGTGCGAAATCAGCTGAGGCTACTGTCGACGATGGAACATGAACAGGAATTGGTGGTCCAAAAAGAAATTGACCGTTGGATGAAGTAATCGATGGAGTAGACGACGATGGTTGATTATTCACAAGTCGAGAAACGAATTCTACATGAAATGAAATCAATAGTTTGATTTCACTCTTCAATCAATCGTTCTATCGCTTACCAAGCATTGGGTCTTGAGAGAAGAAGAGAGCGGCATATTGATCACTTAATGCTGTATTTTGATTGCTAGTACCATTCGGTGTGTCATGTGGATTACGAAGTGATGCACTGGAAGCAAATCCTGTGGTTGTACGTGGTAGAGCACCATACGGATAATGATTAAAATAGCCTAAAATGTGACGAATTTACTGAGAAGTTTAGTATTGCTTCGAGTCACGGTTTTTTTTCACCTCGTAGACCTGCTCTTGAACCTCGCAATGCGGTTTGTCTTGAAAGTGGACGTCGTTGTGCGTTAGTATTTCCACTAAAGGCCGCCGTATAAGCGTTTCTAGCGGCTGCTAACGATGAGGCATGGGCAAGTCTTTGACGAGCAGCTTCTTGGCGTCGATGTTCCTCTTCAATGAATGCTCGATGGTCAGAATCGTATAAAGATGGCTCTTCTTCTTCTTCCTCTTCATTATCTTCATCCGAGTCTTCCTTCGAAAGAAAGTCAATCGTTATTGACGTCAATTCATAATCTGCCAAATTACTTCTTCATTTTCGCAACGCCGAGATTGAGTTGCGGCCGATGAAGGTGTCACATCTTCATCACCACCGCCGTCATGGACTGTAGCAATATGATCCGCAAGAAGAACAAACCGCGCTCGATTACCGTGCGATGGTGATGTCACACAGATTGGGCACATCTAAGATGAAAATAACCGTAGAACGTCTATGAAACAACACTTATTGATGAGTAAAAAAATGTAAATCCTATTCTCCTCTGTGGAATAGCTTAATTTAGAGAATTCTTCTGTTTTGAATACACCACTAACAAATGCCTCTGTTTTTATCCGAAAGAAAATGAAGGTCTTACATACAACAACTTGGGTATTTTTGTTTTGCACAGATGTTGATGAATGTTTTTCCACGCAATGTGTGAGTAATGTTCGTGGAATAAAACCGGACAATCCACAATGTGGACATGTCAATGATACTGCTGTACGACGGGGCGTGGATTCGCCAGAATAGAACAACTCTACGAGAAAAGTTTATCAAAATCTATCAGCTAAACGATAATCTATTTAACAAACCAGCTGCTGCTTCAGTTAGTATACATTGCATCGGATGAGTATTTTTATGGTTTTGACTTTCCGCTTCCAAATCATAGCACGCTCCACAAAGATCATAGTTTTCACATAATAAACATTTGTAACGTCGACCGGGAAAATTCGTTCTCATGCAAGCATCACATGAAACACCTGAAACGAGAAATTCAATCGTAAAAGAAGAAAGTTCTTTCCAAGTCTTCCATACCACTATGCGAAGTCATTCGTTTATTATTTTTTTCTCTGTTTGATGATCTAGAAATACATTGAAGATAAATATTACGAAAAGAAAAAGAAGACAGCGAAACAAACGACAACGATAAATATTTATTGCGAAAAAATAGAATGATAAGTAACGTTAAATGGACTAGATCAAGATTTTTATAAACGGAAATGAATGAATGATAACGATAAATAAATATATTGGTTTCAAACATGTTCATAGTCATTGTCATTCCTACGATTTGCTGTTCCTGAGCCATCAGCCAGAAATGATTCTAAATCGTCTTCGTCGTTATGTTCAATAGTCGATTCGATTGCCGGAGTAATAGCTGTTTTCGTAGATGAAGCTTTCTTTTTCTTTTTTATTTTTGTAGTGTCGGTTGTAGAGCTTGATTCTTCCTAGGAAAGACGATCAATAGGAAAACTTGGTGATTATTTTATCAACAAAGTTTACTTTTTTCGATTTCGTTGTCGTCTTCTTTTTCTTCGGTTTCGTAGCACTTGCATCACTGTGAATACTTTGGGAATCTGGAAGACAGTCAAGAGGTTTAGCAAAAAAAAGTGACAGAAATCGAGTCATACCTGGTGTTGGTGTATCATTGGTCAAGTGTTTGGGTTTTGACGAAGATAATTGATCGAGAAAATCGAGATCATCGGATGATATTTGATGATAGATAGGTGGTGGAGGAGGTGATGCTTGTAGAGATGTTGGATTAGAGACCTACAATTTAGTTCGATCATATGTTTTCAAACATAAATTACACTTACGGGCTCAATTGTTGGCGATGAGGGTTCGAAATCATAAGATTCATTAGTTCTGCAATAGTCCATAAATAGTTATTTATTCTTTTGAAGACAAGTAGCTTACATAACAGGTTGCTGATGTTGCTCATCGTCGGAATCTAATTGTTCGCGGAAACCTTTTACCATTGGATTGACGGACAGTTCATTTTCACTGAAAGAGCTCTTCTTTTTTTTATAGGTAAACTACTGAAGCTACACTTACTCATCCGTAGTCGATAGTTTTGTTGCCGTTGACCGATTAAATGGATCAGCTGATAAATGCTGTTGCGGAGAGACATTATCATCAACAAGAAATGTTTCGTAATCGTTATCATCAGGTACAAAATCATCAACAGTAGATGCCACCAATGGATTCGATGATGGATGTGGTTCAGAGTATTCATCGGATGGTAGATGTTGTTTTTCCATACTGTTATTGGTTGATTCATCATGAATAGGTGATTTTGGTACAACTAAAATCTTAAATGAGCTTTTCTCTTAGTCAGACATGTTTAATTTACCTTGTTGAACGATTGGTTGTACAGCAACCACAGGCGGTTTCTGCTTAGTAGTTAATGTCGGTTTAATCGGATCTACGGGCGTTTCCGTCGTCTTTTTAATAGCCTGTACAATTGTATTCAACGGTTTGGATGTAAATTGTTGCTGTTGTAATTGCTCGGCTAATAGTGCCGCTTGAACGGCTTCATCGTGAATACGTTTAGCTTCTTCTAACGGTTTCGCTTTAGCTACGACATCGCCAGCAAGCGCTTCTTGTTTTGTTCGACGCTTATTAGCGAGTGTCTCGATGAATAGATTGTAATCATTTTCTGAACTGCGTGAGTATGCATCGATTTCTTCGATGGATGCGTCCATATCACGTGCATTGATTTGTAATTGTTGGAGCAAACATTCGCGCTGTAATTGTAAAAATGGAATATTTAAAAATTGATGAATATATTGAAGACCAAAGCCATTTCGCAGTGAACTTTCACAATAACGAACAACAGAACCCATCGTCCCCCTTGAAAATCAAATCAGTGTCAACCTCTTTCTACGATCAATCAGATTTTACCTATCGAGATGTTCAATAAAACTTAAACATTTATCAGTGGACACTTTCCGATGATGACCCATATCCAATTGATTTCCAATAATCAGAACTGGAATGTGTGCTGGAACTTTCACAATTTCTCTCTCAATGTAATCCCATGTCCACGGTTTCGTTATATCGTAGACCATTAGAACTCCTGCAGTACTTTTATAAACGTCAAGAAATTCCGCGTCGAGCGATACTTCCGCGACAGCAGCATCGATTGAATTAGATAGTTTAAGCGAAGGATTGATGGGACGTCGTTTCTTTCGCGATTTATCGACCACATCCCAAACTTCAACTTTGATAATTGCATCGCCACAAACGCGTGACGACCAATTAATAGTTGCAACACGAATTTCGTCTGAGGGAACATAATCTTCAATGAATGGTGTACCTTGTAAACGTGACCATAATACTGATTTGCCTGTATTACACTCACCGCGTATGACTAGTTTCACTGGAAAGAGAAAATAGAAAAATATTTGATTCTAAACTAAGAAAAACATGTCCTTGAGTACAATCGCTACTTACTGTTATACTGAACTCCACGCGCGTATCTCTTTTGTAGTCCTTGACTGAGTGGTTTGAAATTTTCATTGGATTTCGACGGGGATATCGTCGATTGTGATCCGTTAGCATTTGTAGATAGATGATTAGTATGTGCAAGATTCTCTGGGATAGCTTGATTTGTTTCGTTAGTTGCTGTTGCTGTTCCAGAAGTTGAGGATGAATCGTTCGTTGTAATTAAACGTTTCAATGCTTGAACAAAAGACATCTAGAGAAAGAAAAGGCCGTAAAGATTAGGGAGAAGTTTTCTATTTGACGAACAATTATCGGTTTGGTTAGTTTGGCTTATTTGGTGTTTTCTTTTCTCATCTAGCGAAAAGACTAGAGGGACCGAGAGGTGATCAACGTTGACAATGAATCATAACATATATAGCAAAAAACCATATAATAAAAACGAACATAGATGGAGATAGTTGCCAATGCATACAACCTTGTCGTATAAATGTTTTTTTTCTTTTATTTGTGAACTTTTATTTTGAAATCTATAGGAAAAGAAAAAAAATCCAAAAAAAGATTTTTTCTTTCATTAAAAAACAAAAACAAGAAAAGTCAAGTCTTTATGCTCTTTGTCTATGATGTACATCATAGGGTGAACGGTGATGATACAAAGACATGTGAGGCACTGGATTTCGTCGTATATGGTGATAGTGAGGTTTTCTATGTACAATCGCTGGTGCTGCGAGTGCCTGTGACGGCGCAAATGATGATGAATATGGATCTTGACCTAGGACACGTTGAACACCATCCGAAAGTTTAATGAGCATATGCTGACCATATGTCATCGGTTCCACAGCAGATCTCATCATTGGTAAAGGAATCATTCGTTGTTGTTGCTGATATAGTTCATAGTTTCTCAATTGTGACCAGAAGCCAACATTAGGCAAAGCTATCTGTCGTCTCTGTTTGACCAAAGTATATGCATCCGATAATGATAAACGATAATGTTTAATTAAATACGCTAAGATAAACGTGATCGATCGTGAACGTCCATGATGACAGTAGATAAGTGTTCGTCGATTTGCTGCTGTATTTGCAGCAATACGATCGGCAACGACATCAAAGTATTGATTAGCTGGAAATGCTGGCAGGTCCAAAATAGGAAATTTCAACGATTCGATGCCACTTTGAGGAGGAAATACAATCTGAGGAAGTTCATCTGCTACATTGATAACACAACCGATGCCATTGGAAAATATCGTAGGAAATTGCCGAGCTGTTTCTTCCGCAGTAACAAATACAAATGGAGTTATTTGCGAAAGGGTATAATCGACCATAACTGGTACTAAACTTACATTTGATGCATTCGATACAAATGAATTGTCTCGAGTCAACGTCATATTGAAAGCAAGTCTAGATACGCAAATACTAGTAATGAATGTATATTAAAGAAAGTCAGAACAATTTTGATGATACTATTGGCGTGATTTATTTTTCAATTTATGAAGGACATCAGAGGGAAGGAAGAGCAATTTTACAGGTGAATGCTGTTTACCTTTCAGTTTTCTTCTTTACAGTTTGTCATAATTATTTTTATTCTTGCTTAGATTCATCATCCGTGCTATCTTATCAGTTGAGTGTATGTACATCTGTCATCTATTCACCCAATCATATATTCCATACTAATGATCAATTATTTACATATAACTAGATATGCTACGCAGGTATTTCAAAAATGTGATTCGGAAAAATGTTTCACCGCACCGAGAAATACGACAGGCATGAAAATAATCATGTTTATGCCTGTCAACAAACGTAGATTATCAGTTATATATGCTAATGATTTATTTTCAATTACGTCTTTTTTCGTTCGATTACTGTACGAGAAACGTATACAAATGAATCATGTCGAATTTGATTGAAATAGATGACAATCAGTACCTTCACTTTTGCGACCATGATAATAAACATTCGATGCGTCTTTCGCATACCCATTGCCTAACGTCGTAAACGTTGATGACATTAATCCAGCCATTTTGACACCTTCGTAATAAACATGATAAGCATCTTTGGCGTATCCATCTTTGAGCGTTTCGAACGAATGCGAATGTGCACCATCGATCACATGGCCGGCATAGTAGACTCGGAAAGGATCACGAGCATATCCGAAGTCGAGATCTTCAAATGCCATGGCGATCATCGAATCGATCCGTTGTCCGCGATAATAAACGTGAATTCCATCACTGACATAACCCGATCGATCCTGAAACATGCTTTTCACTTCTAATCGAATTCAAATGCAAACAAAGAACTTCGCTTTCTCTTTCGATGAATTTCTCAGCATAAACAGCGAAAATGTTTGTATTAGGAAAGCTAAAAAACATTTCAGATGACGTGTCATGCAAGCAAAACTAAATCGATATTGAATGAAAAATATATGTAATTGTAATAGTACAAATCGATCATAATAAAACTAATAAACGCAAATGAGCATCTTCAGGTAAAATAATTGCCATTGATCAATAAAAAAACCATCGCTTTCTTAGCAAGTACTTTTGATTTGTTATGCGAAAGTGTATTGTTCATTGGCAGAGAAGAGAACGATATGTGGAACTAATTTCTTTTTTTTATTTATTTACATAATTTATCTGTCTTTTTTTTTCTTTATATGTCCAAAATAGAGACGAAAAGTGTTTTCAAACGCACCAGAGAGAAACAACAAAAAACAAACGGTAACGACATAAAAAATAGGCTGTATTAGTATTGATAAAAGTTTTTTTTTTCTTCTCTCATTTTTTCAAATGATTCGCGACCTGTGTTTTTCTAGTGTATTGTCGAACAATAAAACAGAAAAACATAATAAGAGGAATAAAATAATAGGAATAAGAAAACAAACAAAAGAAAAATTCTCTTTTTTTTAAATAATAATATCAAGAAGAAGATGATGACATGTACATATACATACAAATAAATAATACAGAAGTCGTGTGTGTTTCATTTCGAATCGATCAATGATTTTTCAGCATGTCTGTACAATCACAACAGTTGATAGACGATGAGGAAAATAAATCAAATACTGGCTAAAACTATCTGGATCAGGAATGATCATATGACCGGATATTCTATAGATAATTACTTGAACTTCTTGACTAGTTATCCTGTTGTTGTTGTTGCTGTTCTTGTTGTTGTTTTTCTTGTTCTTGTTGTGATTGTATGGATTTTTTCGCTGGAGTATGTAAAGTTTTCCATTCGTCCCATTCGTTGTGATAAATCACGTCGATGGTTATGGAATTTGGTACAGTGACTTCAGCAGTTGTTGTTTCACCATTAAGATTATAATTGTTATTGTATTCATCATATAAACGGTAATAATAATCCGTTGCGAGTTGGGTTATCAATGTCAACGTTAGATTCCGTTCATGTGCCATTAAACAAACTGTACTACGTTCGATAATTAAACGTAGTTGTAACAAGTAACGATATTTCGCTGAATCATTATTGGAGAAATGTGAAGAGAGAAAAGCTAATAATTTATATTCTTGTTCACTTATATCAGCATAATCAATGAAGAATCTTGAACACATTAACTTTTCCAATTGCCATGACGCAATGCCATTATCATATGGACGATAACCTCGTGTTAACAGAAGACAATATTTCAATAATCCTCCACCACAGATACGTTCCGGTGATGTTGTGGCAATCAATCGTCGATTCAGATGGGTTAGAGCACTTTCGAAACTTCCATAAACACATTCGACTGATATGGATGGTAAACGATGTATTGATGAATAACGATTATTCTTCGATGAACGATGATCTAGAGAGAAAACATCATTTCATTTATTTGAAGTGCGTTTTAATATGCAATTGATCTTATTCATCGCGTGGGTTTTTATTAGTTACATGTATATATCCCTTTTTTTATCTGTAGTTCTACACTGATTAAGGCTCTTCTATTCGCCCACTCAACTCTTTTTTTGCCGCACGCGATCTGAATACAAAAACACAAGCAAGTCTCTCGTCTATACTTTGATTGATAAGTAAAAAAGAGCACACGATTCAGGACGGAAAAGAATCACATCAGTAAACTACAGCTGCCGTTCGTTTTTTTTTCTTCTCAAGACCAGCTGATACTTACCATAGGATTGTTTGGAATGATAATTATATTGATTGTAATATAGTTGCTTTTTATTCGATGTTTGTTGATATTTCGATATCTGTTCATAATGATCAAGCAGTGGATCGAGAAGAATTTGAAACGAATCCACACTGAATTGAAATTGTCTTTTCAGCCGATCGACAAATTTCAACTCGATATTTTGTCCATTGACATTACACAACGACATCAGAGCCCAGGAATCGTTCGTCGATGGATTACTGACACGCACAACTTTTTCTACATATGCTGCTTGAATAATAATTGGAGAAAATGATAATTGAGTCGATGAATTTGTCGAAGATATATGTCGCGCTAAACATTCACAGACAGTTGTTTTGATTTGTGTCCATGTTGATTCAGATGATAAATCACAACGAAATATGAAGTCAATATCAGAATAGGAGAAAGATTTATCGTGTGTTAAGACATAGGAAGCGGCACCTAAACGAACGAACAGAATTATCTTTGATGTTTTGTTTTTTTGTTCGTTAGTTCATACCTCCATTGAGACGCACATCTTTGATGTCGATCTGATTTACATGAAATGCTTGTCGTAGTTCGATTAGGAAATCTTTTGAAACGATATTTAATGTTGGAAAGTTTCCTTGACCATGAATTTCAATGGGATTTTCAAGTAACGAACATAATTTATTTACATGACGATTTTGTAATGTTGAAAAACATGAACGTTTATTAGTATTATTTGATCCGTTGTTTGATTTATTAGTCGAATTTGTTGACTCAGATGCCGAATGATATTTCGAATCTTTTTTCATCTTTTTCTCGGAATATTGTGCTTGTTGTTGTGCTGGTTGGTAGTGATGCTGCGATTCACTGTGAACGGAGTTGGTTTCATCACAATTAACTAACGATGCATAACTGGATGCTGCGGAAAGCGATGATAGGGGAGTTTGATCGAGCGAAGACGATAATGAAGAAGTCATTGAATAAGAATCATCAGTAGAACTCATTCGTTGTATCTGAAAAATAGAAGAATTACGAAAGAAACTGACTGCTTGTTGATCTGCAATAATAGAGTGATAGACTGAACGTTGCTAAATGAAAAAACGGTGCTCAGACCGGCCTACGAGTAATAATCGAATGTAGGCGAATGAAGGAAAGAAAGATGGAAGGAGAGAGAAAGAAAAGTAGAAAAGAACTAGCTCGATTAATCTCGTCTTTTCTCGTTCTCTTACAGTTTTTTCTCTTTCTCTTAGTTCTTTCTTTTTATGTATGCGTTTCTGTTTTTCTATATGGTACGGCAACGCGCCCACGTTCTTTGTCATTATCTTTCTGCAATAACGTTGTTAATAACGGAGAACGTGAAGGGAAGAACGAGAGGGAAAAAAGGTCATCAATAAAAAATAGCGTTTCTACTAGTATTCTATCTATTCTTCGCTTTCGTTAGCGAGCTTCAATAGGAAAGCCGAAGAACAAGTTGCTGCCATTGTCGTCATCACTATCGAACAACACAATTGTCATTCTATGTTCGCACAAAAGATTTCTCGTCATATATGCGTAGGTTGGCACAAAAACGTGCTTATGTGTGCAAGAGCGCTCATATATACAGAAAGATTTCCGTCTGACGTTCTTTCGGTTGAACGCTAAAAGAAAGAAACTAAAGCATAGTAGCACAACGTTCGAATTAGGCAATAGGCATTGAGTCAACAAATTCGACTAATAAATCAAACAACGGATCAAATAATACTAATAAACGTTCATGTTTTTCAACATTACAAAATCGTCATGTAAATAAATTATGTTCGTTGCTTGAAAATCCCATTGAAATTCATGGTCAAGGAAACTTTCCAACATTGAATATCGTTTCAAAAGATTTCNTTTTTCTCTTTCTCTCTTCTTTTCAATACCTCCGTTCTATATAGGCATATAAATATATAGATTCTCGATGCATTTGCTACCGGAAACAATGAAGCGACACGTAATTGAAAAGTTATAACGCATGTCAAGAAAAGAAACAGAAAAATGAATAAAATAGGGGAAAAAGAGTAAGCTATGAACAGCATTACAATTGAGAATCGTAATAGAAATGCTAGTGCAATAGAAAAGATGAAAAAGAAGAAGAAGACAAGGCGGTTTTCATTAATATATTCATGTATAAAATTATGACGACATGCCTGCTGACAATTTATTCTGTTATTGTTATTCTCGAGATGCATTTAGTGCGAGTGACGGCTCTTCAAGGTGATTTATTTTTCGGAACGACATCCGTACAAAATTGATGGCAATAATTAACAGAATAAGTCAAAAGGAAGGACGAAATAACATGCGAGAATCAACTAGTTAAGAGCAGGCAAACGAAGATCGAACATTCCCACTGGGAACAAGTGTATACTTTCTTACAAAACCTTTTTGCTTAATAAATATATATCTCGAGATATACACAACGCGCATTTCATGTTATCATCGTGTTCTATATATATCCATATGGATATATAGGACACGTTTTATAATCTAACCGAGTTTTTTTTTCTTATATAAATGTTGTCAATGCAGATATATTTAATAATCATATGTTTTCCGAATGTGTCGCTAAATCGATTAATGCGGAGAAAAGAACTAACTGTCTGTCTGCACGCTGTCAGTAGTTAAATCAGAATCGTTATGTTTGAATAAACGACCTAAGAGTCCAGAGGTCAGAACATTAGGAACAAAGTTTTCCTGAAATTGGATTAATCTTCAATTGGATACAATTTTCGGCAAAATAGAACGCGTAGACATTTGTATTGAGAAGAATTACACTTCAATATTAATTCATATGAAATCAAGTACTGAATAGAAGTTTTTTTTCATGTGTAAATCCTTTATTTCGCAATGTGTACGATCAGTGCATTACTATTTGACCTTCGACGAAATCTCCTGCTTGGATATACCCAATTTATGATATAATCAAATAAATAAATGTATTGCGTTTCTTAACATTTTCAAAGCTGTGAGATAAGAACAAAACGCGTCAAAAATGACTCTTTTCATTACATTTTCATCATATGAACTGAATATTTACCATGTGTTATCATGTTCTCATGACATATAGTTCATTTGAATTATTGATCTCGTCCATCCATGACAGAACTGTCTGTATTAATAGAATATTTACTGTTTTAAGAATGTATGGCGTCACATGAGGAATGTTCGTAGGAAAAAGAATTTATTAAATATTCAACAATGAGTTTTACTTTGAAAAAAAAGATATATAAAGTAATACGTCATTCTGCTATTTTATAAATGAAGAGGAAAGAATGTTAACAATATCTGTGAGTTTGTTTATATCAGGTAGATCGTGGCATTTTATCAAGTATTAACAGTTTTGCTCGTGGAGACGATTTCAATTATTAATCATTGATCTATATGTGTGACAATTGAGTAGATAAAGATTGAATGTGTGTTACTCTAGGAAAAGGTTCTGATATGTTCGAGATTGATTTTTTAAACGTTTAAGTTTTCATACGGGAACTTACTCGTTCGATAGTACGATTAGAAAGAGGTAAGAAGTAATCGAGTTTCTATTGTTGAAATTGAAGAACAACGATAAAAACCAAGGATTATTAATAGTCGTGATGAAAGGAACCGTGAAAGTCTTTTCGAGAGAATAGGTTTTCTTCATAAGATTACAAAGAAAAATTAATGATTAATTTTCTTCCAAGAAGTGCAAGATTCGATCTGCAAAGAACAAGAAATTGAATTAAACTGTACGCCATCTGTTGCTTGAGAAGTTCTCCCTTTATTTGTAAACATCACTACAAGACAAGTAATATCACGGCTTGCCCTGATTGCTCTCTCGTGTTCTTCTAAACTTTTGTTATCGATAACACAGTAGTATGTAGTAGAACTATGATAAAAATCATGATAAGATTATGAGTGACATTCAAAAGAGGAACTCCTACTGGCACAAGGTATGATTTTTATAAGAGGTCATTTGTATTTGGCAACAATAATATTTCAATAAAGCCTTTCAGTCAAGTTCAATTATACTACAGAGACAAGTTCTTTCTGAAAGGCGTGTCCGACATGAGAAAATACGAAAATCATATTTGGTAATCTATTCATCAATTTTGAAAACAAAGTATCCCCCCATACACGCAAATAGATTCATATTTCATTGAATTAGATATGGCTTTATCAAGGAAATATACTTTACTGGTCATTGAAGGTTGAAAGTAAAGATACATTTCTTGAATACGCCGTCCACTTAAAAAATATTGTGTTGTCGAAATTTACAGAGTATGAGCAGAGTCACGAGACATAAGAGTTTTGAAAAAAGCCACTTTACGAAGTTATTTTCAACAACGAAAATATAAACAATTTCGATATTCATCAAATATTTCTTTAAACTCTAAATAGCGTTAGCTACTTTCATATGAATATGGGACTATGTTGCGACTACGCTTGTTGCTGTTGTTGTTTGATTTTTTCTTGACTGATTAAGTGGTGCTGAACATGGGTGGGCAAGCCTGGATTAAGATTAAGTACGAATGGTAACATAACTTTAGGAGTTTCATGAATATCAATCATGATTTTGAGAAACATTGTATCGTCACGAACATAGGGATTATCATCCTGTTGAATCATTGGCAATGGAAAGAATTTCGGAATTCCGCTTGCAATATTATTCTCATTGACTGGTCTTTGAAAAGAACTCGACTTGACATCAGGTCGAAAAGAATCGATAATATGTCGTCCAGCACCTGTTTGATCAAATAAACAGAATGTAACTTTGTGTGAAAATGGCCAAGCTAACAGTGGATCGTATTCTCCTTTCACTAGAAGAAAGAACAAAGACATATGGGTACGTCGTGCATTTCCATCACCATGTAAATATAGACGAGCACGCATTTTATAACCATGAGGTGAAGAGTAGAACATGGGAGAGAAGATACTTGGTTGTCTTTCTGACTGTGCATCAGCCATCTTTTCAGCCACACGCTCGATTCGCCACGTCAATGTTCCGTCTGTCGCTATCTGTTGATTTTCTTCAAGATTTTGTCTGATTTGTTCAATGTCTTTTTGAATGGCATCTTGCTTCGGCTGCAGATTGGACATGATAATATTTCTTTCTGTACATGCTGCTTGCAAATAAGTCACTTCTTGACTGGCAACTTGATGAAGTTCATTTAATTTAACAAAATCTTGACTTAATTTGATGGTATCGTCATTTAGTTGTTGTACTTTATCAGCTAATTCAGATAGTTTCTCCGATGTTTGTTTCTCTTGTTCGTTATAAGCAGATGTTGTGTCCATATCTTGTTCTTGATCATGCGTTTCTGGAGCATTGTACTTTCCAATAAGAGCTAAAGCAAGCGCCTCTTGATGTTTCTCAGAAAGTAAATGTGCATCGAATTCGTCATTTCGAATCTACATTCATGAAAATGGAAAAAGAATTCATACAAGTGTTTATGTACTTACCATGTCAGTGCCGCAGTATGGAGCTAAAGGGCATCTTTGAAATAGACTTGGACATGATTTTTCACGATGTTCTTTTAATGCTAAGACGGAAGAAAATGATTCCTTGCATTCATCACAGGTAAAGTGAATATGATTTGCATCCAAATGTTCCTACACAGATACACAACAACATTCCTGACGAAAGTTCTTTTTTACACGAACCTGATACGTATACAACGCTCCCGTCCACAAGCAACTGTGCTGATCACTTTTGTGTATACACGTCACTTCCAATTTATCGAGCTCTCGTTTAAACGCGCGATCATTCATAGTCTTTTAAGTAAAAATAAACGTTGGGAGATTGTTATTCAAATCATACAAAAGACTTACTTGACTTTTGTCAAACTCAACATTGCACTCTTGCCCAGGACAAATGAGTTTACCATTAGGTGATGCTGCTAGACGAGATTCATAACAACCTCGGCAGCTTCTATCACCACATTCTACAAATTGAACAGGCTCTTTGATAATACCCGAGCAAAAAACACACTTCCATTTGTCTGGTACTTTTTCCATTTCGTATACTGAATATCCGTAGGACAAAAATTCAGATGATGGAGGCGTTTTCATTTGATCACCTGCTTTTAAAGGTTTGCTCGTAGTCATTTTGCTCAGAAAAATAACAGTCTATATTCGATAAGTCTTCAAATCTGCAATAAATACTAATAAAGTTTTCTTTCATCAGTTATTCATCAAGATGAGTAACAAAAAGTCATAGATTGATCGTTATAAACGCGAAAAAGAAAAAAGGTTTCGAGCATGATTAATTATTCTCCAACATGAGGACGACTAAATAGGAAGAAAAACAAAACTAAAAGGAAATAACCAAACCTGTAAAGGGAATTTTCCCAAAGAAACCACAGCTCTTATATAACATCTGAGATATTTCAGTAACATACCTTCAGTAGGGAAATCACATTTAACAATAGCACTACATGACTCAGATAAAAAGAACATTCGAAAGGAAAACTAACACTCTGTCCCACTGTTATGCATTGCATAAATCTACCTGACGTTACTCATTTCTAAAAGCTTCCAAATGAAATGACAGGGTTACGCTAAAAAGTACAAAGCTATTCTCAATAAAAATTTATACTTCGTAGGTTCTGGTATTTAACACTGTGTACACGACACCGAATATTCTTGAATACAATCTAAATCTGTTTTGAAATTGAAGGCTTTTTTGTAGTTGGTTTTTTCCGTGCTGCATGAGTCATCTCATGACGCATCAACTGATTACGCCTGCCATCTATAATAGAAATTTTTTTTAAATGTATCTACTAAAACATTCGATCTCTTATACTGAATGATGAGTTCATTTACATGTAATCAATCAATGATATATGGAAAATAGTGCATTGTCAGACGCGTGAATAATCTCTACTCTAGGTGATTGATAACGTCTTATTATAAAATACCCTATAGATCAATAAGAATAGCAATACACAAATCTTGGGAAATAAGATTTCATGTACGTTCATACAAATTTCTTGTGTTTTTCGTAAATAGTATCCATTAAGTCTCTAGAGAAAACTATGAACGATCTAATTCTATCCTATTCAGATATGCATATGATAGAACTTATGGGTAGAATGGTTTGTGCATAGATCAGAGAATTTCTCACATTTAATCGATTTATTCTAATTTATCAGCAGAATACAAAAAGATCTATGATCTTATTTTAGATGCACCAAATATATAACATAGAAGACTTAATATAGCAAATATAATTAAGTAGTTACACTACATGCATAGGAACAATGATTAAGTTGGTAAAATAAACAAAAAAGTCTAGTATAAAAACAAGACGATAATGCTCGATTAGCTGGTCCTGATGATAGATACGTTATGTTTGTTGATATTATTGATTACATTAGTCCAACTAATAGATTCGAATTTCCTTATAAACGAGCAATTGTCAAAGACAGAATTGCAAAATAAATATGTGTGAAATACTCTGTTCACCACAGATGACGATCGATATCCTGAGTGCATGTACTCAAAATATTTTTCCATAAGAACCACTCATCTTCGATTTCTTCTCTTCTATCAATGATGTATAAATAGATGTAAATTATCTTCATCAGATGCTGATCAGTATGTAATAGGATACGTTAGAACAACAAAGATGCTTTTATTGTCATTATTTTCATCGTAGGAAGAACGTGGTTAATACATTGCGTCGATTTCTTGCTTGTGCAAGACATGGCAATTAAAGGTTGGAAGTAATACAAACATTTCAGAGAGTCGATTTCTTCATGTGACATCTTCTATGGATAGACACCACTATATATTAGAACTATAATTGAAATGTCTTCGTCAATCAATCTGTTTCTGAGAGTACAGGACGGGTAGTAGACATAAAACAGTTTAATTTGTTGTACATATTTTGTCAATATATTTAAGATGATCTTATGTAAATATTATTATAAGTAAATGTCCTATCAAATGTCAAAGAGGAAGTTTTGAGTAATAATTTCTTTTCTTTTTATTTGTTTCGAATACAAAATCATAGAATGATATCTTAAATATCACACGAAAGCCGGCAAATCCAAATGACACACACACACATATGAATCGTGTCAATATTGTTTTGCATAATGTGAAATCAACTGTTAATCAAATAGCTTTTTCACGAATGATATTCTGACGAACATCAAAACTATGCACATCAGTATGAAGTGTAAGAGTTTCTCCATTGGATGATTTGCGAACTCGCAAAAATCCATATTCGTCAATACCAATAATCGTTACTTTTTCTTGCCATTTGTCCACGAAGACCTCTTGGTTCCTATTTACGATAAGAACGGAACTATTTGTAGATACAATAGTCTGATTTCTTCGATCTTACTGATGCATCCAATGGGATTCATAGAATTGATAAAAATTATGTATGGCAATCGCTGCTTGCCGGATATTTGATTGGGATAATTGCGAAACCCATTCTTGCAAATAACCAACTGTTCGACCGATAAATTCTTCAGTTGTAAAATGAGGCAAATTCAACGTTGGCTTCTGTTGATCAATCGAATCATTGATGCATGTTGATGGTTGAGTGTTGGAAACATTCACACCGATGCCTAAGTACAAACAAAGGTCAATTTGAAACAATCTTTCGATTTAATGTAATCATAGTATTTACCAAGATTAATCGAGGCAAAATTACCACAAATTGATGATGTTGCTAGAATACCACCTAATTTTGTAAAATCATTTCCTATGAAAATGTCATTTGGCCATTTAATTCGAACATTCAGCGCCTGGAAGAAAAACGAATGAAAACAAACGATTCGTCTACTATCATTCGAGGTAATTCAATAAACTTTTACGATTATCATACCTTATATTCAGGTGTTCTTTCGATTGCTTGTAAAACAGCAACACTTGCTAGAAGTTGTAATAAAGATAAACGTTGTCCCAACAGACTTGATAAATGAACATCAAAACAAATGGTAAACAAAGCGCAACCTAATGGAGATGTCCATTGATTAGTTCCACGTCCTACACATTGCAAAAGCAAAACAAACGCCTATCATATGTACTGGATGTTTTCTTTTCATTGTCGACTACCTTGTCCTTCAGATTGTTCTCGAGCGATAATAACGAGTCCGTTCGATGGCAGTTGAGAACTAAATATAATACACATAATCTTCGGATGTCTATGGTGTCGAATCGAAAGAAAGACACACGTAGGCATAGTGCGCGAGATGTTATTTTAGTGAATATATATTTTCGTGTTTTTTTTTCGGACAAGATACTTTGAAATGAAGAATAAGGAGTAAAAAGAAGTAAAGGCAGCGAAACTCAAACAACACTGAAAATAAAACGAGAATGAAGAAAGAAAACCAAAGATATAAGCCATATACAGATGGGCGCACTGTTCTACATGTTATTGTATGATTTCTCATCTACCTATTTACGAAGAAAAACAAAACAAAACGTGAGCACACGAAGTAGAAAGCTACAAACTACACACAGTTCACAAAAAAAGAATATTGTTTTTATGCGAAACATTATCTTGCATTGAACTTTTTCATGCATTGGCTGGTGATAGAAGTGATGCTTCTTTTGTTGACGGTGCTGCTGGAATCTTCCAGAAACGTTCGGCGTCTTCGATTGTTTTATTTTTGGTTTCGGGCATTTTAAACCAGAGGAAGATAACGTTAATGAGGACAAGGACAAGAAAGATCAAAAAGACATAACCACCTAAAATTGAATTGAGTGCAGGAAAGAATAACGAGAGAAGAATATTTCCCAAGTAATTTGCGACTAAACCTAATGATTGAACACTGTCTCGAGCTTCTGGTCGGCAAACTTCACTTCCGAATAAGAATGGAATTGGACCAAGACCAACAGCAAAGCATACGATGAATATCAAGATGAATACAACTGATACTAAACCGAGCGTTGAACTGTTTCGACTTTCATTGAGTTGGACAAGAACTGTGAGAACTCCGAATACAGCAACCATAACAGCCATTGGATAGATAACTAATGCTCGACGACCAAGTTTTTCAATCAACAATACCGAAAAGATTGTGGCAATTACATTGATGGCTCCTGTGCCGATGTTGGCATAGGGAATATTACTGTCAGAAATTCCAGCTTTTTCGAACATTTTTGATGAATAGAAAAACACTGCATTGATACCCGACAAAGCTTGAGATAATTGAAGGATGACAGTCACCAACATGGGCCAACGGTAGCGAGCTGATGCAATTACCTAGTAGAGACGGAAGAAACATATATGTAGATTTATTGAAAACTATGATAATTCTATGTGGAAAAAAATGGAATAATTACTTGAGGAATCGACAATGATTCTGTTTTGTTTCCACTGTTTTGTCTTGATTGGTCACGAAGAATGTCCAAATCAGCATGTACATTGCTTGTTCCACGAAGTTTTTTCAAATCTTTAACTGCTTGTTCTTCATCGTTGTATTTGGTGATCATTTGAGTAGGCGAGTTTGGTAGAAGAAACAGAAGAAATAAACCAGCCAATGGTAACAAGAAGACAATGGCAAGGCCCCAACCCCAGCCAGTACATGTTCCGGCAATGGATGGTAAGCCAACAACTTGTGCAATAAGAATACCGATTGTCAAAGCAAGTTGAAAAGCAGCGCCTGCTGCACCACGAACACGCTGTGAAGAAATTTCACCAATGAATGGCGGTACAATAACACACGCCATGCCACCTTACAAAAGAAAAACGACTAATTAGTTTTCTTTTCACCAGAAATCAAGAACATGCCACTTACCTTGATAACCAAGTAGAAGTCGACTCAGATAGAAAAGCCATGCTTTGCCCAAATAAGCCGATAGTAAGACGCATAGTGACGATGCAAAACAAAAGATGTAATTAGCAAAAACAGTACGTTTACGATCGAAGTGCGCTGGCCAGATTGGTCCTGTGACTGCTCCAATAAATGCACCGATAAGAAATACGGTCTGTGGGATGCCTTTGACTAATTCAACAACGAAACTGAATGGTTCTTTGATTGGGTCGGATAAAGGGCGTCCTTCTGCATTGACATTATCATCTCCATCTTTACGAAGTTCATTATTTCCTGGATCATATCTTTCTACTACATTTTGGTTGTCCAATGCAAGCGGGGCTGCTGTTGACGCTACTGTTTTGACAACACATGGATCTTCTCCTTTCAAGAATGGTTCGGTGTATTTGTTATACATATTAGGAGCTCCTAGACCCCAGCCGAATACAAAGGCAGTTGTCACAGTAAGAACAACAACTGAGATGAGTAGCCACGACGTACATCCACGTTGTGTAGAATCTTCAGTGCCATCACCTGACTGCAAGCGCTGAGTTGCCTCGGAAGACATCTTACGTGTTCTGTCAATTTAAATAATCAAACTAAAAAAGTAAAAATAATCAAAAAATGGCTTTAATAACAACAAACAACAGCCAAAAGAAAACGAGATTTTTGAAGGATGTTTCATTTCTCTTTTTTTCTAAGGCGCAAAATTATCAAATAGAATTTTTTCCTCTATTTTAAGACTACTGCATTATAAGAAAGAGTAATGAATAATAATGTCATAGAAAAAAGAAGTGCGAAACCTGCTCTGTACCAGATGTCTTTGTTAATGGTCGACAGAATAATGGTACTAGGAAGAATGAAAAGAAAATTCGCCTCGATATAACCACAATTTTCTCGCGCTTCTCTTTTTTTCGATTTAACCTTGTATTTTAGCTGTCACTAGCATGATCCGAGAATACACTGGCCCTATTACTATTGTTCTCCCCTTCCTTGCGGCGCATCCGAACGATTTATCTTTTTGATCTATCACAAGGTGCGATTTTGTCATCATTATTCATAGTTATCAATATGAAGTCGTGTCGATAGAAAAGAAAAACGCGTTACTGTGTATATACGGATCTATAGATGATCGACTAAAGACTAAAAATGGCTTATCTAGTACGAGTAAGATTACTGGATGTATAGATAGGAATCAACAAAAGGATCTAACGGTAGCATTTTTGTTCTTCTCATTTTCCTCTATATGTCCAGATAATGCGGAAGAAAGAAAGAAAAAAGTATACATATCTATATATAAATGTGTATGTGCACATACGTGTGGGTATGCATGTGGTTAGGCGAAGCACACAAACGCGGCTTGCGTATAGCATTTTTTTCTCTTGCGTCATTTTATTCTCGTCTTCTGTTCTCCACTCTCCCCGTTTTTTTTGTAATCGACTGCCCCTACTACTAGCTAGACGCAAAGAACGAGAGTTCGATGAATCTGAGCCAAGAGAGAACAAGAAAAGAAAAAAAAGAAATATACAGGCGGTGAATTACGTAAAAGAAGAAAAAAAACCATCTCTATAGAGTAGCTATTCTTCCGATCTATTTTTTCCTCCGCATAAGATCGAGATCTTGGTCTAAGGTCTCATTTCAAGAAAACATGGGGAACTCATAATGATTATGCTAGCGTTAATAGAAATAATAGCAATGACATCTCTTTTGTTCTTCAATTGGACTTGGGAGAGAGAGAAAACGTTATGAAAGTCGACCGGAACAAGGTCATTCATAGGGGCATGGAATGGAGAAGGAACGAACATATTAATCGGCGAAGAGCAAGCAAATGAAACGACTGGTTGCGCATTAATAGCATTGAGAAATGCAAGCGACAAGACAGCGAATAAGAAAGGAACGAGAATAAAAAAGTCCATTTTCTTCAATTATATTATTAAGAAATCTAAAGAAGAATAATTTCTTGTGCTTACTTAGAAAAAACCTTTGAAAAAAGAGAAAAAAGCCCCAAAGTTGTATTGAATTGGTGGTTGTAAAGTTAATCTCGGAGAATTTATATACACACCCCTTAAGAGATAATAGTCAGAATGATAGAAAGAATGTAGAATTTGAGACGGTATGGATGCTGGCATTAGCTAGAGAAAAGATAAAATGCTGGCTTGGTGTGCGAGATGAATAGAAAACGTCTGTTAGAATATCTACGCTACAAGAAAAGGAGAGAAAAGAGAAAATTCTCGACAAAAAACGGCATGTGATTCGGTTTATAAATAGACTAGCAAGTCAATCTAATATAGAATTCACAGAACGAAAAGAAACCAAACTGATGATATTCCACGCTTCATCATAATCACGCCGATGTTTTCTCGTCGCACGCACTTACTTGCGTCTGACTGCAGTTGTTGAATATAAACGTTGAATTGCTGCTGGCTAAAGCATGTCTTTATCTAAACATTTATCATATGCCAACGAAATCGACATCTTCATCACCCACATCACCGCTATGACACGTTATCACAATGGAAACAAAAGGAGAAGAAGTTGAAGAGTACAGCACGCGAGAAAATAACAAGAATTAGACAAGAAAAAAATGCGAGAAAGATTAAAGTATTATTCTTCGATTGCATTTTTGAAAAAGTTCACGTACATACCCTTCAAGAATACTCATCGTCGTTGGGATTTTATCAGCTACTAACAGCATCTGTCCAAATGTCGTCGACGATGGTAAACTCGTTATAACCGAGGAGAAGTATTGAAAATAACTTGCAAAATCGAATAAAGATGAGTGTTCGTAGGAAAGAACGTCCGATTCATGAGAGAATTGACCAGATGATATTAGATTAGCAACGAACGATTGCAATTTATTCTAAAGAAGGTAGTATTCATCGACATTTGACATTGATATCAAACAAATCGATTACCTTCTCAAGGCAAACAGCAGCTAATTTGGCTGCTGAGAATTTCTTTGAAATTAATTGACAAATCCACATAATTCTTTCTTTCTTCAAAGGAAACAAAAGCAAATCATTAACAGGAAAATTTGTTTCTACTATTTTTAATAGAATAAATAAATTATTTGTATACAAATTATTTGCGAAAGAAAAGTAAAGCAACAGATCAAGAGATTCTCCAATTAGATCTAACGAGTTCGTTTTGTCCAACATAAATGAACATCATCAACAACAAAATACAGTTTTTCGGAAGCAGTTTCAACTGCTTTGATTGTTTCCTTAATCGATTGCATGAGATTTTGTGCGTTACCAATAAGCATTTCAGTTGCTTCGGCATCTTCATCCGAACCTAAACAAAATCAATAAGCAGATTTCTCAGCAGCAAAACTGCAACTAAAGCGATATCATGCATGGTAAATCTGTCTTGCAACGAGTCTTATTCTCGTATAAATCTCGATTTACTTATTCTTTTTCGCTAAGTAATCAAACTTTCTTAAGGGAAGTGAATCAATTCATCGACATTGAAAAACTCTGTAAATATTATTCAAGAAATGTTTATCAAAAGAAGAAAAAACACGCTCGTTTTTTTTACAAGTAATTTCTAATTAACTCATTGTTTGTCTCTGAAGACATTAAAATAACGAAGTATAAAAAATGTTTTAGACTACTTGAGAATATGTTGCTTTTTCTTGATTAGATGAATGTATCTGAAGAGAACTATTTGCTCGTTCTTACATATGCAAGTTTTTTGTATTCCTAAGTTAAATTCTTTGATATTTCATTTGTCTGTATCTATTTGCATTCTTTTTTCTTGTTTGATGCACTCGTCACTATACGGACTTTCAATCGTTAATAAGCAAGGTCGAGAAAAACATGCTCGTTTGGGTTTCGTTTTCTTACAAATCATTGCACGTTCACTTTTACTCAAACTATGTGGGAGAACATCTATACATGTGAAAAGAATAGTGTCGAAGAGAAGGTTAACAAAAAAGATAAGCGTTTTACCATATGTTCCAAACATCGTTGCTTTTACTGTTGATAAAATTTTCAATTGAGTACCGATTGTCGGTATACGTTCACTGACTTGAAGGAGATTCTTTCAAAGAAAAGTAAATAATAATTAGTAGATTGGAACAAATGAAATACGAACAGTTCGTATTCGTCGATCGGAACATTCATTTGCGATCTTTTTGACTATATCTGTTACTTGTTCGGACATATCAGCTACTTCGCGGGAAATAGAGATTAAATCACGTTTAGTTCCTGTTTCACCGCTAATAATGCGAAAGAGAATAGAATGTGATATAATACGTGAAATCAATTAGTTTAAAGTACTCCTACCGAATGAGAAAACTTAATTGTGCGACAAAATGTGCCATTTTCTTCCCCAAAGCGACTAATTTATTATCAATACTAGAATACTGTTTTATATATAGATGTAGATCGTGAGCGGCCATCTAGAAACATGAGAAAGGTTTATTTCTTGGCTTAAAATTACTTTTGTTTTACGAACGAGTATAGGCTGATTGAATTGTGGACGAGGAAGATCCTTGTCATACATTTCTTCTTCGGTTTCTTGTATCAGAGGTAAAGGTGGTCGAGGTGGAGCAGCAGCACATGCGGCTAATTCTTCATCGGATGGTAGTGGCGGTCGAAGAGGTGGAGATCTCGAAGCTAACGAGAAGGATTAAAACGGATGAATGAAAAACTATTGGATTTCATTGATTAAACATACAACTTCGGCTACGAGGATTGAATGAAAGACGAGCTACACTATTGATAAGATTCGTGGATGAAGGTTGTAAGATTTCTCGAACGTTTCCCACAGCATCGATTAGCTGAAATACAGAAATACAGTTTTCAATAGCAGAAGACAAAAACCTAATCACTTCATTGTTTGTTTGCTGCCATTTCGAGTGTATAACCTTGTTATCTGGACTTAAAGCCAATTGTTTTGCTGCTGCGATCATCGGTGGAAAAGCTATGAAATACAAGACATGTTTTCCTATGTCATCGAAACATCAGGACAGTTTACTTTGTTTTAATACATCAGCTGCTTTTTTCAATCGTTGAGTGAATGATTTATCCTCCGAATTTTCAATTTCTTGTTGAGTAACAAGTAGAACACGATTCGCACGTCGAATTATATTCGAAGTACTATCAACAATGATCGAAGGACTGAGATCCGCAATAGCTTTTTCGGTTTGTTGTGTATCATGAATGACCGCCTCTTCTAAAAAGATGGTTTCAAGTTCGAAAAGAAAGAAGAGAGATGTATGATAACTGACCAGACACTTTAACAAATTCATCGGATGGAATCGCTTCGTCAACATGTTTTCGTAGATACTCCATCTGTGTTAACCATTGTTCACTGAGAAGGTCGAAATGTTCCTGTGTCGTAGATGATCGATTTGGATCACCGAAGATAATACGAGCTGCATAGACAACTTGAGGTGTGAGATCATTAATCTATGACAGAAAAAAAAGAACAAATGTGAAATATTTTCGTAGGATGCGTGATAAACAAACTTGTGAAGCTGTGATATTAATTGTTTCGATCGTTGATTTCGATCGACACGATGTGCCATTGGCTGCTAAACGTGCTGTTTGAATTAATGTTGTTGAATGATTAGTAAATTCTTGTATTGCTGTTTGGAAAGCTTCCTGCCGGTTTAATTCATCTAAATTGGAAATCGTCTTAAGTAACCAAGGAATGATTTTTCGTAGGTCTACCATAAGATTTTAATGCGGTGTGTCGGAGACTTTTTATGGTTGATGTAATGTCTATAAAATCATCTGATACTTGATAAATAATTGCTTCTTGAAGACGATATTGCAATTGATGAATAGAAGACAACAGTGACCGACTGATCATGACGCATTCTGGCCCATTAATAGGCTGTACGATTAAACAAATACTTCGTTTCACCTGATTTACAACCAAGATGAGAGTCACTTACCAATCGTCTTCGCAATGCATCATTGTATTTTAATACGAGATCGTCAATCGCAAGACAACATTCGATCAGATCGCGACGATAGGATAATTCACAAATATTCACCAGCTGGCGACCGATTTTCACAAGACTTCTCACTGAAAATTCACCTACACAAACGAGAGAATTTCGTTGTCGTTCGCAAAGCAAGAATCTTCTTTATACCAAATCCAAAGTGATCTGTATCAGGCTGCGTTAACCACCGTTGTGCTTGATCAACTTTCCCATTCACTGTCGTTGCCGGTCGTTGATAATCAGATGTATATCTCAAAAGATTAATTGCTTGTTCCAACGACTGATAAAGATCATCAAGGTGATCAGCTATATCTCGTGCAAGACTAATTGCTTCATTAGAATTTCCCTAAATGAAAACAAGGATTTTTGTTTCTTTCCAAGGAAATGTTTTCATTTTTTAAAATTACTTTTGATTGTCTTCGTAATTGTATCAAATGATGGAGCATTTGTGATAGTGTATCTACTTTTTGCATCAATACAATCGCTTGAGCTTCGTCGAGACAATGCTCAGTGATGTGCGTTCGTAAATCATCCAAAATTACGCGAAGTGATCGTTCAGCTAATGTTCCTTCCCGAGCTCGTGTGTTTTCTAACCAATGCTTTGCTTGAAACATTCGACTACCAAGAGTTTTCTACATAAAGTACAAAATTGGAATCACCTTTGTATCTTGAAATGGAAAAATGCAGGTTCATACAAGGAGTTTCTTTAAATTATGTTGTTCATCGTCATCGAATTCATTAAGAAGGACATCATCGATAGTAATCAATTGAAGTATACGAATGATTTCACCGAGTTCATCATTGATTTTATTCACAATATAATCACGATTTTCTATCGCTTCAACGATTGTATGCCCACCTAAATAAAATTTATTACCAAATGCAATATTTCGTCATCGGTTGACTTTCTACCCGTGTGTTTCGATGTTACACAAACGCTGATACTTGAAATTAGCAAAGGTATTAGAGTTTTCATTTGTTCAACGGATCGCGTTAGTAATTTTCGATGAATCACATGTGTTAGTTCTTTTATACGTAGATCAACTTCTTTACTCATCCGTGTTAGAATAGGTGTTAAGTTCTATACGTAAAGCAGATGTTAGTCGATTTCGGTTATCAATGACAAGAAGATGATATTTACTTGTACAAAATCAACAAGTTCGTCGATGCTTTCAATGTTCTCAGCATGTAACAGATGATTGAAAACATGCTGACATATTCGGACAATCTTTCGTACTTCGTATTCGTCGAAGGTGAGAAGGAGTGCTGATATACCATGAAGAATACCTAGAGAAGAGAGAAGTTTCTCTGAATGAAAACGAATTTTCTCTTCGAAGACTAACATCGTGCTCCTTCAATTAGCATTTGTCGACCTTTTATCGAATTGGGTTCGTGTTTAAGTATATGTGCTGCATTAATCAAGAGAGTCGAAGCATGATTGACACGTTCTAATGCATGTGGCATTTCATCACGTAATAAATCATCTGTGCTTGTCGAACATGTTTCATGACCAACTTTAACAAGATTATCAACAGCTGATTTAACAACTTGAACAGGTTTGGAAAGATCTGGCATAAGATTACTATCACCTGCTGCTTCTTCATGTAAGATAATTAAGCGGGAAACCTGAAAAGAACAAACAGATGGTTCTATCAAGACAATATTGTTATATATATACACACACACCTGCTGAGCAACTGGTTCTAAGATGCTTTCTATGGTTCGTGTATGAAACACGGGCATAGTTAAACTTGTGCACACGTTTCTTTTGTTTCTATTAATAGAAATCTAGAATAAAAGCACAAACGAAATATATCTAAAGTCTAACTGGAAAAGATAATCGATGCGTCTGCGTTTAGTAAGTGTCAAATTAATGATAACATCTTCTTGTTTTTTTTTCCTAGCCGGTTCGAGATATAATAGATAGTTCTGACCTTCAGTCTTTGTGTATCGACACAATTTCTCTTTTTTCTTCTTCTTTCGCCTATGAGGATCAAGAACGGGCTAGCAGGAGAGAAAGAATCAAGATAACGCTTCTCAGTAGATAATTAGAAAATGATGAACATCTTGCAAGATATTCCACTTAATCCGATTCACGTGAATGGAATGATTATCAAGGTTGACTGATAATCTTCTTGTGAAAATCTTGGCAAGGAAGTCTGGTGGAGACGAGAAGGATAGAGAAAAAGACGAATGACATTTTTCCAGAATGAAAAGAGAACACGAGCGAAGATATTTATGTTATATGTATCAATTTTTATTATTTATTTTCTCCTACAAACGTTTGTTTACTAGTAACATGGAACGATAATAGAACAATAAATGATTAAAAAAAAAAGAGCATATCACATGGAGAGTTGATTGGCTTTTCTTGATGAATTTGAATGTACTATTTTGTCGACTTGAAAACTTTTCTTTTCTTCTCTACAAAACAAAACATCAATCTAGAATGATTTCTCCTACACTCTGATCATAATTATTGCGCCTATTGAAAACATAAAGAAACTAAGAAAGCAAATTTTTTGTTCATCTATTTAGTTTTACTTGTCTTTGTTCTGTGCGACTGGCTCCGTAATCTTGAGTAAAAGTTCATTTAAACATGGCATTGCATACGAAGGATCATTTCGAAGATAAATCGTGGATTTATCAGTTAAACATGTAATAATCGATTTATTGACATATAAAGTGGAGAGAATATCATGAGGATGAATAGTCGTTTTCCGTGCGAGTGAATCAAGTGTAACTGTTTGGATATGAGATGATTTTTGACTGTCAAAATAAGCAAATATCACATGACGCCAATAGTTTCGAAAACAAGCAAGTGTGTCATTATCAATTGGACGAGTTGGAGTGCTGAACATCTGATTTGTAGAAGCACTTGAGCGAATAAGAAAATAACTGAAAGCAATTAATAGTTGACTGTATTTTAGCTGACGAATAAAAGGAGGAAGAATCGTTAAACATGAAAGATTATTGACTAAGATGTGACCAAATTCGTTGTTTTCTTTAGAAAAATAACCAAGGAAACGATAGATGGAAGACTGAAAGACAAAATTCGAGTGAAATCTCAAACTATCCATTTCATCTACCTGAGACTGTGCTAAGATAGGATCTCGTCGACATAAGATATAATAAGTAAATCGATCAGTATTCCGATCATCAATAGTTCTGGCCGAGTGAAGAAATAATCCAGTAATTCGATGTAAAGATTTTATATAAATACATTGTTCCATTGTCATTTTCGTTTTGCCGATTTCGAAGATGGCTAAATCGTTTTCTTTATAGACAAGTTTACCTGGTGGTTGACTTGACAAGCATTTTGATAAATGACGTTGATATGCTATTGAACTTCCGAAGAAGTGTTTCAAACATGAATCACATGCGTAAATCGTTGGCATCTGCAAATAAAATCGATTTTCAAAGAAAGATATTGGTTAGATTTTCATCGAATTACTTTGTCATTGTCAATCGGATATTCTACTTCAATTTCGTATCGGCCAAAGTGTAAGAATTGTTTTCGGAATGAAATGTTGCCTGCTGGATATTTGCGAATGGTAGAAAATGATTCGCATTGATGAAAGAATTTCTTTGCTATTTCATTTGGATTGTAATCGATCTCATTTGAATTTTCATTGATATGAAGATTAGTTTGAAGAATTAACTGTTCGATCAGATCAATATTGGATGGAACTGATATTTGCGTTTCACGATCATGTTTGATAATGATTGATGGTGTTGAATTCGTATTACTTGTTGTTGTTCGTGATAACGATGATCGTGGTGTGTCGTAGAATAAAGAGACTGACGAGGTAGTTGATTGTCTTCCATCTATTCCATTTGAACATGGAGAAGAATGATCAATTGGTGGTTCGAGCGCTCGTTTGAATGTGTTGAATAACGGTGAACGAACTGAATGATAATCTTTATGAATTGATGATTGAGTTAAAGATGGAGTTAAGGAATCAAGCAGATTCACATCAGTAGGAAGAGAGCGATTTAATAAATCTAAAGAGATTTACTGAAGATTATGTACGATTAACACAAAAGACGAGTTTACCTTCGAGTTTACTATGACTTTTATGTGAAGGTTGTGTATCTTCTTGATCTAGGAGATGATCATCTTCAGTGTCCAAATCAGGTTCGATCATTAAAGTTCCAGGCGAATGATACGATGTTGCTATCACAGGCTGTGTTTGTATGTTGTTGAGAAACGGTCGTTGTTGTGTGCTACTTAATTTCCGAGCAGTTGGTTTTCGTATTGGAGGTTTTCTTTCTTCATCATCGTCATTAATTGTTGATTGGGAAAAGATCCGTTTTGTATGTCGATGATCAAGAAGTTGAGATAGTTCATCTTCATCTTCATCTTCATCATCATCAGAAGATTTCGCTCGTTTGGAGTCGTGATTGTGCTGATTCATTTCATCGAGTGCAGATATCGTTCGTTTGAATTTGGATTTCGGATTTCTTGTTATCTGATTTTCATTATCTGTTGGTGATAGCGGACATGGTTGTGTTTCATTTTGAGGCATTGTATATTTACTAATTAAATCTAAATTCAAACGAGTATACGCATTTGCTGTTGGTCCATGGCTAAACGATGGAAATATCAAAAGTTTTGATCAAAATTCAACGAAAGTTTCGTACTCATCTGATTTGTGTGATTGTTTATTCTTTGGTACGAATGATATACTAGAATCTGTTTGTATTAATGCACTTAAAAATTCGAAAGATGAAAAGTTTTGTGGAGAAAATCGAGCCAGTGATTACTGTTCATTAATCGATGGTAATCGTTGCGCTCGTTTTGGTACATTTGGATAAGTTGGTCTTCGAACAGCTGTGCTAGTTGACGATGATGATGGTGGCTGACTGAAAGTAAACTTGAAGTCAAGGGAAAATCTTTGAATTAGAACATCTCTACTCAATAATTTGCCATAGATTGTTACTATCAGTTGATAATCTCGATGTTTTCCTTTGTGTACTTTTGCGATTTTGACTCATATTTAAGAAAAACTTCCAATTTTTGCCTGGAAAAATTCTTTTTTTACATGTCGACTGTTGATCTATTGTTTACCTTTGAGATGATCAATAACATGATTGGTAGATATTATTGGTCATTAATCATTTGATCTATGAGGAGGGCGCTATCGTTTAGCACAAACAAATATCATTCGAACAATCGACTCTCAAAATTTTACTATCAAACAAATGATTGTATTCGAAAATATTATCATTTGGAATACTCCGTTTTACTTACTGTTTGGCTGAATAATCGAACAAGTTATCAGCGAGACTGGTAGTGATATAATATCATGTGTTGGTTAGATCAATAAGGCAAGCATCCTTGATATGTTTGTTACGAATATATATTTATCTTATGGAAAGCACTTTGTCTAATGATATTATGGCATAGATGGAGTTTTGTTGATGATACGTTGCCCTCGTCTTCAATTGTACGATAGAGATTATAATCGTCACAAGTGAATTGTCTTTAATGTCAATAGACTAGCTTAGTGATTGTTACATTACTAATGATTGTGATAAGAAAGTCGGCAGGGAAACGATCACTTACAGAATCATGAATCGAAGTCTGTCGATTTGAATCGCTTTGGGTTTTATATTTGCAAATGAAAACATCGGTCGACAATTCTTTTTTATATATGAAATCAATTGGAAAGCATTCCGACATTTCTGTTCGTAATTTGATATGTGATCATAACCTTTCAAATATCATCTATTTGTGTGAATTTTTACGGTACATTCGACGTGCTATACAACACGACGAAGTTCACACTTTCTCTAGAATTTTATTGGAAAAAGAACAGTGCTACGGACATCTATGCTTTATCCGCGCAACACAATGTTCTTCATCTAAAGGTTTTGAAGATTCTAATATGTCCCACCGGATTCATCGCGTCCCATGATGTTCTTCTGGTGTAAACGGAAATTACAATACCTTTCTTCGTTCTTCACGGAATATTGAGTTTCTTTAGTTATTATTACTGAAACATATTCCAAGCTGTAGAATTTTAAGTCATACTATACAGGAACTTTCGCGTACTGTCTGCGACCTCTATTTCAATCCCTTGAAATTCTGTAACACGGTCGCATAGTTAATTGGAAGTATTTATGACTGAAGTAGCTTGAAATACTGTTCGATATGCGATAAAACATGTGAATTCACGATATTTTGTTGGTGAAAATGCTAATTTTTGTTGTTTTCGCTGTTTAATAGAAATAAACGCTCTAAATTTTGAATTATTATTTGAGTATAGGAATACGATATATTTGCATTACTCGCTTGTCTATACTATGTTCCTCAAGTGTTCTGTTTTTTTTGTCTAGCCGCAATAAAAACACGTGACTATCATAAGTAATCGAAAATTAGCTTTTTTTCTTTTTTCTTTTCGTGTTTAATTACCGAAAAGCAGGTAGCTCACACATTCAAATTTTGAATACAAATGTCACTTCGTGCATTCCGATCAGCTCTTGGTTTAAGTCTCTATGACAATCCTCTGCCAAATGGAGATAGGTGGATAATGCAGCGACTGACTAACGTTGTTCATGAGTATTATGAAGGTTGGTTTGATGTTCTATATCGGATGCAAGCCCGGTCAGTTTTTCAAATAAAAAACAAATATGTAGACACATGTGATTTGTCTTTTCAGGTATCGGTGTAAAAGTGGTCATGACTGGACATCTTCGTGGACTATGATTTTATTTCGATTTTATCGCAATGAAAAGAAACATTTTGGACTGATTCGACTGAAACGCTTTGGACAACGTTGTGCTAAATGCAAAGATGATAGGGAATATTATACTGGATCTTGTACATACGAAGAAGTTTGGTATATAACTCAATGTGTTCTGTTTCACATTTTGCAAAAATGTTATGAGAAAAGACCCATACGCGACCTTGATGTTTTACCATATATTATTGGGATACAAAATGTTCCTAGTAACAAGCCCGGCGGAATGGCACACCAAAAAGAGTACTGCGAAGCTTGTGCCGCCAACTACTGTAAAGAAATGTTTAAAGAATTGAATAAAAAGCATTGAGATTACATGGTACTCTCTGCAATTCCAAATCCTTTATTACATGAAAAACTTTAATTTTTATTTTGAACTTTTTGATACATTAACAAAAGACTATTATTTAATATATATGTTGTCAAACTAGTATTCAAATACCGTCTAAAGAAGACTAATGTTCTGTTAGGACATTGTTCATTTAACCTTTTTTTTTTCTCTTGAACTTCTCAAAAGCAAAGTCGTACATGTCCTGGAATACGTCATCAAAGCTAGGCGATGATTTTCTAGTCTTCCTCATGGAATATCTCTTTATAAAAACAAAATCGAGTAGACTAGATGATTACGGACGTTTCTATGCGTTCATTTCGTACTGTATAATCCAAGTCAGTGTCAATATTTGAGAATGATATAATATTTCTATGAGCTGGAAAAGTTCCGTAATCCTATTGTCAATATAATCAATCTCTTTTGAGCAGATGTCTTTTCTAGATAAAATTCGGTCGAGAAAGGAAAATGTGTATCTTTGGAAATGTTTTATTAAAGTTTTACCACGATTTTTTTTTCGATAAAATTTATTTGAATACAAAACCGTCTGCTCGCTGTTTGTTACAAGGCTTGTTCGGAAAGTGATCTAATATTTGTTCCTGATTAACATTCCTGCTGTTAGAATTTGATGATTTAATCTTTTAAACATTTTTGATGATTCAATACAAAACACTTTTTTGCGACTGATTTCTATTGAAATGAATACACGAGATGCGTCTCACGATGAGAAATCACAGCTGTCAAATTGTATGATTTTCCTTGATTTATTTTATCATATCACGAAAACAATTATGTATTTACAGGATAGAAAAGAATTACTTGTCAATGAAACATTCAATCCTAGAAATCATGCTTTTGAGAAGCGTTAATGTGTAAATAGAACTAATTAGGAAAAGGTATCACGTGGAAATCTATTGTTTTTTACCATCCACAAGAAAATACTTAAGGTTCTTCTACTCATTTTCTTGAGAAGAAAAAAAACCGAAGTACACTTAGTGATATTGCAGCGCGACAATATTTGTCAATGATTTATGACTTGCAGAATAGTTTACCTGTAATGCATGTAAATCTATATGTGTACGAGACATATATGCTAGACTGAGAAAAAAAAATGGAAGGAAGAGGAAAAGACTGAGCGCGAAAGAGAAAAAGAGAGAGAGAGAAAACAGGTTAAAAAGGTATGTCAACTATTAGAAGTTACGTGAAAGTTGCAGTGTTTTTCTTTTTTCCTAACTAGTCATTGTTGAACATAATTTAGAGAAAAGTCTTTACTCGATTTGTTTAGGATTCAAGCATGGCGATGCGTTCAGCACCATCACAACCTGTAACTCAACTAGAAAATTTTCTTCGTACAGATGTTATTTGTGTAACATTAAAGTTCGGTTTTCAACAAAAGCCATTCAAATATCCAATGAATGATTCATCGTGCAGTACTATCGAGAAAATCTATCGTGACGCAGAAAATTGGCTACGATCAATACTAAGCAATACAAAGAATCTACAATTAGTCGAACGTTACACACTTTATCTTTTCCGAATCCCATCATCGGACTTAACAATGGTACCAATTGCTCAATTGTCTGACCTTGAACAAAATTCTCTTATTGAATTAGTTGTCGTACCTGTGGAAATCAACCAAAATCCGCATGCTTTATACCGATGTCAACTAAATGTGCCAACGAATTGTTCGAAATGTTCACGACTGATTACTGGAATCTACCGGCAAGGTTTTCGTTGTCGAAAGTGTCGAATGACGTATCATAAAGATTGTGCACCGTTTTTACTCGATGACTGTTCCGTTCTCACCGATCCGCCATCACCAACACGAAAATCCGCCTCAACTTCTTTATCTTTCGTCAATCCCTTTGTTCAACCACCAGTTACATCTGCAAATTCCACCTTAACTCCTGGTACAAAAACCATTCCCATCTACAGTCCATCCTCGAATACCTCGAAAGAAACGGAACAATCAGCGATGGCAACAACTATTATCGATGAAGGCATCTTTCCCGCTTGCATCAGTGGTCGAGATATTTACCAACGATATTTATTTCGTTTAACACGAACAAGTTTAACATTGACAACGACTTTGTCGAATTCATCATCTCCACAAGAACAACAAACACGACAAGCATCGGAAACCGACACACTTATTCCATTGGCGGAAATTAATGATATAATCCTTACACATTTTATTGACGATCGTGATCATATCTTTGAAATTCATTTTCAAGGAAAATTTGTTCTTTGTGTGGGTAAAAAAAGTGATTCAGATGATTTACAGATGCAAACAGCACAATTTTATTCATCCATTCGTGATCAATGGGAAGCATTAGCTACAACAACACAACCAGCACCACCGTCTGCAACTGTACCAGTGCCAACTGCATCGACAACAAATTCTAGATCGAATGGAAACTTGAAACGAAGACAAAGTATTTATCGACGACCTCCACAAGGAACCGATAATGAAGATAAAGATTTGCATGAATTGTACACATTTACTGGTGAAAAGATCGGTGAAGGTATGAGAAAACTATGGTTTGATGCGAAAAAATGTTATTTCGATGAATTTAGGTCAATTCGGACGAGTCGTGGGTGCGATTCGTAAATCAACCAATCGTAAAGTTGCGATAAAATGTATCGAAAAAGCCAATTGTAGCGAAGAAGATATTCGTCGAACAAACGAAGAAATCGATCATCTTTACAAATTCAATCACGTAATTCTCCATGAACTCAAACGGACATTTCTCTTCATGTTTCTTTTCAGGTCAATATTCTCAAACTCGAAGCTTATTTCGAACGTGGCGACGCTGTCTATATCATCACAGAACGTATGGAAACTGATATGTGTAAATATATAATGGAATCATCAAATAAATGGCTCGATGAAAATATGTGTAAAATGTTGATCTATCAAGTAATTATCGCACTGCGATATTTACATTCGAATAATTGTGGACATTTGGACGTGAAATGTGAAAACATACTCATATCATTTCTAAAGCCCGTTCCGTCGTCGTCAACAAATAAAACGCAAACAATAAAATACAAAACTGAATTACCGTTGGTTAAATTAGCTGATTTCGGCTATTCGAGAATCATCGGTGAACATTCGTTTCGAAAAACACGAGTTGGAACCGTATGTATTCCTTGTTAAACAATGATGAAACATGTATTCTTGTTTCGTTCATAGAAAGTGTACTGTGCACCGGAAATTTACCGAAGTAAAGAAGGTTACAATCGCTTGGTTGATATGTGGAGTGTTGGTATTGTTCTCTATGCAGCTCTCTCAGGTACTTTACCATATGATGAAAAAGATGTTCCGCGTGCGGAAGAAATTGTGCGCAATAAGAAGTTAATGTACTCTAACCAACGTTGGCGTGATGTCACTGATGAAGCAATTGATTTAATTTCGAATAAACTGTTAGTTGTTCAGCCACTGACACGAATACGATCAACGGTTAGTGTTGTTCTTTTTCGGAAGAGGAAGTTTTCTTGAAGATGAATGTAATTGATTTGTTGTATTTAGGAAGCTTTATTCCATGCTTGGTTTACAGATTTTCATCTGTATAAGAACTTACGTGAAGTCGAAAAACGTACTGGATATGATTTCTCAACGAAACAACAACAGCTTCCATCATCATCGAATTGGTTGACAGGTGAACGAGAAGATCCTGTTTGGACGGAATTCAAATCAATGTATGAAAGATCAACGGAATGAAAGTGATCTGAGAGAACTTCTTCAAAATACAATATCTGCTGTTGTGACGTGTATTTGCCTTTTTTCGTTTGCTAACCATCTAAGCTACCTCTTATTCTGTGTTGAAGATCTCATTCTGAGCATCTGCATTGTCGTCAAATTGAATAAAAACGTCTTTTTCCTTACTATGCTTGATTCTACTCGAAATTCGTTTAATATGAAGTGATATACTTTCTTTTAACGTTTCAAAACTCGTTGTTTCCCTTTACACACGTTATTTATAGTCTGCTAAACTAGGTTACATATCCGTTTATTGTATTTTCAACTATAATTAGTCTGTTGATTAGATAGTTCACTTGTCGGTATGAATGGAAGTCGAAAAGTTAATTTCTATTTTTATTCTAGCAGATTGATGGAGAACCTTTTCCGGCTCAGTGTAATTACATAAACTATATTGAGTACACTAACAAAAGAAGTAATGTTTACTATCGTAGCATAAACCGATTGATGATGAATCTAACCTATTTAACCAGAAACTTTACTAAACTACAGAAAACTTGATACAAAAAATGTTTCTTTGTCACTCAGACAACATCCGTTTTTTTGTGTAATTTATCGAGATATTTTTGGTATCGTGCGGTTTCCGGATGACTTGGTCCAAATGCTCGACGCACAATATCGATAGCTCGTTCTGCATATCCCAATGCTTCATCTACTTGTTTATTCTTACTCAATGCTGTAGCCATATTACTCAACGTAATAGCCAATGACGGATGATCAGGAGAAAGATGTTTTTCTTCGATTGACAGTGTCTCTCGATAATGCGACATGGCGTTGCGATAATCACCAATAGATCGGTAAACTTCGCCCATATTGTTATAAATAGCTGCAAGGTCTAATGGATTCGTAGCAGGTGATTTGCGTAGAATTTCGGTTGCTTTTCGGTATTGAGAAAGTGCTTCAGAATGATCTTGTAATGAGTCTTGAATAGTACCTAAATTATTGTAAATGGTGGCAAGTAATGGATGATCTGAAGGATAAAATGTTTGCCAGATCTTTAGTGTTTTTTCATACAGAACGACCGCTTTTTGATATTCACCGATGCATTGATGTACATAAGCTAAATTGTTGTATGTCATTCCTAATGATGGATGATCTGACTGAAAGAATTTTTCTTCAATTTGTAACGTTTTTCTGTAATACAATTGAGCATTTGGATACCTTTCCATTAAACGATATAACAAACCTATATTATTATATATAGTTGCCGTTACGAGTGGATTAGTTGGGTGAGCCTTCTGTTGAATTTTCAAAGCTTTTTCATAATAGAATAGTGAATAAGTGAATTTGCCCGTTAATTGATAAATATGGCCTATGCTATTGTAAGTGATGGCTAAAGACGAATGATTTGACAGGGGAGTAGCTTCTTGAATTCGTAATGTTTGTTCATAATATGATAATGCTTTTGAATAATCACCAAGCAAACAGTTGATCGCACCCAGATTGTTATAACTCAAAGCGAAGGATGGATCATCGGATTGAAGTGAAGATTTCTGAATTTCGTAGGTTTTTTCATAGTATAAGAGAGCGTTCGTATAATCGCCCTGTGATTCGTATATCATGCCCAGAGAACTGTAAGAAGTAGCTAATTCTTTATGATTTGTTGATGATAAAGTCGATCGAATGGTTAGTGCTTTGTTACAATACGCGAATGCATTGCGATAATCTCCTAGCGATCGATATGTTATGGCAATATTGTTATAGATTATGGCTACGCATGGATGATCCGGAGGTAAATATGTCTCTTGAGTTTCCAGAGCTTTTTTATAATTCTCAAGAGCAGTTGCATATTCTCCCATAGAATTGTTGACAAAACCCATATTATTCTGGATTGATGCTAACATTCTCATTGATGTATTATCCTTTGTTTTCACAATTACTTCTTCCGTCTTTTTCAAAATGTCCATAGCTTTATCAGCTCTGCCCATTCTATGTAGCAATGCTGCTAATGATTCCCAGCCAGTTGCATATAAACATTCATTTCTAATATAGTCAGTCATTGATTTTAATCGTGGATTAATATGATCGGTTAAGATTAATTTTACTTTCCATAAATCATCTTTGACGTGAATTATTTCGTTAATTCGAAATATCGAATGTGAAGACAAAACAACGATGTTTTCCCCTTCTGAATAATAACTACTATCATTCAAATAAGCATAGGGAATTGTAGACTGACACGGATCGATTTCCATTTCAAAAATAATTCTCAAATGTCGATGATCAGACTTCAGAGAACGACGAGCGACTTGTTCATTTAAAGAGGCTAGAAGAAAACAATGGAAAACATGCAGACGACCTTGTTTCGATTTTATAGATTGTTCAAAATCATTAGAAGACATTCGTTGTCCAAGATAAACCGTAAACCTGCTCGTCTGCTTTGCCATGGAGTAAATTTGTTTGATTTCTCGATGAAGATCACGTATGAACATGCCCGTTTGGATTAGCATATCCCAATTTTGTGTGACTAAAGCATTTCTCATCACATCATTCAGTATTGATTGCTTTATGAACCACCAAATTGGTGAGTGCCGTGAATAATTCTCTTCGAACACATTGATGTCTTGGAAGTTTTTTCCACGATCAGTGTAAAACTTACGACAGGCATTAAATCCTTCCTTTCTGGCTGTATCATCATACGAAAGTTGAATTATTAAGTCAAAAAATAGTTTCGAATATAAATCGGATAATTCTAATTCAGTCGGACTGTCATCAATAGAGGAAATACTATTTTTGGATTTCGAATCCGCATGAGGTAAACCAAAACGACATTGTATTGCAAAAGAAAACTGTTCGATTTGTACAAATATTCCATGCAATTTGCTGCAATCATTCAAATAAGTTTGTTCCTCTGATAATTGATCGGCAAATACGAACACTGAATCAATCATAATCATCTCTTCTACATATTTCATTAAACAGCGAAGTATGTCAGAGGAAAATGAGTTTGTGATGACTAAAACTATATTTACATTCGTAACTGACCGGAAAAAGTCAATGCATTGGCCGACGTTGCCATGAACACGAACAGAATCAATCAGATCTCGATTATTATCAAGTAAATATTTGATATGTTTCTCCGCATGACTTGCATTGGAGTCCAACCAGAGAATAACAGGTTTGGTAATGTGATATGATTGGATGTTTGTTGAAGAGACCATTGTTTCTAAATGTATTTCTATATTGATGATCTTTTTTATAAACTTGGAAGAATCATTTTTCCCTCACTTACGCTATACGCAACGTCATTTCATGTTGGAATTCAAGAATGAAAATCTTTTTCCTACTTCTGTTGATTTTACTTTCCATCTAAGCGATAAGCAAGAAAAGAACGAAAAACTCGTCATGATTCACAAACATGTGACTTTCAACATATTTATTTACTCAATATCTTGGAAATTTAATCGCAATGTCATTGCACCATGAAATTTCACTGTCTAAGTCTACATCGTTCACCGTCTGTCAACACTACTGAAGATCTTCCTTCAAAATTGTTACACAAATCAGCTTCACATCGACAGACATGTTTTACTCCGAATCATCAATCAAATCATCTCGTCTCTTTGGAAAAAAAAACAGATGAGAAGGACGTAAGACGATCAGATTTTTCTGTCTGATTATGTGGGTAGTGTATGTCAAGATAAAATAAACATGACATTTACGTTAACTTGATCTATAAGTTGTCAAGAGATAATTAAGTCTATCAAGAAGTACAAGCACTTTTCCTCGCATTCACCTTGGACAGTGACAACAAATTAAATTATAATTGTGACCTCATCAGAGATTAAATCAGACGAAAAAAAAAAACGATAAACTGTCAAAAATACGAGATAATCATGAAGCAATGGATATAATGATAGAAAAACGGAAGCGGAAAAAAAGCAAATGAAATTGATTGATGAATATCACATTTTTCGTCATACTTTACCGTTCGAATGTCTAATTTGTTGTTCGCTTCAGCATCCTTTCATTAGGCAAGCTTTTTCTCAATAATAACTTTATCAAAAAAGACATTTACGCTCGAATAATTTTCCGTCCTTTGCAACAAAATAACATACTCGTTCTCTGGAGGTATATCAATCATTCTAATGCGTATTCGATCTATTATTTATGAAAATCACCCATGAAAGAGTAATTGACCACTTCGACACCATAAATCTTTTTTTTTCTGTATAGAATCTCTCGACATCATTGTTCATATATATATATATGCTTCGGAAAAGAAAACCAACAACAATCAAACCAAAATGCGAAAAAGAAGAAAACAGAAATAGGAAAAGTCTCTTCCTCTTGCGTACCAAATACACATATAAACACACACACACATGTTCTGTACAAAAGATGACACACATACTAACAAGCACAAGTTGGAAAGGAGAAAAAGAATAAAATGTGTATCATACAAAAGAGAAAACATATGACATCTTCATCAAATTGTGGGTATACCTTCATTTTCAATACAAATAATTTTGTGAAAAACTGTTCGAACGATAGTCGACTTGGAACATGTGTCAAGTCGATTGAAATAGACAAAAAATAAAATAAATAGGATTAAAAGGCCAAGCAAAAGCGAACGGAGCCATGTTTGTTTCAAACGATTCCAAACGGAACTTCTTGTTGGACTTGAAGTAACAGTTTTTGTTGATTTATCTTCCATAAATGACGGTTTTGTTGATTGTAAACGATGAAGAAGTGTGGACTGAGACGTGTCATCAAGAATCGAAGTAGTCGAAACAGGTGGAAACAAAAGTTTGGAATTATTATTAAGAGTCTGATGTGTGTAGATTGTTGATGATGAAGAAGATGGTGGAAGAGATGTTCGATCATATTCAATTCCGCTATCAACTTGTTGAAATTTATTCCGTTGACGATCAGTTGTATTTGTTGATATTTTATGCACATTCACCGGTTTAGCTGATTCATCGTCGGATGATTCGTGTAGTTTATAGTAATGATTTGTTGATTGATGAGTATCTATAGTGGATTGAGGAATTTGATGATGGTACTCGGTATTTGTTGTTGTTGTTGTTTCGTTTGTACGTTCGTAGAAGACAGGTTTGGTTACTTCAACAACTGTTTCGATGTATAAAACTTTGCAATCATCGGATATATAAGAAGTTGTCGAACTTTGTTTATTCGCCGTCTCGTTACCGAAATTTTCTTCAAGGTAAAAAACAAATTAATTACAAGCATATCAAAATCGATTTGTAACTTACGATTCGAATCGTTTAATGTCGTTCGACTATCAGTTGTACGCCGGTATTTTTTCTGTCGGCTATTCTGGTTGTAACTCTGTTGAGTAGAGTATTGCAAAGGAGCTGCTGATGACGAAGAAGATGATGTATGGAATATGGATGAATTGTTATTATTTAGATTAATTGATCCATCAAACGACACATGTTTCGATTGACTTTTACGAACGAATTCACTTAACATCTTCTTGTATAAGTCTAACTTCGATTCACAGTGGTTTTGGATTCTCAAATGCAAATGTGATGTGTACTGAGTTCTTGAATAACTTAAATGATTTATGGATTGTTCGTATTTCTCAATTAATCTTTGTATGTCTTGCAAATTCATCTATTAGAAATGAGAACAATGAGTAGACACGTGGATTGAAACGCAATTCTTTTCAAATTACCTGATAATTGTTATTGTATTCGCATGACGTTAATTTCTGTTCGATTTGTGTTTCAATAGGAATGAGATTTTCGATCATTTTTGATAATGTACGTAATTGACTTTGATACGTGTCCATTCTGAATTGAATAGAAGAGAAAGAAAGATGGGCGGAGGGGGTTAGAGAGAATATTTTCAATGAAAACATACTTATCGGTCAGTTGGTTAAGTGCCAGACGACAACTATGTAAATGTTCATCAATATTCGATGAGGATGGACTGTCGAAATATGCCATTCGATATTCGTTAAGATGTTCTTCGGCAAGGAGGATATCAGAACGATAAGAAGAGATTTTCTGAAAGAAAAACAAGTATAAAGAGGAGAATGTTAAATCGAATGAGAAAGATTTTTCTTACTTGTCGAGATTCTTTTTCCGATTCAAGTTCGTAATTAATTCGTCTCAGAATTTCAGTTAAGGAGCCATCATTCAACCAGGGATGAGATTGATTATGTGAGGAATCGATACGAGCTAATTCTTCGTCTAAACGTAATTTCAATTTGATAATCTCTTGTGATACGTAAAGCAATTGACGAGCTTGCATTCGATCATCATTAACTTGTTGTCGCATGTCATGCCAACCAGAGAGATATGCTGCAAAAGAAGATTAATAGTGAAAGGTTAGAAAACACAATAGGAGATATAACACACGCATCTGGTACTCATATTCTATCAAATATGCTTACTATTTTGGTTACAAAACGTCCATATAAACTAAAAGATGACTCTATCTGATAATCATTTATCTAATATTTATATATCGATGAACCCAAACAGTGAAAGATCAATCTATACAACAGATCGAGATACATAACAGGTAACTTCTCGCGGGTGTAACATGAGATTTCGAAACATACATTCATTGAATATAAACAAGGCAAGGATTAATCCAAATAGCTGACGAACGAAAGAGCGAAGTGTTACCTGCATAGATGCTCAATCAAGAATTAAGAATGAATGTATTTCTCAAGATCAACAATTAAATCGGCTTAACATTTATCATATTTTCCTTCAGTATAACAATGAATGGACCTTCTCATTCTTCCGTGATGTAATCTAATCAGAGACTTACACGAGTGTTGTCGAGATGGAGAGTCGAATCTGACGGTCTAGAACGTGCGCAGGCAAAGTACGAGTATGAATGAGAAAAATGCCTTTTTCCTCGCTCTATCTTCTCTCTCTTTTCTGTCTTACTCTGTTAGAAGCAATAAGGATGTGGTCGTGTTTTTGTTGTTTCTCTTTTCTTTTATCGAAGGACACAATACTTACTACTACATCGAACGAACGATACAAAAAAAAAGGGAGAAGAGAAGAGAAAAGCGTGTAGTAAGAACGAAAGAAACAAACAAGATCGCGATCGTCTGTATGCATTCATACGAAAGCAAGACATTCTGCCATGTCTGACTCGATTGGAAAAAATAAGCATCATCGTTAAAATCTCGAAATCTTGAACAATTACCATCATGTCGAACTAATAAACAAATATTTGTCGTTCCAAGGTAATTGATAATGATACTAGCAGCGTACTGAATTTATAACCATAGGCTCGGCGAAGAAATGAAAAGTATACGATGTGCGTGCTGTTTATATAGAGAAAGGCACTCTATTGTCGTCAAGCACATACACATATTCTTAATTTTCAATGATCGAAATGAACAATTATCGTTCTACTTTCTCCTCAGTTGTCTACTGTCAAGTGGAGGCAGGCTTGAATATTGTCTGTGTGTAATAGGAGCTGCTGGTGATCGTAATTGCACTAGTAGTCATTATAAAAGAACAATAAAGAAAAGAAATTGAGAAACAATGAACGAGAAGGAGACGTTAAATAAACACACGCGTGGATATATACATATATTGGTTAATATACGCATAAAAGAAGAGAATAGGTGACGTCTATCTAACGATAATGGACCAGAGCCTGTAATTTATGTTTGATATACGTGTGGGAAAGTGAAATAGATCGAGTGTAGACATTTAGGACAATTTTTCAATGTGGAACTCCTCTATTATTTATGTTCAATTGTCTACTTTACTTACTTTGTAATTGTTCAATCGCTTTTGTACTGTTGAGACGTGAATTCTTTGATCGATGAAGATTCTTTAAAATTTGTTGTAAACATTGAATATTGGTTTCACACGTTCGCAAAACTTCATCCTATGTTAATCAAATGAAAGAAGAAGAAGAAAAAAACACATCAACATTAAAATAGAAATAAGCGAAATAGATCAAATATTACATACATATTTTCGTAGATTGCGATCGTTTAATGTAAATTGTTGTTGACGTTTTTTCTTCTCTAAACTTTGTCGTGCTTTAAATAACTGTCGTTCTGTTTCATTTAACACGTAGTTGAAATCGTCTAAGTCAGAGTCGGAATCTAATAATTCTTTATTTCCAGCTAAGCCACCTGTCAATGATGATGATGAACCATGGATATTCTAAAGAGATCATTGACAATGATTGTGTCATCGACAGATATGTATATGTATATGTGTAAAGATTCATCTCTCGGAGGGCGTGGACGATACGAGTGTACATTATTCTAATTAGCCATTGTCATACAAATATGTAGGGATCAAGTCAAAAAGAAAAACAACGGAGTACTTTTGAGCGTATGTGAGGAGAAAAGGCACACTCGAAACAATTATTCATGTATGAGTCAATGAAAAACAAAATCCTCGAGAATACGAAACATAAATCGTCAATTAACATTTACACTTTGGACGCGTTCGTTGAAAAAACAACGTAACGCTTTTCTTCACTTGAAACCAATCGATCAAGAAAAGAGAAAAAACCGTATAAGTTTAAATAATGTGCATCCAACGAAGCGTAGAATGGATGATACATCTAATTGAGCGTTTCTCACCTTTCTAACCTTAGATATCTACCTGATAAGATTGTTCCGTCGTATCTTCTGTTAGTTTTTGCAAAACTAGATAGGCAAGTTTGATAGTCCAATGATCAATGTTAACAAACCACATCAGCACTCATTGGAAAGACAACTAAGCTAAGAGAGTCGCATAAGACGACGAGGAAAAAAAGGTAGAAGAAAGAGAGAAAAAAAACTACGACGAAAAAAAGAAGAAAAGGGCATCTCCCGTTTCTTTTTTTTGCTTTTCTATTCTCCGCACGCTCTATCTATAATTTCTCTTGACGTTGGCGGCACGAGCAAGTACTGAAATTTTTTTACATATATATGCGTGTGAAAAAAAAAGAAGAATAGGAAAAAGAAGAGAAGAAGAAAAAAAAAGGAAACGTTCATATGTGGTTTTTCTATTCTATTCTGTTCTGTTCGAATGCGGTAAATGACTAATCTCTTTTCTATGATGTATATCCTCTATCTATCTGAAAAGAATAATGTATCGAACTGTTGGATGAGATACAAATGATGAGTAAGAAAGAAAATAACGGCGAAAGTGAACGTTTGACCTTTAGCAATGTTCAGTCATTCTACAATGAAAATAAAGTGATGTGGATATGAATGAGTTGGATATATATATATATATGAATGGACATATTTATGTCCTTGAAATGATATCAGAAGAAAAAGTAATTTTACGTTTCATTACCACTTGTCATCGGGAGGAGTAAAGAGAAGCAAGCGGCGTCTTATTGTCATTTGCTTTGATGAGAAGAAAAAACAAACGAAAACAACAGCGAAAATTTCACTAATCCTCTCAATGTACATTTGGAGATGGATGCGTGATCTCTCATCTAAGTAGAAATATCTTTTAAGAAGTCATTTGTGTCTTCTGATTGATCTTTCAAGTGCTTTTTTTATCGTCTTGGTAAGTGATGTCGTGGCGTGTGTTTTGTTGCTCCTTTACTCAGTTTCGTTTTTAATTTCAAAGAAGAACTTTCTCTCGAAAGAGTCAGATGAATCAATAAGCTTTTTGTGTGTAATAAAGTATCAACCCTGAAAAGCGCTATCGTCAAGAGGATCGACCTTGTTTTGTTAGCGATATACAATGAATTATATTGAAAAGCAATCGAAAGGTTTATAAAAGCAAACCACTACAAGCTGTTGTGTGAAGGACTTATGACTGGAATGTTTTCATGATGCGTTTGGATGTCGAAAATTTGCCTTTCGGTGACTAAATCTGTTGGTAGTCAAAAGATCGTTTTCTTTTTCTTTTATGGATAAGATTTCATGTCGAGAAAGGAAAGATTTGCTGCCGATGGCTTTACAGTAGCCAAAACAAAAATCGATCATCGATTTGTTTATCTAACCATTATTACTCGACAATTGTTATTATAAACACTTCGAGAATGCAATAGTGATAAATCCTTTTCAATCTAATGATATCATTTTTACAATCGATGTGTTTATTTATCTACCACATAGAAATCACTTGAAAATGAAGAAAGAAGTCAAGCTTTTCTAAACTTACGTAGTCACTTTCTAGCTGTTCATTGGCTTCGGAGTGAAGGAGAAAAGATATTTACCTTAAATGAACGATTGAAATTGTCGTCGAAATAGTTTTCATTATCCGATGACGAATCATTGGGTACATCCATTTCTAAAAATTGATCTTCCCATTTCAATGTTGTTTCCATGGAATCAATGTCACAAGAGTTCAGTTGATAAAACAACGGATTCTGATTGAGAAACGAATGGATAGAGAATATTTTCGCAATATAATTGATCTACCTGATATCCATCCCAACATGGTTCAGAACCATCGACTTTCTCTCCCATGATGATTGTGTTCAATGAATCAAATACTAAAGAAATGACTTTCAATGAGATTTTGTCGTTGGAAGAAAGAAGTTCCTACCGTCTGATGTCGACGACATTGGTAAATTGATCAAATCAACCTTCATCATTTGAGATACTTCACCTATTGAAAAGGAAAAGAAGAACGAATCAATGACGTAATCACCAATATTGTAATTCTCTCGGTTTTTTTTCGACTCAGTTTTATTGTTTCACAAAAGTCAATATATAATTGAATTGAACCTATTGCGAGACAGAATAATCATTAACATTTACAATCCTTACCTAAATTTGGTGTTTGTTGTTGATCTTCCGCTTCCGATGGCGTTGTCGTTGTTTCTAATTCAACATCCGATGAATATCCTGTCGTGGTAGTAGTCGTAGTAGTTGTTGTTGTTTTCTTATATCGATTATAATACTGTGGTTCACAATTATGATAACGATGAACTGGTGAATTCGAATTAAAATCAGAAGATAAAATATCCACATCGTTCTCTGATTGTTCAGGGTCAGTGTATTCTGCACTAGCATCATAAGAATTCGATGCTGGATTCGATGGTAATTTACTTTGTAATGGTGATAACTGCGATGGAGACGGTTTCGAATCTGTATACTTTTTACTGTACATGAGTAAGGATGGTTTGACTTGAGCTTTTTTCGCTTCTTCAATACTTATGTCAATATCTGGGTTGGAACACGTATCATATGCTGATGTAATTGAATGTCGCCACCAATTAGGTAAATGATGATTGTGTTCAAGGACTGGTAATGAATGTGTTAGGGAAGTAAAACTTGTTTTGTTGTAATTTGTGAAATTTTGTCCGATGTAATAATCACTTTGACTTGTTTTGATTTGAAATATCGGTTGAAGACTTTCGTCCGACTGATTAGTTTCATCTTCACTTTCATATCCGACATCTAATTTAGACAATGTTCGTTTTTGTTTTTTATTTGTGTTTATTTGATCATCAAGATCATTTATATTGGTTAATGAATAATAAAATGTTGATGGAGAATTTATTGGGAGAAGATTTAATGACATTTGCCGTTTTGATCTTGCCATGTCTTTATTCATATAAATCGAGTTTGATTGAAGATTGTTATTCGAAGAAAGAATTAAGGGTGATTGACAACGTTTTGAATTCGATTTCGAGTAATATAAACTATCGAGACTAGTGTTTGATCCGGTGAGAGGAATTTTCTCGTATTCACTTGATTCAAACGGGATAATATCGTCCTCTTCGTCGTCGGCTACGTCTTTTTCGTCAGATAGAACAAATGATGTTGGACTCTGGAATGAAAAGAGAAAAAAGTGAAGTTAAATGAATGCATTTAATCAGTCAACCTGAATCATCATCTTCATCATCTTTTTCCTTTTTCTTCTCCTACCTTCCTTTGATCTTCAAGATAATCGGTATTCAATTTCCGAAGAAAATCAACGATTGCCTGACTCGAGGTCACCAACGTTTTTTACCTGCATATTAATGTATCCTACTGATGTTCTTGCAACTACCGACTATCTCTCTCTCTGAGGACATGGAACGTTCAATTAACATGGAAAGAGGAAGAAAAACTGGAGAAATTCGAGATTATGAGATGAGTTAGTAGTGGTGATGATGATGACGTAATGGATGTCTTTATTTCCATTGCTTGTTTCCTGTCCGTTTGACATGAATGTATCAGCCTTCGTATAGCACTTCTGGCGTTATCAACACTCACTCGTTCAATGAACTGTTCTTTTGTTCAACTATGGGCTATAGCATCCAAGTGCAAATCCGTTGACTAACACTATGATGTTGTACTCATCAATCAGGGAAATAAAGAGTACAGGATTGTAATGTGCAAATTGGAAAGAAGGGAGAGAGAGAAAAAGAAGAAGTCTATATATCATAAATTACGTTATTACGAGAGAACATACTTGAATAGAATGAGATTCATGGATAAAATGACTAATACGTCTTGTCTAACTGTCGATTTATTCGACAAGTCTATCTATTCATATTCCACTATTTCATATAAATCATTGTCAGTGACCGTGGCGCTCTATTTAGTACAGTACAAAAGAAGAGAATGATTTAAATTACTTTTCGCCTTCTTCTTTTCTTCTTCTTCTCCTGCGTTCTCTCTTGCGCTCTATCCGTCTATGTATTTAACTCTGCTTCTCTCTCTCTATGTATCTAGTTCCTGTCTTTATCTGTATTGCAGCTTTGACGCGACTTCAATTTTCTTCTTTTCACCACACCAATTCTTTTGTTATTCCTCGATAGACGACAGACTCTTACTTATATACAAACACATCTAAGCTAGCAGAAGATTAAAAAAAAAGAACGATGTCTTGCGATGATGACACACGTATAAAGGGATCAACACACACATACATATATACATTCGAGAAAGAAAATTGAGAAGGCCAGATGACTGATTGTATACTGATGTCCGAGCACATTATCTTTGCTCTGTTTATCTAAGTAAACTGAAAGAATAATTCCGATCGAGAAAAATGACGCCGAAGGGTATCGAGAAATAAACATAATTTTACCTGCTGAAAGCGGACATCGTATCTTTGACAGTTTATGTCAACTGTGAACGAACTGATGGCTAGCATATGTTAAAAGACAAATAACAAGCTGACACACACGTATGGATGGATGTCAGATGAACGCATTTACTTTTTCTTTCAATCGGTAGATCGGTCAATCATTACCAACGGGCAACAGATCGGTTTCTTAAACAAACCAAGAAGGAGAAGAGAAGAAAAAGCGCAATGAAAAGTTTGACAGACACATTTGAGTCATTTTCAACTAAACATAAGACATACAAGGTTTATCATCTCTGATTAGTCATTTTTACTTTGTCGTGTTGTATAGCAATAATCAATAATTTATACACATTGGGACAAGTTTGTCGTCGGCCTCTTTCTCCCTCTCTTTCAGTCTGTTCGAAGTATGTCACCGTATGCACACACATTCAAATGTGTGTTTAATTTCATTCATATAAATATATATATACTCCAACTAGTAGTTCACCTCATGTTGCTTATTAGTAAACGATAGATAGAGCAATGATGAATAGAAACTTACGTTCAACTAGTAAAAATTGCGACAAGCATAGCATTGTTTGAAATAAAAAAATCGTCAATCATTTGGAATTGTAAAATGCTTTGTGTGTATGTGTGTCTTGTTCTCTTCCTCGTTTTTTCCCTGCTCGATCAACCATCGGTCGAAAATGTTAGACAATGAATCAAAGCACAAAAAAAAAGAAAGGCAGATCGAGTCAGGAAGAGAGAAATAGAGCGAGAAGGGAAAATGTACGCTTACGTTTACTCTCTTAGCTCTTCAAGTACGACAATACGCATCTGAACTGTACCTTGTCAAATGAATAGAAAAAAAAGAAAATTAAACATCTACACGCTCAGACACACATTTCTACATATAGGTCACTCTTCAAATAATCTTAAGTTTGCCTCATAAGAACATCTATAGCACGATAATTAATAGAGAACAAGCTGAAGAGAAAAGATAATGCCATTAGAAGACTCGATGATCGTATTGGGTCACTTATGAGCCATACGTTAGCAGACGTGCATGACATTTCAGCTATGATGACATACCGCATACATAACACTTCGAGAATATGTAGAATACGTGTAACTGGCACGAATGTCTATACATTTTTTGGCTGATGTATTTGCTTTAGCACAAATCTCGATCTCTAATCAATGGAAGATATTTACATTTTTCGAAGGTAAAGTACATACATATTAGAATAAAACATACTGTATGCAAGTCGTTCGAATGGATTTATTTGAAAACTACTTACCCGGAGAATTTTGAGTTTCTCTTCGAGTTTACATTGAATTTCCACTGAATTGATCCATGTTTGATGCCAGCGATTTTCCAGATCGCTGGCAAAATCGAACGGAACGAGATCGATTTGTTCATTGTAATCATGTCTCAAACGTTCACAGATCTCGATGATCGATGATACGCGACTATTGCGCGATTTGATCTCATCTTGTAATTTCTACAAAGACAAAGAAAAATCAATTATTTGTTGTTAAACCATTGACCTATTACGAAAGCAAATCTTACCGTATGTTGATGAAGTTTATACTGAAAATCTTCTAATGAAAGGTCATCGCTGCGTATCGATGTAAAAGTTGATAATTGTTCTTCAGTTTGATTAAGCCATTCCTCAAATAACAGTAATTCACTATGTAAATCTAAAGAATAAAAGATAATAGTCTTTTTCTTCTTTATTCTCGAGAAAGATTAATCACCTTGAAGTATGCGATCGAAATCTTCATCAAGATAATCGAGAAAACGGGATTCAAGAGAATTCCATTGACGATTTATACGAATCATTTTATCATTAATATTTAATTTTAAGTCGGGAAAACGTTCGGTTAGTTTATCAGCATACTGATCAAAGACACGTAAACGCATTAAACCTTGTTCATACAATTCTTCATAATATTTCTACAAACGAGACGAACATTGAGAGAAAAAAAAACCTCATTTACCAAATATTTTCTTGTACCTGTCGAAGGTAACGTACTAACGCGTTTGATGAAACTGTCGTTATTGTCTCGAAGATCTTTTCACACCAATGAAACAGTTCGGTATATTGTTTTTCAAACTCATTATAAGACACATGATGAACGGAAAGATCATTTAATGAAGAAAATGGTTCCGTCAGAGAACCCTTAAAACACATTCGAGTATTTCAAAAATATGATTCGAACAGCAAATGCTTACTTTACAATTACAGATTAATTCTTCCGACATGAGAAAGTTGTAATCGTCAACTAATGTTCCATTCCAAAATTCTTGTCGTTTTTTATTTCCAAATTCTTGTGTATGTCTAAAAAGAAAAAGGGGGAATTTATGTAAACAATCCGATTTCGAACATGCTTAAGCGAAATAACTTAATTGCCGTATATTCGATCGTCTACTACACAACGTTTCGAACTAAAAAAAAACTACTGATTAGGATCGATTTTTTCATGAGCGTACATGTCAGACTGAGTGCGTGTTAATGAGGTAAGTGTAAGAGCAAAAGAGGTGAGATGATGCGCAGATATGATTCAAATTGCAGACGACTGTTTTTTTCGTGCTCGATCATCGACAAGTCATATGTCGATGGATAATAGGGTAATGACCTTTGTATTGCAAAAAAAGGAAACTTGCTCAGGTGAAGAAAAACGCAAAGAAGCATTACGTGAACGACAATGACAAATGATGATATCGATTGAAAACGAAAAGTTTAAAAAAAAAATCGATGAGGGTACTTTCGATGAATTCAAGATTATCATATATCATCGCAAAGACCTTGAAGATTCTGTCCTTCGACAAGAGAGGAAGACGCAAGTTGTGAAGATGTTTGAAAAATATGAAATGAATCGACATGAAAAACATGAGAAGTTTTCGGAAATATATTTTGATTGTTTGACGGACTTGTTAATTAATATTTTCGTTTGAGTCAAAAAGAAATATGAAATACTCGTTAGTTCTCAAGGTTAACTATCTTGTTATCGAACCGAACCAATTTCAAACATATTGATAATTATACTAAGAAAATCATTTTTTTCTATTTGTTTTAATTACTGGAAAAGATCAAATAGCTGATAAATATGTGGACAGATTCGGACGAAACGTATTCGATTCAAGGCGTACCTTTGTCATGTACTTCTCTTCAAGGTAGAATTTCGCTAGAAAATACCTATCAGTTTATTGTAGAACGATATCTACAAAAGTCATCACGATAGCAAATCGAATCAAAGTTTTACTTTATCGGAACGATATTTATAAACGATCGTTCAATTGAAAAGAAGGTCAACAGACGTTTACATTGATTAGTGGAAATTATAATCTTTTACTAATAGTTTATTTGTCTGTCATACGAAACGAAAGAATCTCGAAGAAAACTTAGCGAAGTAATTTCAATGAAAATCATCTGTCGACGGCTTCTACAGATATCGATGAATGTACTGATCAAGCGAGAACGAAAGATTTTCTTCTAATCATGTTCGTTTCGTATGCAGTTTACATTCTTCGAGAAAAACATTTGTTTACTTACTACATCGTAGAACAGAGAAAATACATCCATACATATCAGAAGTTGACTTCATGCATATCGACAACTTTCGAAATGTAATGAAACACAGCGAGAAAAGGTAGAATAATTGAAGAAACGAACGATAGAGATCTATTTCGTCTCATTCATATTTAGTATTGTATAAGCTTGAAAGGCCGTGTATTCATCTGATTCAATCAAGACATCGAAATCGAAATGTATATCTGATCGAATCTTTGTCAACTTCATCAAAGAAGGATAGCATAACAAGAACTTTCTCTTCGATTTCGAACTCATCTTCATTGATCAAGACAAAGAAAAAATGACGACTGTATTCAAAGAAAGAAAAGTTCCGACCGATTATTTTTTTCGTCTTATATAACGTTTTGGTTATTACAAACTAATCTATTTCGATTTTCAATCCAACTTGGATTCGATTTCATATGAGCTTACCGTTAATATTGTAGATTATAGATACGATTCTTGCAATATAATTGAGAAATGAAATGAACTTTTTTTCACCCGAGTTATGATATTCATGAGAAGGGAAAGAAGAAAAAAAAACCTAGGCAAATGAACGATTTCAATCTATTTCTTTATGCAATATTCATTTGTTTTCATTACACGCTATGAGGTTGGTGTCAATGTCATTTCTTTTTCTCTCTCTTTACAACGGTGTATATACAATCGTAGTTACGGTCTTCTCTTCTATACAATTGAAGGACTTGTATAGCATGTATGCAAAAAAAAATTGAAAGAAAATTCAAATTAGAAAGTATTAGTAACATTCTCAATAATCAATCAATTGAATACTTACTTATTCGATTTGAATGAAACTAACGGATGTTGAAATGGATCCTTGTCGTTCATTTTGTTCTGGTATGTGGCGACTCAGTCGACTATGTTAACAATTGTCATCATTCAATTTCGTGATCTAGAACAATGAAGCGATAGTTAAGAAAATTTCTCTTCGAAGAACTGTCTGTCATTCACAATAATGTCGAAGATGTGTTTTTAAGCGAATACCGGATATGCTGCATGCCTCACGCATCTCTTTTCCTTGTACAATTAAACTCGTCGTTCTGCGGGTGGTGTACCACAGAGAGAAGAAAAGAATGGATACAAATCACTCTCAGTAATGGCGAACACAATCATTTTTCTATTCACATTCACTACCACAGTGGTGGTGCTGATGATGATGATGGACGAAGGTCAGTTGTGTATACACACTCAACTAACATTGATGAGATGTTTATATTCATCCCGTCAGAATGCAAATAGTTCGTCTATACATCATCAGACAAGAAAGAAAGAAAGACGAGTTTGCATTTTCAAACAGTATATAAACATGAATAGACTATAAAAGAATATCGAAAAGATCATCGTGTCAAGGTCTTCATTCATTTTCCTACAACAAAAGCATTCGTTCGAATTAATTAGAAGAAGATTAGTCTGACTTGCCACTGTCTCCTTTCTGTCAATCCGCTAACAATATTGCCCCGAGTAATAATAAATTCTGTACATATGCACCGACGATGATATTCACACCCTTCCGGCAGACAACGGAATGGAAAGAGAAAATAGTAAAATTACAAGTAAATACTGTTGTTGATGAGATTTTTCAATGCACGTACATATGCTATCGGCTACTTAACAAACACAAGGTCAAGAAATGTATGTCGTGCTAATAGAATATGTAACGTGAGAAGTGTTTATTTCTATAGAAACATTGAATTTCTTTTTGTTTGTACTGGTAAAAGAGATGCGTGAGGCATGCAGCATATCCGGTATTCGCTTAAAAACACATCTTCGACATTATTGTGAATGACAGACAGTTCTTCGAAGAGAAATTTTCTTAACTATCGCTNAAAGAAAGAAAGGAAAGTAATCTTATATGCAATATCTTTAAACAACATTTGAACTAATCCAATCAATAATTGATTTCTATCAGCATAACACAACAGTCGTTGACCTTAAAACATCCGCATCAAACTGATTATGCGTCTGTGTCTACTGTGCTATGCACCGTTGAATCTCTTTGTGTATCTTATTAACATTTGTTGCTGTCTATGTTTTTGTCAATCATTCGGGAGAAAAGATATTGATTCGATACGCTGGATGATATTTATTGGATCTTCTTCTTAGCAAATTTTAGCATCGTTAAGTGTTTTTTGAGAATAGTTTGGCCATTGTTCCATTTCGTGAGGACGTGCTCCTTCATGTGTTAATTCAACAGGTGTACTAAAACTTGCATTACGATGAAATGGACTATTCAATGTTTTTAATTGTGTGACACCCTAGAAAATTGCATTGTTGAATGAAAAGAAAAACTTCTCAAAGATAATATTTACATGTGTTGCATGTCGATGTTCAGTCCAAAATGATACCGGCATTTCATGTAGAAGGTCATGAGCCTAAACAGAAAGGTGAAGAAGACTTATGAAAGTAAATTGTTATTGTTTTTCGTTCGTAGAAAAAGAGAAAGTGCTCGATGTAGTTTACCTGTGTCGTTGGTGGTGGTTTCGATTCGAATTGTTTGGTGTACTGTGTTTGATATTCACTTGATGAATCGTTGACACGTTGGAATCGAAGCAGTTCTTCACTTTCGCTTTGACGCGCATTGAATTCCGCAGCAACTTGCTTGGTTAAGGAACGTTCGAGAAGTTTACGTCGAACTCCTTGCTCTTTCTGATCGAATGGACCAAATTTATAGTAACTATCACGATATACTGTAAGATCATCAAGCGGTGATGTATACTGCGGAGTCAATATAGCAGTATGAGAAGTTTTTTTAACATTTGGCGGTGAACTTCGCTGCTGTGTGTTATTTTGCTGTTGGATACGATGATCTAAATGTTCTGTGGCTCGTTCCTCGACCCAGTTTTCGATTAAAACTTGTCCGTTCGCGTTTGGTATACGTCGAGTTTGTTGAACATTCATGTTTTATCGAAATATCTTTATTTAGAAAATGCAACAGTTTGTTTTCTGATGACATTTGTCGGTACAAACTATTTTTGTAAACATGGTAACCGTCCTCCGTGAGTTGCTTTGCTCGCAATGATGTCGTTGATAGGCAGGCGAGCAAACGTGCTTGTTTTCGTGACAACAGATGCAGCTTGATTGATCTCAGGAGAATAATCAAGACTTAATTGATTTCTTCCGCTCGAGAAGATAGATCTCAGCGTGTCATTCATTTCTGTCACATATTAAAAGAGACAACCTTGAAATAATATGTACTTAAAAGTGTCACAGTGAAATATGATTTATGTATTTAGTTTGAAGAATAGAGGATGTGTTCACTGATTTGATAATCATATTAGATTGACGGATGAATGGGAAATCTAGTGGAAAGTCTTGTGTTGGGAGAGTTGATGAAAGGAAGTTAAAGTGACATCTTTATTATTATTCTCGTGTTCATCTAATATATTTGTACCCAGCTTGAAGAGCTGAGTCGGTTCTATATTCATCAATCATTGCTTCGGACATTCTCAACACGTAATTCTTATCAATCACCATGAGAAAAAACAGCACGTGGGAATCATGCATCTTTTATCTTTGATACAAACATTCAAAGCAAATAGCAGTGTTTTTTAAGGTTTTGACTTTCGATCAAGTGAAGCCCATGTAGTTAAAACAGGTGTTGGAAGTTCAGGTTCTAAGAGATAAACATTTGTATTAGTTTGAAAAGAACATCTAATAGGTTACTGTTGATTTGATTCAAGAGAGAAGCCGTGGAGAGATTAAGGGTGGTATTGTGTAACCAAGTAGTCCAACCAAATTTGGTGTGTTTGAATAGTTGAGTTTGATTGTTATTATCATTTTCGGAGGTGGAAGGTGTTTTTGATGCATTGGTATTTTTATTCGGCGATCGTTGCTGTTGAGAATAGATCAAATTAGTTCATATTTACCTGCACATACTGCGTGTTACCTGAGATTTACTGTTTGAATCCGGGCTTTTCATCTAGACAATAGCAAGATCAATGAGCATATAAATAGAAATCAAATGGAATACTTTAATAGAACTCTTTTTTGATAGATTTGTTTTTGCTCTCATTCTGAAAGATTAATCATTTATTTTTCCCGTGCTGTGAGCAGTGTTCTTACGGTGTTGATGACGAGGATCGTTTTTGACTTGTTTTTGAATCTAGAAAAACAAGAATAAATGACCTGAATTCTTGTGAATAGACGAACGGATGGTTTTGGGAGTGTTCAGATGTGATCTGCAAGAAAGCGGACTGTTTGATCATGTATTTATTTGGATCAATGGTATTACTTTGCAGGTCGAAGTTTCAGTGTTGCTTTTGACGGAGTGATAGTTAAATCATTTGTAACTTCTGATCGTTGTTTGATTAGCATATCATTGATTGCTTTTAATCTTTGATCAAGTTCGTTGTTATTTATCGGAATCTTGTTCGGTTTTTTTGATTTATCATGACGACAATGCGCTAAGGGAGATAACGACAGAAAAGTCAAAGAAACAGTATTTAATGAGAATTGTCATACACTGTCGATGTTGACGACGCGCTTCTGCTTCAGCTTGTCGTTCAGGTTCGGTTAGTTTGTATAATGCGCAGAATATTAGACGAATAGTTTTACTGGTATCCAGTATGACGGGAAGAGATCGAACCGCTTGAAAAGAAAACTCGCATTATCGATTAAACTAAATATTCTGAATTCATTCTCATTAGTTATCTCCATAGGACTAAATGTTCGGTTAAATAATAGATTTCTACTATTTCCTTTTCTCAGATTGTTTTCACCTGCTCAGCTTCCATTTCTTGTGTTATTGCGGACATGCAAAATCCTTTTGACTTTGTCACGAGAACGCATACCTGTCTTGGCATTCTGAAAGTAATCTTTTTCTAAAATATCACCAAAAAGTATCTCAAAATTTGACTGTAGGATGATAAATGCTTTGGTAATATTTCTATACGGATCATTATATTCAAAAGATTTGATCTGTTCTTTCTTCGATTGTTCATTTTCGTCTGCATTGGAATGTTTGTCTTTGGACAAAATTTTAATTAACACTTTCGTTTTAAAGATAAATCGGCAGATTTTGATGATGATGCCTTGATCTAATTCAATGCACATTTTCGGATAAATACGTGAATCTGATCGCAAATGCCGATAGGCATTTCTTGTTGTTAAACAAAATCGTCGGATATGTTCTTTGATTCTTCTTAATTCATCTTCCGTATACATTGAAACTTGACAAATGGGTGAACCTGTTTCTCGTTGAGTTAATTCATTGCGCGTTTGGAATAGAAATCGCAGACGATCACTTTGCATTCGTCGGATGGTATATTCAATCAAATCATTAGAAATATTCGCTGCTTTATGAGCCCAAATCTGAAAGAATTTTTCACATGTGGCATTCAATGTATCAGCAGACATAGTTAGAAAATAGAGCGCAAAATTTGAATTTATTCAAGAAATTGTAAATCTGACAAAACTTGTCTTTTGTCGCAAATCAAATTTGAAAAATAATCTCGGTCAAAGAAAGCTCAGTCAACGCATATCAAATGGATAACATTTTCTTTTCGATTGTTGTCGACTTTGACGAGCGCTAATGTCCGGATAAATGTGAAATTCATTGCCCTTTTTCGACAGTGTTATACAAATCTTCGGCAGAAGAACACTGCGAATTTCATGATGTGTTCGCTGATCTTCGTCGTGTGTCTGATCAGATGTAGTCATAAGTTGTTCTTGGAGATAAAACGTCCAAATCGGTGCGACAATTATCGATAAGATCAATAGGGAAAATAAAATATGAGTCGATGTTGCGAACATCATTGTTATCCAATAACAAATAGAAAAATAAGTCAAGTGCATAGAAGAATACTCGCTGCTTTTATATTCTTCCACTGGCAAGAGTTTTTTCATTCAAGAGGAGTCAGTATTATTTATATGATTTTAGAAGCTCATGATTTTTCTGCGTCAGATGAGAAGAACAAAGTAAGAACTGGTTAGATTCTTGACTAATACGAACTAAAATTATATTAACATTCTCTTCTTGCAGAGCTTCGACATCTAAAATAAGAAAATGCGAACTCTTACTCAGAAGAATCACCTGTAGTCGGAAGACATCGATGAGGAGCACTATTCAATGGCATGACGTCATGTTAATCAGAAATCGAGACGCAGAAGAATATAAGGACATGACTTACTGCATACATTGCACTGAGATTGTAAGAAATAAATAAACTTATTTTTACTAACCGGTATGTTATTTAAAAGAAAAACAAAACATACATATACATATGGAAATGTCAGTAAAATAGATAGATATCTAAGTTGAAAAACGAAAATAAACGACAGAACAAAGAGAAGGAGAGAGAGAGAGAGAGAAACACACATACACACTAGTGTGTTGAAGTCATCGTGTTCGTTTCCGATATTTTCCAAATAAAATCTTTTTAAATGCTTGTCGAAAATCAGGAGAAAATATCGTGTAAATCACAGGATTTAAAAGACTATTGAGATAACCGAGCCAAGTTAACACACTGATAATTTTCTCATTTATAGTTAAATGAAAGAGACCACAGATGGTTTCTTCGAGAAAAAATGGTAACCAACATAGAATAAAACAACCCATCACAATACCGAGAACTTTTGTCGCTTTACGTTCGCGTTTAATATCAATTTTCTTTCGCGAGGTATGACTTAACGTTTTCGTCACAACAGTTCGATTATTTGCATGAGAATTTGTATTATTTGCACTAACTAACACAGCTGTCGTGACAACTTTGGAAGCAGGCATATCGGTAATCTGAGCTGAATTTGCCGCAGACATGTTCGCATTTCCTAATGGATTCATAATTGTATTTACTGTTATTGGAGAATCATTATTCAACGACGGTGGTATTAAGCGACGAGTCGACGATATCGAAACAGGAGAATTGATTTGTAATGAATCGTCTTCTGAGTCTTGTTTGGAACGATTGTTCGTGGCTGATTGAATTTTAGGTGAGGAGATAACTGCGTTAGTTGTAAGACTAGAACGTGGCTTTTTTATTAGAGAATTCTTGGATTTTTTCAACGGTTTTAATTGATAATCATTATGATGTTGACTTGCATTAGATGAGACCGTTGAACCGTTCTCTGGTTCAATATCATGTGGATGATTATGATTGGAAATAATCAGATTTCTTTTGAAAAGTCTTTTTAGTTGGAAAGAAGAAAATGTTTGATGTTTGCTTTTATTGGCATGAGGCACTTCATGATTGTCGGTTTCTGATGTAAGTAAAGCATTCGTTTGGGGATGTTTTTCCTTCACAGAGGTAATACCTGACGGTGGTATTCGCGACGATGTTACTGCAGTCGAACGTTCAGAGTTGAATGCACGACGACGTATACGAAATTTAGCCGCTTGAAAAATCTTCCAATAGATAATACACATTCCAATGAGAGGAATATAGAACGCTCCAACAGTTGAAATGATAGTATATGGTACATTGCCTATTAAACGACATTGATCCGAAGGACGACCATTAACATCACGAAATATAGGAAAGAGATGAGCACTGGAGATCAAGATTGATGTTACCCATATAACGCATATTAGAATCAAGATTCGAGCAGGTGTGCGTTTCGTTGCATAATCCACTACAATAGAGAAGACAGATTTTATATTAAAAAAAAAACCATGCGAGAAAATCTATTCTTATAATGACAGCTATTCAGTCCATGCATGTCTCAAAAGTATTAAAAGTTCAAGATAATTTATTCCAATTATTTTTATCTTTAGTCTGCCGCGCTAAGTCTGATTAATTCTATGAGAGTACTCACGGTTGGTAATCGACCAATAACGATCGAGTGCAATGGCAACAAGATGCAATATTGAAGCTGTGCAACATAGTAAATCAATTGTCACAAAAGCATCACATATAAACGAACCAAGTATCCATGAACGTGTTACTTCTTTCAAAAGAGTAATGGGCATCACCTAAATGACAAATAGAAAGTACCGAATAGCAATGACTTCAGCATCAATCTTTCTAATTATCTTCACATAATTAGTTGTTTGTCTTTCCTAATCTTTCTTTTCACAAAAAAAACTGTACACTCCGCGTACATCTGCTAGTAATATTTGTTTGTATGTATAGATAAAAAAAGTAACATTCGATGATCAGTTTACTATTGAGTTCATCGTAAAACGTGAAGTAAAATGTCACATGCAAGCTTTGTGAGTCATTTGACCATTCATTTCCGACATATTATTCCATAAATAATAGCAGACAAAGTAAGAAACTTGTCATAGTAGAAAAGAGAGAAGGAAAACTTCAAGGATAATTATCTCTAACACGCACGTATTGACCTATAAAGCGAAAATGGCAATAGTGAACTGCAAGCTTTATAAGAACGACGTTTGTTCTCTGCGATCATCGAAAATCAAATCATTCGATTGAAGTTATATTATATTTGTCTTCTTGTATCGGATAGATTGTAATGAACAAAAGAAAATGGAAAAAGAATGTTCCGGTGTGGGTGTTGTATGTTTAGTCTTCGACAAGATTTGATAACATCGGTTTTGACAAAAAGTTCCGTTGTGATTCTATTCTCTGACGAGTTTTTTCTTTGTTTTCAGCCTTTCACGATTTTCTATTCATAGAAGAAAAATGACAGAAATCATTGTGTCAGACATGAGTAAAACTCGAGTATCCAACATAGAGACGCGATAGGAAGAAAACGAACGGCAAAGGGAATATAACTAAATCAGTCAGTAAGAAGAAAGAATAGACAAAAATACATGTGAATCCTTCGATTTCAATTTGTTCAATAAGAAAAAGATTGTGCGTGGTACCGAATAATAATTCCAATGAAAACAAACTACGAACATATTCAATAAGAAACGAAGAAGCGACGAGTTATGAGAATCAGCCTTTCCTTGCTTTGCCTATCGATGTATCCATCTCGATCATCAGCCAGTTTTACTAATAACTACAAAACACAAAAAAAAACCAGCGGAATATTAGCAGCTGACTTAGAATTCTTCTATTCGATCAGATTAATTCACTCGACAATGCTGCTGGACTATTTTTAATGAAAAGAAACTCCATGATTTACATCTCGTCATCGACATTAAACAGCGAAGATCAATTTTTGTCAGATCTTGAAAAAACGACATAAACCAGTGAAATCGTATCGATCAATCGAGCCTTGTTTTTGTTTATTCTCACGATCAAGCTATTAAAAGTAAATGCAACTATCAATATCCGTCTTCCACGTCATTATCGAAGAAAAAAGACAACATTACTTCCATCGCAGATGTAGCTTATCAATAAAGTAGCTATCATCGAGTAAATCTGCCTAACACATGTGAATATAAAATCAGCCAGTCAACTGAAAGTTTTCTTTTTGAAGACAAAACTTTGTATTTGATAGCAATGACAGATGGCTAGGCGTCAGAAACATATTCCGAAGTATAAATCACACAATTCATCAAGATAATTATGGCAAAGAATGTGATCTACTTCTGTAGTTGACAAGCCGAAAGAAAAGAAAACAAATCAAACTTGTCAATAGCTTACCATTGCAGCGATTAGGAGATCGGCCACCGCTAATGAAACGAAGAGATAGTAAGCAACAGCATGAAGCGCTTTTTCTAATTTAACAGCAGCGATAACAAGAATATTTCCAGTTACTGTTCCTAAAATAATTGCACCAAGTATAATTGATGTTATGATACAATGTTGAGTCGAAACAAAGATCGATGATGGTTCAAGATGAGTAGGTTTCGATGATGTTAGATCAGTTGTCGAATAGTCGTCACCAGTTAGAGCATGAGGACGTAGAATGTCTCCGAATACAAATGTCGATGAATTTAACTGAGCAAGAGTACCATTTATACATGAAAGATTATATGTTAGAAAACAGTCCATCGAACCGACGAACATAAATTCTGAAAGACGTCGAATCGATATAGAGAAGAACGTAGAAAGTCTTGTTTATCGATTTCTGTTCACTTTGATGCACGAAAGTTAGACTATGGGTACCAATTGAAGGAGCCCGGATGGGCGATGCCATATGGTAATAAGCGTTGATTGAAATCCGTCTTTCACCTGATCAACAACAACATTGTCGCCGTCTGAGTTGTTAGAAGATTGATCATTATTGATGTCTTATCAAATGAATGTGATAAATTCTGAAAAATATTTGTTGAATAGAAAATACATGGAGTAATAATAACGATTTTTCTCTCGGCAAGATACAGAGAGAGAGAGAGAGAGAGAGCAGAAAGGAAGAGAAAGAGCGAAGGAGTCAACTATGAGATTGCTTGTGAATGTTACTAACATATCTTATCTTTTTTTGCAAAGAGAAAGCGTGTTCCTTTCTACCTCTTCTGCTTCTTCTCCTTCCGTTTCTCATCTTAGAGAACAATAATCGTTGTTTTAAACAGGAATGGCGACAAAGAAACAAACCAAGAAAGAAACAACAAAAACTTCTTCACGAAAAGAAAAATCAATAATTTTGTTCTATTACAACATACGACTACGTTCTCATACTCTCGAAAAAACTTATATCTCCGGTACATACTTCTGCCGACATGTTCTATGTCATCAATAGAGTCGTTTCGGACGAGTTAGCGCCTTCACATGGTTAACAGTGAGTTTCTTAGTAAATACAAATATTCGTTATGTTGATCGGATAAATTTTTTCACGATGACGTCCTCAGTTATTCTCAGTACATTGATACTAGCAGAGTACTGTCGAAAAAACACGTCTGCGTTTAATTTAGAATCAAGAAAAAGCATGAAAAGTTTATCAAGATTCATGATCAAAGTTTCTCACAGGAAGGTAACACGATTGACGTACAGTATCAAGATAACTGATCTATGACGGAATCTCCTGATGATATCACTTCAGTCGAAATTCAATCAGACAGCAAAGAAATTAGTCAAAAAGAAAGAGAGTCACATTTGACATTGATCGGAGATAGGGAATTCTTCGTTTCTGCTAACTAACAACTAACAAGAAAAGGAATATTTAATTTGAATTTTCAAAAATGATCGATCATGTCATTATCTCCTTGTGGAATGAAAATCTACAAAGATTTGTAGAGCAAGATTGTTTCCTTTGGAAGAATGTTTCAGTTCTGTGAGACTCGATTACTTCTACTTACCAGTATTCTCATTTTTACTATTAAGCTGCATCCGAAATCAGAGCGGATGTAAAAAACATGTCAGGCAAATATATATATATATGAATCTAGTGTAAAGTACTGTTTTAATTTCTATCATTTCCTCTCTTCATCTTTCCCCGTCATTCCGTTTTTTCATTTTGGAAAACAACAAGGAGAAAAAAGGCACTAGACCAGTACAGAAATTGCTACATAGAACATCTCTTCTACTCTATAGTGACTAATCTCTGTCATTCGTATGGGTCCCTGTAGAAGAAGTATATCTGTCACACTTTTTTATGAACATTATACTTCGAGGAATGTCGAACTCATTTGAGCCGACTACTCGTCTTACAATTAACGTCGTTTTCAACGAAATCAATTGCTAAAAAAAGAGAAGAAACGATATGATTTCATACATACATATACAGATAATTATATCTGCTGTTCTCGCTAAATGAATTATTTTAATTCACTAGGAAAACGTTATCGTACACATCGACGAAATACTTTTCGATAGTTTTACTCCGTTTGATTGAATTGTCGAATTCCCCATTGTACTGCAATCAATGTAAAGCATTTTTTCGCGTATGTACCCATGTGTTTCGGAGATTATTATTCATCACCATGAAAAGAAGCACGACCAGTAGTATTTAAAGAGTGACGTATACGGTGTTAATTCAACCGAAAGTTGTCTGCTAAAAGGACCAATTAAATTAATGTGGAAATTCTTGAATCATATTGATCTTCGTCTCGAATCGAGTTTGTCCATTTATCGTTGCAAATACTGCTCGCATTGACGATCATAACCATCTCTATAATGCCTATCAGAATGTGTCTGTTCATGACCTTCTTTACTAGTGTTACTAAAAGAGTATGCTCTTTGCTTTTGTGCACTAGTTGTGCGGAACAACAAAACAGCTCTATCGAATTAGAGTGATATATTTGACAGAGTAGCACAAGCACTCGCATCGAGAGCGCTGCTTCAACAGGCGCGCGTTGGATAAATGCAAAAACTAACGAAGAAAAGAAAGCGGAACTAAAAAAACAGAAGAAGAAGAAAGAAGAGAGGAGGGAAGTTCTCGTCAAAGTGAGATTCTTTATTGCACGCATGATCAATGGCTGCAAGTAGATCTCCCTCGTGACATACTTAGACATCATAAAGTCATTAACACTTTCTCTTACATTGTCTTCGCTCATCATTTTTTTTTCTCGACAGTCTACAGAGATCAATTCATTCGCTCGAATGATTTGTCAGCACACTTATTCAATATAATTTCATAATTCATTTTCAGAAAAAAGACACTCGATAGATTAAAGCTCGCTTAAACTTTTCCTTTATAAGCAGTGTCAAATTAAGAAGAAGATGAGGATAAGCTAGGGTATTTCAGAGATTTTTTCGCTTTAGAAGATTGTCATCATCAAAGAAGGAAATTACACACGATAAGTCTTTGATGAATAGAATGTTTCATAGAGCTGTAAGTGTTGATTTGTCAACAAGGAAGAAGGTAGATGCTGATCAAGACTAACATTACGGGAGGAAATAAAAACGGACATTTCTCTGATTATAATAAATAGGAAGAAATTCAGAAAAACATACCGGAGAAAAACAAACGTAACGCAACATTTAATTGTTTTATCAAGCAGAAATGAATATAAATTTCTTAGGAAAGTTTTCATGAATAGAAACAATTTTGTAAAGAAATTTTTTTGACTTTAAAATGCTTTCGTTCATATTAATATTCAATCAAGGCGGAAGCAGACAAACAATTTCTACCTTGTACTCGTGTATCTTTTTTGTAGGAGGAAAAAGATTCGTTTTTCCTAATTGAAGAACTATCGCTTCTCACTACAAGCTCAAGAACGAATCCGAAGAAACAACGAGCAACAGACAGACAGACAGAGAGAGAGAAAGTGAGCGAAATACACTTACCATACTCAAGGTTCTTCAATGGGTACTCTTAATACTAATGTTAATGCTTTGCTCTGATTTCCATCACATTATATGCACAACAGTCTTATTTCTTCTTTGTTTCATGAATAGAAAATAACAATGAGATGCAAGTAGGCAGATAGACAGTTGGCAAAAGGGGACTAGTAAAGAGCGATAGCTTGAAAAATCATTGACAGTCGTCTTCTATCAAACCGGAAAGAACTCATACGTTGTTGTCTATCTTTCTTTTTCTCCAGTCGTATTTGACAACTCTATGTGTGTGTGTCTCCCCCTCCTTCTTTCTCGTGTTTAAAGATAGGGCACATACAAAACAAATAATCATTGTAAACTATCGGCAAAAAAAGATGAAGTAAGGAAAAGAGAGATCACAGCATGACTGGAAAAGGACAATGCAAAAGGACAGAGAAGACTCTTTTTCTACGCATCATCCACATCAAAGCAAGAAAAGTGTCATATTTCGGTTAATAATTATTTTTGCTTCTTCTTCTTCTTCTTCTTCTTCTTTCTTTCCCTCTCTCGTTTTCATGCTGATCAATTGAATCTGTGAGCAATTAACAGTTGACTTTTTCGCATTTATTTTACAAATCGGTATGATTTTCATTCGCATAATTTAACAATAAACTTATGTAGTCTGTCGATTTCGTTGTTGTGATATTCGTACTATTGATTGTGCTCTGATTGATCAAATTATTATCATAACTTGATTTCGAGTCTTTAGTCGAATAAACGATTGATTTGGTGCGTTTACCAAACATTCGCATGAATAAAGTTAAATAGATAAAAGTTACAAGAACAGCAATTAACATTAGATAAATCCAACAATTCGAAACATTGTAAGCATTGTGTTTCAAGCGTCTGCCCTGAACATGAAGTTTAGCGGTGTTGGTATCAATCAAGTTCTCCGCTTCGACAAGTTTCTGAAAAATTCTAATGTATAAGAAAAAGAAGAGAATGACTAGACAAACTTTTTGATCGTCTTTGACGATATCATTTAGACGTTGTGCACTGTGAAGAAGACTTTTAGTGGTTTGTCTCATCGATGTTGCTATGTCATCTTGTTTATCTTCTTCTGATTGGATGTATTGCTGTTGTCGATTGAGATTTGCTAAATAAAACAGAATTCTGCTGTCTTAATTGTAGGAATGAGAGTTTAAACAACGTACGACGTTCGAATTTTTTCAATGTAGTGTGCTGTTTTTCATTTTCACTCAAAGAAATTGAAGAAGATGGAATTTCTGCTTGATGTTTTTCTAGCGGCACGTCGACATGTCTCGGCTCGGGTAAGTTTTGTGGAAATGTTTGATCTTCCTGAAATATTATTAAATTACATTGAATAGAAATTCAGTCCGTAGGTTGGACAACAAAACCTATTCAATCGATGACTAGATCTCGGAAAAACTTCATTGTTATTCACTGTGAACTTCAACAATAGCGAGCAAATAAACTTAATTATTATCGCAGAAAAACGATGCTCAGTTCGAAATGAGGAAGTTATTCATTAGTCTTCGTTTGAATAGCGCGGTTCGAATAATTGGAAAAATCTATTAATGACATCGTTATTTTACTTCAAAACACCGAGAATTTCTATTTACAGAATCTGTCGAAGATGTTTGCTCTGTACGTTCGACTGTGTTGCTTCGAGAAAGGAAGGATACAGCATAACTAATTTATTCAAGATAGACAGACATTTCTATTCGGTTGTAATTCAACTTCCGAAGCACTTTATAGCCTTGAAAAACAAAAGCTCAATTCGAACTTGTTCGACATACCAATTTAACTGGATCGACTGTTTGACGCAATCGATCTACTCTTTCTTTGTAGTTTTTCAACTGTTTTGAACTGGGAAAACTAAAAGAATCGTTCGAATAGGTTTCGGATGTTTACGGAAGAATGGAGACTTCTACTTTGCCCATTTGTGCACGTCGTTTAACATGTCGGTCAGCGCTTGAGCAAACTGAAAACATGTAAATCAAAAAGCCTTGCTCGTTAATTGATTAGATGCCTTTTACTTGGTGAACTTTCCAATCTTCAATAGCTTTTTCTTCAACTAATTTCTCTGTTGAAGATAATAATCTTCGGAAAATCTTATCAGTAGGAAGATTCGGAGGAGCAACCATGGCTCGTCTATCTAGAAGAGAATGATAATGGATTTTATTTTTTATCATCAATGTCAATGTTTTAAGAGAGAGAAAGAGAAACAGGAATGTTCTAGTTTATTGAGTTTTCTTAGTAGGCAATGTCTTTTTGCGTTGACTCCACATGTGTCGCATCATATGGAGAAGACCTAAAATAGACTAATAAAGCGATTGGTTTTGGAGATTGTTTCAACGAACCAAATGGCATTAAAACTAAATAGATTTGAAGAAAAAGCACAAAGTTGAAAGCGAAATTGGCTCGATTTGGTAATGTTATACTGAAATAACCTTGGGAACGATAATGATCCAGACTTTTATAAATAATCAATCCTAAATAGTTCTCATGAATAGTCACTTATTTCGCGAGGAAGACCGATGTTACCTTCGATAAATGCGCCTAGTGGATAAAGAACGATCCAGAATGTATAGCGAAACCAAGTTATTGCACGATTTTCTTTGTTTAAAAGTCGAATACCATAGTATGGATAGCTAGACATCGATATAAGTAGAAAGCGAAGCGATTCGAGAAGGAGGATTTCGTTTACCGGAACATTTCAACGAAACTCCAAACGAAAAGTAGACAGGGAACAATGGGCGATGTTTGAATTTGACGATTGAAATTGATAACAACAAAGAGAATTAAATTGCGAAAGAGAAACTAAAGAAGAATCGAATTGATTATTTCGATATACGTATTGAAGAGTTATTCACTTGAAAAAATGGAACTAAGTAATCGCCTTTAGTAAAACCAATTAAAGGATGAATAGTTTCGAGAATGGCTAAGGTTTGGCATAATTTAATTGGATTTTCAACTACTTTATAACCGTTTTTAAGATCTAGATTGCAAAGACACATTCAAAGAAAAGTCTGGTGATGTTTTTCGGAGAAATTATTACTTCCGCGTGTAATGAGATGCATTGTTAAACGAGTAAATACCCAGAAATAAGCGATGAATTGAAATAGATTGTAAAAAAGTAACCAGTTTGTTCGATGGTCAAGAAAACCTTCAAAAAAATATGGAATTTCAACTTCCGTTCGAAAACTTCTTTTGCAATACCTTTTGTTCTAGCTTTGCGAGGATCTTGCCGCAAAGATTTATACATATCCTCATTAAAATTCTTATTCTAAACAGAAAGATGCTCAACATCACTTCAACAATGCGAGTATTACTTACAAACATCGATTTCTTTTGTTCATTGTCCGAGTCATCTTCACTAAACGTCATTCTATCAAAATCCGCCTAGAAAAGAAAATCAATAGACCTTTGTAATACAAACCGAAAGGTAAACTTTACCTTTAACCAAGGTAGTTTAGCAGATGCTTTAGTTAGACGTGGCCATACATTACTATTGTTATCGTTTTTCTTCTTTTGTAAACTAACGCTGATTTCTCGATCATTAATTTTATAACTGCTGGCCTGTGTTGACGATCGAATAGAAAAATCTTCATTTCAATCGTAATAAAACGTACTTTTGCGTCAACCTTCTCATAGAGTTCAATTTCAAATGAATACAATTGTTCACCACGTGATCCACTGCATCCTGTCGCTTGAAATTTTATACTATCTTGATTGATTTCAACCTTCGGATACTAAACCAAAGCCTGAAAGCCAGTTCACACCTTCCTAACAGCACATACTTTCACATCTGTGAGTCCAATACGCAATGACACTGTCGATGATGTTTGTCCCCAGTGAATCTAATAGAAAATTTCAGTCTCAAGGAAATTCTTAACGTGCGAAGAATACCGGTGGATGCAAATCAATTGATGATGCCATCTAAAATAAATGAATATAATCTTCGTGTATTATATTCGTAATCCATCACCAAAAAAGACGCTCTTTGTTCATCAGTGGCATGTATCTCGAAATGAACAATGGGGTTTTTCTTCATTTTCGTCAGATTTTATTTTGTTTATTAGTATATAGTAGAGTTTAAGAGAACATACGCAAAAAAATTCAGGGAAGAAAATGAACCATATTAAAAAAAAAGAAGAAAGATCAGCGCATGAAGAATAGAGAACAAGAGAAAGAAATAGATACGTTCGCGACTCACAAAAAAAGAGGTTTAGTTGCTTGCTTTGTATACACAGCGAAGAAGGAAAAAGTTTTGAAGAAGACAAACTCATTGTTTTTCTAGTCATCACCATGTTTTTGCTTTCTGTTTTGCTTCAGATATGTCGAACATCAACACGTATTTCCAACTATCCGTGTGTACGAAAGTTTTGTTCACAACAAGTGAATCTCTATGAACTAGATCTTATGTGTAGAATGATCGGATTGTTCGTTTGTTTGTTATAGCGCCAAGACAAACGAAAGAGGAAGAAAAATTCGAGCAAAGACAAGTTTAAATGTATTGATTTACGCGCGTACACACACATACACCACAACCAGACAGAGATATTTTAACTAAAAGCATCAAACACACTACAAGAAGTAGAGAAATTGTTTAAGAATGAAAAAGAGAAGAAAATTGGTTTGGTTTTCTTTTATGCAAAGACGAAAAAAAGAGATATTGACAGTAAAAACTGATGAGTTGAAAGAAAAAGAGAGAACAAGAAGATAATCTTTATTGCACACACACGCGTGCGTAAGTAGCACAGCACAATAGTTGTAGATCTCATTTTGTTTGGTTTGGTTCGTTTAATTTGTATTTTTTTGTCGATATCAAGCTCGGCCATCAAATAAGAGCATACATCACATATAGGAAAGAGGAATAAGAAGACGAAAATGAAAACAATAGACATTCACATCACGAACATACAAAAAAAAATGGATGGTACCGGGAGGGAATTCTCAGTGTGGTGCAGCGCATCAGCAGCGGAAAAAGAGCAAAGAAAAAAACAGATATGAATTAAAGAGCAAAAAATTTCCATGTGAAACTGACACAAATATAGTCGACAGTAATAGATACACAGAATGAAAGAGCATGAATTGTAAATGTACACGATTGTAATGAGACAAAGAGAAAGAGGACACAGTTTTATCATTTCACTGACTTGTTTTGGCCGATAGAGCGAAGAGAGAGATAGAGAGAAGAAAAAAAAACAAAAAAAAGAGAGAAAAAACGAAAAATGAAATCAACTCGCAAGTTTTCTTGTTTTGCCTGTCGTTGTTACTACTACATATATGGTCGATAGTTGCCGAAAGACGCATGTTGTGATGGATGATTGAGCGATGATGGTGGTTTTGACGGACCTCGATATTGTTGTGGTTTACCCCAATCATTCATGGAAGGATGGAAACCTTGTTGGTCTTGTAATGATCCTTGTTGCCACTGGGATCGATTTGCTTGTGGCTGTCGTGACATATGATGAAGTAATTGAGGATTGGAAAAAGCACTAATGGAAAACGAGATTAAGTTAAAAAAAGAAGCAATATTCAACTGTTGATCATTTACCTCTCTCCTCCACCAACACTGAGATTACTCATCGATGATGATGATGATCCTTTAGGACCGATAATCATTGAATTCGGTGTCACATGTGGATCATCATCTGCATTCGGTAACGATGATTTCCAATTCCATAATTGACCAGGTACGAATGGCGGTGGTCCATCAGTATCATCGACATATTCAGATAACGGATCGCCAAATGCTGACGATGATCCTTGATTATTATGTGTATGAGAATCAATATTACCGACTGGGTTTGAATTGTTAGTCTCGTTTATTTGAGAGTTCTCCCAGTTCTCGTTTGGATTTACACCTGTTTGCCAATCTTTTTGTGTTAAACCAGACGATCCGAACATGGATGACGACGACTGTGCACCACGCGTAGTTGTTTGTTGTTTTGTCCATTGATGTAATCGCGATTGATCAACGTTCAATGCGTTCTGCATTCGATCAGCTAATTGATCTTGAGATTGTGACAGTGACACTCCCGTTGATTGTTGATTTTGTCCTCCCGGACCACTATTGATCATTTGTGCTGACGATGGTGTCGATGCGCCTGATTGCTGTTGAACCAGTTTAGCATGCGCATCTTGGATTTGTTTTTGTACAGCTAACATTTCCTGTCGTTTCTGATTCACTAGTTTGGATAGGCGTTCATATTCAGTTTGGAAGAACGTAATTGGAAAGCGTTGTTTATGTTTGACGAAATCAGTGATTTGAACATTTAGGGACTGGTATTTTTGTTGAAGTTCGAATAACTTTTGGAGAAGCTATGAAGAACAAAAGGATTCGTTTCGTATTCAAATTTGATTAAAAAGAAATGTATTACATGTAACATAAATGGTGGTAGTTTTGTATTGAGTAAATCTTGACTAATTAAACCGGCTTGAACAGCAAGACGAAATTGTTGCATAATTTGAGCGTGAACGGCAACATTGTTCACATTTCCTGATCCTTGTAGTTGCTGTTGTGTTGGTGTTGGCGTTTGAGATGATTGCGTTGGAATATTACCTTGTTTACCCGCTAATGGAACATATGGTGCCTGATTTGGTACAGGCGATGTAGTCGACAATTTCGGTGATATCAGGCCGCCAGTACCCATGATTGCACCAGATGATGTTTGTACACCGGTCGGATTGATTGGTCGTAAGATACTGTTTGATTGGTAGAGTGGACCAGGTCGTGGTGCAAATTGAAGCTGAGAGGGTGGCAACATATGATGGGGAGGAGGCGCATTCGTTCCTGAAGGTAATAGACCACCAAGACCAATAATGGGATTTTTGAGATCGGAGCTTTGTCGATATGGGTCAGACATCGATGAATTATCAAAACTAGCCATACGATGCATACCATGAGGATCATGAGTATTTTCACTGAGATCATAATCATTCATAAATCGTGGTCGATTCATTGATGACATGCCTAATGAACCACCCATACCACCGCCGGATCCACCTGATACACCCCAACTACTCGTATCAACTTGACCTTCATACGGATCAAATGGAGCTTTGTTTTGGGTATTCTAAAGAACGAAGCAAAAAGAAAGAATCGATTATAGATTATTTGCTAAGCAAAAAATTTACTTGTAAACCCCAACCACTTGTATCAACCAATCCATCGATAAATGATTCATTTGAAGCATGTTGCATTCCTGGTTGGGATTGAGCATTCCAGTTACCACCCGGCGCCGATTGTTGTGTACGATAATTCGGTAGTTGTTGAGGCGTTGGCGATGAAGTTCGTTGGCCAGTCAATGCAGATGCGTCATTCCATCGTGCTGCTGATTGGTCTGGCAATGTTGGCGATTGTTGTTTCGACCATTTCTCGTCCGTAAATGGCATCTGTGCTACCGTTGGCGTCGATGCTGGATTTTGAACATTACCCAAGTTAGGCTTTTGTACAACAGGTGCTTGCTGTTGTGGCAAAGTAGTATTGGTCGCGTTAGTTAAAGCTGCTTTAGTACCGTTTGTCCACTTTTTGACTGGAACAGTCATTGACTCAATAGGATCACCCCAAACAGATGTACCATCATCGAAATTAGTGCGTTTTGCTACTTTTATCTCAGGTTCATCCCAACCTAATTGTTCGACAAGTTTAGGTTGTGGAACAAAGCTTGTAGTTGGATCACCATTTCCACTGGAAGGGTCGGCATTGACACCACCGAGAGCAATAGCCGATTTCAATGCACCGGTCAGCGAAGCAGCCATCGACGACGAAGATGACGAAGATTTATGTTTATTTGCCGCCGAACCACTAGTACTACTTGTCAATGTAAGCGTGTCAGCAGCAGTGCTCGATGACGAAGGATCTTGCCATGTTGATGATGCACTGTAGACGATGACAAGAACATATTTTCGATTCGTTCATGATGTGTAGAAGGGAAAGGACTCGTACCTGTTGTTAGTCATATTTTCAGTATTGAATGGTCCACCACTACTAGATGAATTAGTACCATAGAAGTTGCTCATTTCCGGCCATTGATTGCTGGTTGAATTGTTGTTTCCAACTGCATTTGATCTGGACGGATTGTTATTAACTGTTTGTTGTTGAAAACTTGACCAACCATTTTGAGATGAATTATTCGAAGTCACCGGCTTACCCCAGTCAGATGTCGGACTAGATGTTTCAAGTCGATCAAAGCCTATAACAAGAAATATACTATGACAATTCCGTCGAGCATAGAAATTAGCCAGAAATACAAAGCATGCACATTTAGAATCAATAGTAAATCATGGTGAGAAAACAAAATAGCGCATACCATCCCCACCACCTGCTGTCTTATGATTAGGATCGAGTGATTGTTGTGATGAAGAACCGACTAGACTTGAATGTCGTTGAGCATCGTCATCCATCATCCATGATGCTGCTGTTTGATTGAAATTTAAGGGCCAATTCATTTGAGATTGTTGCTGTTGTGATTGTTGATCGTAAAAATTGGATCCGAAACCAGAACGTGAGCCTGGAAAATTAAATGCACTACTGGTGGAAGGTGTCACTTGAGACGGTGAAATGCTTCTGGTCGTCGATGTTGTTCCTGTTGCTCCTCCGACAGAAGTCGTTGTTGTCGAATGTTGAGAAGATGGTGATGAAGATGAAGGTGAGTTTCCAACAGCATTACTACCACCGTTATTGTTGCCAATCCCTGCTTGTGTTGCTGTAGCGTTAGCTGTTGCAACCGTATTGGTCGAGGATGCAGATGTGTTGGACGGTGTATTTGAATTTGAAGTAATAATTTGTGCCCAAGTTGGCTTGGATGGTGAGGGATAAGGTGAAGATCCACTGATACAAGTAGTATTACTACCAACACCACCACCGCCTATTTACAGATAGAAGAAGAACGATAACAACCAAGCTATATACAATGAAGCAGTGGTTTGTTTTTTTTTTCGTGATAGAAATCAAATTCCCAGAGAAACAATAGGAAAAAGAAAGCAAGCATTGTGCACATATCAAACTTCTTGTTTTTTCGATCAATTACAAAACGAATAAGTAAATAAATAAATAAACATCTTACCGAACAAAGATGAAGACGAAGAGCCTGTCGGAGATGGATGGCTCTCGTTACTCATCGTCACAGACACTAGTCAGATATAAATGTGTTTGTGACGTTAAAAATAGAGAAGATCTAGAACGCAAGAGAACAAAAAGAGATTTCTTTTTTTTTCTTCATTTGTATTCATAAACAATAAACCATGTACAGAGAGTATAGATAGAAATTCTATTTTTTTCTTCTCATGATTAGCAGCCATGCTTGATGAACCATTTAGAAGGAAACAAAGAATGTTAGATGTGTATGTGTGTGTAGTTTTTTTCGAAATGCATTAACGAGTCAGTTTCTCTTCGACGAACTTTCACTTAACGACATCTATAAGATAAGATTAACGGAAAGTTTCGGTTTGAAATTAATAATTCCAACATTCTCTCAATTAACTTTTATTTCATTTTCGAAAACGAAGGTTCTTAAGGACAAAAACTAACGATATCTATAATAGGCAGCTCGGATTGATTCTTGTCATCTCTGTCAAAAAAATAAACACAATTGTTTTTTTTCACAGAAAGGAAAAAAATCGAGACCAGAGTTCAAACGACAAGCAAAAGTACCAACTAATATTATATAAGATTTAATAAGTTTTTCAGAGCATCTTTTATCAGTTCTTTTTTCTTGTTTCGCACTGAAGAAAGACTATGGGTGAGGAAAAAACCCGTCGACACAGTCACCTTGATTCTGCTTCGCTATTATTTTCTCCTTGATTTTCCACGAGTATATCCATAACAAAAGCTTTGTACTTTTAGCAATCTACGTTCGCCAAAACGAGAAAGATTCGAGTGAGAAAGAGATTCGTTTTCCGTAAACTATCAGCTTTTTCGTAATTTAGCACAGCTAACAGTAAATCCATGGTTTGTCCGTACTTGTTCGAATAGACACGATGCTTGTCGAATCCTTGAATCCTGTCGTACGATCGAAGTAGCGTATCGATATTTCTTCATACATTTCTGATTTTCTTTGTTCTAGAATGGGAATTTCCTTGTTCGCAAGAGTGAAAACAGCGATACACAATATGCAATAACACTTTGGTTTGATAAGCAAATAACACATGTTCGCATCAATCAAGTCGATGACAATCAATATCAACTCGAATACAATCCGAAAGCAAATTCGTCTGTTCCGGTAAGATTTGTTTAGAAGAAAGATCTTCTCTTTTGATCAAGCAATTTCATTTATAGGTGTTTTCAACGATCAAAGATTTAATCAAGTTTTATACCGAACATGAAATGAAACTGACAGGACATTGTCAAGGATTTGTTAAGCTTAAATTTAATCCAGATCTGTTTAAATATTGAAATTTTCGACGAACAGCAGTGCAACAAATAAAATCCGTGATATTTTCTTTCAGATAATCCATGACACATTCACTTATTGAGGATTCGGATTTTGATGATGAAGATGTAAGTGACTGATGAGCAAAGTTTTCTTGACATCTGAAATCAATTGTGAAAATACTTTCAGGATGAAAATGAAGGTAGCTTTCGTTCTTTTAACTGCACTTTTCAGCTCCTTTTTTCTGTGATTCTCGCTTGAAAATCTTTCTTGTTCTATACTTTTTAGAGAACTATCGGCGATTACTGAAAAAACCTGGTAATTAATTACTTTTTCGATGAATCCCAACTTCATTTAAGCACATTTCTCTTTAGGATCATTGCCACCATGTGATCCTTCGATCGTAAGCAATGATTTTGTCGCAAAACGCACTTGCGTCACATGGAAAAGTTTAATTTAGTTACCGGCTTCGTCGTTCTCAGATCGATGTAGTTTATGCTCGCGAGAAGAAGCGGAAAATATTTTGACAAACTCAATGCGAGTCAGTGTACGGTAGATTGATTCGTATAGAATTTGTTAATTCATATTCTGATTGATTTTTCTTAGCCGGGTAACTTTTTAGTGCGTCCAAGTGCTCATTTGAATCATCCGTATTCACTGAGTGTTCTGACAAATGAAAAACAAATTTATCATTTTCAAATTGGTTACATCGCGAACAAATACGTTCTTGGTCCTCTTCAAGCAATTGATCTGTCCAAATCAAAAGTATGTGTTGAAACATATTTTCCAATGTTAAACATCAATTTCGTCTTGTTTTCAGAGATTTTCTACGTTGAGTGATTTTCTCCAATGGTTTTCCAAGCGTCCTATTCAATTTCAAGATGATAATCAGAAAGATCATTCGATTTTATTACAATTATATCCTTTCTATGAAACCACACGATTTTAACTAAGATAAGAAAAGAGAACAGGGAATTCGTACAATTTTTATCTTTCTCCTACCTTGATAACATTCGTGCATGTATTTAAATACCTCACGGATGAACGTCAAGTAAATAAAATAACCCTTCAACATGATCGACAATCATTCGACGCCTTCCTGTGATGTCATTGTAATTTACATACTTTTTTCGCTTTCGTCCATGCCTATTATTACTCATAAGGTTCTTTTTCATACGATAAGTGCATGTAAAATCGTTTTCACACTTCGATTTTCTAGCACGGAAAAGAATATTGTGCGTATTTACATTTGCTACTATCATCCGTCGAACGAAGAACAATATTCCTTATGTAATTGTTTTCATACTTTCTTTCTAGATGGGTTTTCATCAGTACCATCGACATTTGTCTTCATCTTTCATCTTCAAGTAAGTCTATACCTCGTATCGATCGTAGTCAATATTTAAACAATGCTGTATCTCTGTTTGTTTGTTCACCCGTCTGTCGAAAACGCGCGTATTATCGTTTGTCCGTTGAAACACATCCAGATGTGTGTAGGTGTATGACATGTATAAAAGCATGTCTCGGATGAGTGATAGATCAATTTGAGGGCCCAATCTATTCTTCTTCGTTTTTCTTCATCAAAGCCGACGAACGACAATAGATACCGCCTTGACATTATATAAAATATGTATAAGATCATGAAGGTGATCGCCTTGAGGACGATTTCATGATACAGACTTTCGACTTCGCTTGTCGCTCTTTTTGTGAGGGATAGGATCAAAAATGTATCAATTTATTGCTTCTGGTTTTTTTCCATCACGTTTCATATTGAGGAAAAACATGAGTTTGTTTTTGTAATTAGAAAACTACGGTCACTATATGCTCATTAGTTCGTTTTCAGTTTGATTAGTAGCACCAGTTGTGACTGTGTGATTTGATTGATGAAATCAAACTCAACAAGGAAAAGAAAATTAAATAAATGGTGTAAAGTTTACAGAAAGAAAAAGAAATATTTGACGTACGTTCAGCATCGATATATGTGTCTATGTAGATCACTGGAGAGAAAGAAAGAGAGAAAGAAAGAAAGAAAGAAAGAAGGCAAAGAGAATCGAAAGAAAAAGAATTGCAATACAGTTACAAGTACGACGATGAGGACAGAAGAATAGATCACGTAGAGTAAGTTCAAAATATGAAGCAATGTGTTTATGTATATACATACGCATTTGACCTTTGCTTTTGGCAGAATGATTCGTGATAATTATAGATAGATGATTTCAACATTCTATATATGTTTACTCTGAATAAATATGAGTACTTGATGTTTTAACTCATTCATTCATTCGTGAATCATTGTAATACGTATATATATGTATGTATATTTTGTCTTTAGCAAGTGATTATTCATTGATCGATATGATGCTCAATACGAGTAACGTTGCACATTCAATTCTCGCCGAAGAAGTTGACAATTGCAATAGTAATAATAACAATAACAATAGTTTATTGCTCAATGATCTCTCATTTCATAATGATGATATGATTACAAATGGATCATTACATTGTGGAGTTTACGATACAACGGTATTCGACGTGCTCAAAGTTGATCCTGAAGATTTTGCTGTAAGTTTCGTTTTATGTACTCCTAATCATTTATTTTTCTCCATTCACCTTGAAACAACGTCAGAAGTATGTTGTACGAAGAACTAAAGTAAAGAAATCGTACATCAAATTTGTTATATCGATTGGCTGAGTCACTGTTCGAATAGACATACTAATACTCTTTTCTCATTCTTATGATGTATGTGTTATCTCTATGCCATTGAACATGCATATTATGTATCATGTGATTGAGGAGAACGATAAGTTCATCTTATTTATCATGCACGGATATGATCTATCAATAGAAAACAAACTAAGATGTTGCAAAAAGAACAGAAAAAGATAAGAAGTATTTCTTTGATTGATATATCTCATGGGAAATATTCCTCGAAATATGCTTTGTCCTTATATGGAGCATCTGTTAATTCCCTGAGCAAAGAGAAGAGAAAAGGCAAAGTCCGTCAACGAAATAAGCCTTTTTTTTTATTATTTCTAGTCACAAATCACATTAATGGATCTTCCAGTATTCAAAGCTATAACTCCAGATGTATGTAGACTAATGTTTAGACGTAAATGAAAAACAAAGAGATATGCTATTCTCTTAGGAATTAACAAGTTGCGGTTGGAGTTCGAAAGCCAAACTTGAGAAAGCTTTTCATATTGTTCAATTTACTCGTCGATTCAATCAAGTATGCGATTGCAAAGAAAGTGATTGATAATTTTATCATATGATGACCGTTTAGGTTAATTTCTGGGCTCAAGGTGAACTTTTACGTGCTGATATTTTAAAAAATCGTACTGAAATTTTATCCCATTTTGTTCGAGTTGCGAAGGTAAATACATCTCTCTTGATTTACATTCACAATGAACCGTTCTTTGCAGAAACTTTTCGAATTCAATAATATCAATGCATGTATGGCTGTTGTGATGGCTCTCCAGAGTGCGCCGATATATCGTTTACAAAAAACTTGGGCGGTAAGTTGAGTTCAACGTCCTCGATTTGAAAACGAAATTTGAAAAATTCTTTTCAGGGCCTTAGTAAACGTGATCGAACAACATTCTCAAATCTCAAAGAATTCGTCTCAGCAAATGAAAACTGGAAACGATTAAGACATCATTTAACAAATACCAAGTTACCGTGTATTCCATATTTAGGTATGTGAAACAATGTCGTTCGCTTGTGTTTGAATTTATTTTCTGCTTTTGTTTTCAAGGAATTTATTTAACTGATCTCATTCGCATTGACACTCTACATCCGCATGGCGGAGGACTCGAAACCAATCAACGTAAAAACGCGATGAATAATATCTGTCGAGTCATATCCGAATTTCAGCAATCAACTTACGGTTTGTTTCGAACTTCTTTCTCGTACAACTAACATTTTCTCTGTTCCACTTTTCTAGAATTTCTCCGACCTATTGAATGTGTGCAAAACTATCTTGGGACTGTACGGTACATGGAAGAGCTGCAAACATTTGTTGAAGATCAAAATTACAAACAATCGTTAGCAATTGAACCTGATCTAGTCAATGCTGACCATTCCGATTCGCACCATGAACGTACACCGAAGAATTTAGAAAAATCAGCATCATTCAAAGTCTCACATGCCGACAACCATTCAACTTGTTCACATCGACGAACTCTAAGCGACTACAATCAGTACGTGAATTCCTTCTCAACTGCCAAACTTTCTCATCATCTTCGTCTTTTCAGCTCAAATGGTTTATCTTCGTCAAGTAAATCAGCCACATTACCATGTAGAACACATGAAAAGAAAAGCTTGCTAGACGACAGTGTGCTAGGCGATTGTATGACAGAAGAAACTCGATCTAGTAAGTAACACGCTCATTCACGAACAGTCGAATTTTGTATGAATCAAATCCAATCTTTTAGGTCTATTATTGTGTAAAGGTAACATAACCCGTTAGTTTTTCTTTTCCTTTGGCAACTTAAACTATGCTTTGCTTATGGTTGTTGTCCTCTTAAGAATGACATACCCTTTCAATCAGTTCTCTGTAAACAATTTCAACACCGAACTTTTCAGTTAACTTAATCTTCCTTGTTCTTTAGTAAGAACAATCTTTTACTCACAAATAACTCTTGGTTGACGTGGAAACAAATCCCTTGCTCTTTCCTTTTGTGTTACTTTGCTTGTTATTTCATCGTTTTTCCGAGATGCATTCGAGGGAGACATTCATTTGTTATGTTTGTTTAGGTACTGACTCCAACGATTCATGTGAAGAAGCAATACGTAAAGCAAAAGAATACATAAAGAACAGTGGAAAACATCATCACATTGCACAAGGCATGTCCGTTTCTTTATCATCACTTTCAATGAGAGAACCGTTAAATCCACACAATGATCCATTGGTAACATCAAATTTCAACTTCGAAGGTTCGTTACAACGCAAATGTCTTCTAAAGAACTACAAAAAACCCACGATAACTAAATGGAAAAAATATTGGGTAGCGATCTGCGAACATTTACTCTTTTTCCATAAACAAAAGCCATTCATAATGACATTACATATGCGCTTACATCGCTCACATCGACAGACAGCAATGAATAATGATAGTGATAATGCTTCATCGACTCAATCTGCACCTGCATTGCTAAATACATCATCTACGCGAACATTGATCGAATCCGAACGTTTATTCTATCGACAAAATCCGACGAAATGTCAATCCATATCTGACTGGCTGATTGTTCTCAGTCAAACAAGAAATCGCAATGAAATTCAATTGAGTGATCTCAATCGAGGTAAGAGGTTTCGTGTTTGTCTTCTCACTTGCTTGACTTTCGTTTATTATTAGGATCGATGTATAAATTCAAATTAGAAAATGCAGCTGTAGCAAATATTTGGTTCCAACGTTTGAAAGAAGCATCTACGTTTAAACAAAACAATGGTCGACGTTCGGAAAATCTTATTGCATTGGATTGATCATCCCAAAACAAAACATATTTTTCAGTTGTTTTGTTTGCCTATCGTTCTTGTTCGAGAATTAATCATCATTATCACTAGTCACAAATGCATGTGCGATGATTTTGTTGTATCGTTAAGAAATATATAAATCCTACGAAGCTTCCTATCTCCCATTTTTCTTTCTCTTTTTTTACGTGTATTTCTTATTTTTTGTGTGTGTCTGTCTGGTAGATCTTTTAGTTTAGTATATCCATCTTGTTCTTTTGTCTTTTTCTATGTATATTGTTGTGTGTGTTTGTCGAAAAAAACAATGTTTTTTCTTTTGTGTGTGTGTGTGTGTGCAAATTTTGATATACTGAAACAAGAAATAATAAAACAGCGCAGTGAAACTGTCAGCGCAGAGACGTACCTATCACTGATGAAACATGAGTGTAAGCGAATTCCATTTCAGATAAATGTCGTCTTCATTCAAACGATCAAGAACGCCTGAGAGGCATCAAAGGCGGAGGCGTACTAATAATAAAGTACCAACAGGGTAAAGAATTCGTTGTGTTAATTCAATGGTATACTCGTTTTTGTATTTATATATTCAGTTGGCTTGATTATACACCATTGAATACGTGGATTGAAAATACACGGATTATTCCGTTTAAATGTCCTTTGAAAAGAGTTGAGTAATAGGAAAATTTGTTGAGAATGAAAATCAATGTCGAATTTTGAATGATGTTTAGTCGATTCTACGGCATCTTCAGGAAGATGAACGATTCTCTCTGGACGATTTAACAGATCGTTTAGCAAATCAAGGTCGTAAAATTGGTTTAATCATCGATTTAACTGACACTGATCGATATTACGACTATCGAGTAAGAGTTACTCGAAGTATTCTCTCATTTTCACGAGGAAATTATGCAGGACGTCGAAGATATGGATATTGAATATTGTAAAATTCGAGTGCCTGGTCATCAAGATGTACCTGAGCATAGTTGTCGAAAATTTTTTCGAGTGGTTGATTCATTCTTACGAGACAATCGACATAATGGTAAATACTTCATTTCTCTCGAATGTAGAACCATCGTATTAATCCTTTTCTCTTTGTCGGTTCGTAGACAAACTCATTGGCATTCATTGTACACATGGAATTAATCGAAGTGGCTATTTTATTGTCAGGTATTGTTTTGTAACAAATATTTGTGTTCGTCTTTTTAAAAATCTACGTTCACTTAGATATTTAATCGAAGTTTTTGGTCTAGAACCTAACGATGCTATCTCCGGTGAGTTCTATTTGGTATTCAGTTTTAGAAGAAGTTCGTTTCGTTAGCTTTCAATCGAGCACGTGGTCATCAAATGGAGAAGTATACTGATGATCTTCGGAGGCGAATTCCAGGAATGTAAGATAATGCTCTCGAATGATTTTGATTCTACGATGCATTCGAGATGTTTTTAGTGCTACTCAAGTCACATCATCGGATTCTGATGAGAATGATTATTATGTGAAAAGAGATCGACCGTTACCATATACTCGGCCATCGGTAGATCCAATGTCTAATGATTGTTCTGCAAAAGCATCGGAAATTAATCTATAAATTTTGTTTTGAATCTTTCGATGTCGAGCTCATCGATAAATATTTTGCTAATGGAATTTTGATCGTTGTTATCTCTCAACTGTTTTTGACATTGATCAAATAAAAAAACGACTATTAGCGGGAATATCCGGTAGATGTCGTCAGCATCTTGATAAGTGTACCCATTTCCACTCCTTTTTGCTTTCTAAATTTTCCAAATTGCAATCAAAGCAAAATTTGAAATGAAATTTTCGGAAAATCTTTTAATCTTTTGAATAATTCTAAACCAACAATATCGCTAAGATCGATGTACCGGACACAATGGATATTAGCGACAATGGTCGCAGTAATTCTTCGCCGTTTTTCGTCTGTCACGAAAACGCGAATAATCGCGTTCAAGCTTCAACATAGTAGATGATTAACCTCTTATCGAATGTTTTCATGCTTTAGATAACATTTCCGTATCATTAACTCTTACCTAAAGTTTGATACAACGAGCGAATGGCTGAATATCTCGCTTCTATCTTCGGAACGGAAAAAGATAAGTATGTTCGTCAGTTTTGTTTGATTTCATCTCGAGATTAATCATCGTTTATCTAGAGTGAATTGTTCGTTTTATTTCAAAATTGGTGCATGCCGTCATGGTGAACGGTGAGAAAGCTCATGAAAAGCAGATCGTTGTCATCTTTTGATTGACTATTTAGATGTTCACGTGTTCATAATAAACCAACGTTTAGTCAAGTATGAATGACAATTATCGAACTGAAAGTTTGATCCTTGTTCACTTTTAGACGATTCTTTTGAAAAATCTTTATCTCAATCCAAATAATAATGCGGTTCCAAAACCTGAGGGCGGTTTTGGTAAGTACACACACACACACACACAACAGAATAGTTTTCTACTTATGTACTAATTCTCTGCCTTTGATAGAACAACATGCTGGAAATAATTATACCGATCATGAAGTTCAGCAACACTTCGAGTAAATTATTCGGAGATCTGCTTTTTCCTATAACGTTGTTGTATTTTAGTGAATTTTATGAAGAAGTCTATACTGAAGTTGAAGATAAAGTAAGTTTTCCCGTCCATCGATGATATCCTTCCTTGCAATTTCCCTCTAAGCAAAGCACACCGGTGATTTGATCCTTTTGACTTTTATTGTCGCGTCTATTTCCCTAAGGTTCTATCGATTATTGCAGGCTTAAACCAACAGCATTCTCATCTTGTGCTACCTATCCAGCGAATAAAAACTATCACGTATATTAACTATTTCTCTCACATATCTAGTCATATTTTTGCAGGAAAATCTCATTTCTTTTACTCAAACAGCTGCAGGACAGACAGACAAGGTAGATCGATGTCTAAACAACCGACACAAGGTTTTTCTTACAAACAAGAAAAAGAAAATTTCAAACTTTTCATTGTGTTTACAGGTTTTTAGGGCTGATGTGTTTCCCCTCATTTTAAATTATTCTTTTCATTTTACATAAATACGATTTTAGTATGGAGAAATCGAAGCAATGACTGTCTGTGACAATCTGGGCGAACATCTGATCGGAAATATTTATATCAAGGCAAGAGAACACAGAAACTTTGCTTATCCATAAGTCGTTTGATTAATTTGTTTAGTTTCGATATGAAAAAGATGCAGAACAAGCAGTTAACGATTTAAACACACGATGGTTCGATCATAAACCAATCTATGCTGAATTAAGGTAGAAATCAACCACATTTCATCTAATCGCTTATCCTTTGCTTGGTTGTGTTTAGTCCAGTAACAGATTTTAAAGAAGCAAGCTGTCGACAGTATGAATTAGGAGAGGTAAGAAAGGATCTGGTTGCACGTTGATGTTCGATTTACATCTGCTTGATTTCAGTGTATGCGAAGTGGCTTTTGTAATTTTATGCATATCAAGACATTGTCACCTGATATTAAGAAACGTCTTCGTGAACGTCGAAAACGGTGTGTCACTCGAAGTTTTGCTTTTCGAGAAGTAGACATTGGTTTTGTTTAGATCACGTTCTCGCAGCCGATCGCCAGCAAGACGTAATAATAATCGCCGACGTTAATCGGCTAGCGGAATCAACGAGACGTGCCTGAATAGAATCATACTGTGCATGAAAGTATCTTGCTTCTTCAATCTTTTGTGTTATTCTAATAAGAATGTTAACTATCTGTTTTGTATATAAAATAAAAATAGAAGAGGAATAAAGATGAAAACTCCTCGTCACATCTCAAATTTCATTCTATATATCGTTTTTGTTTTTATTAGATAGTCAATGGCAACTCCATACACTTCTGATATTCAACAGATAAATTCTCCGAAAGAGTTCGATGAATACATCCATCAGCCATCGATCATCAACAAAGTCTTGTTAGTTCATGTTGAATTAGAACAGATTCCCGTTTGTAAAACTGTCAATGATGCTTTATCAGCTATCAATCGCGATCCTGAGTTTATGCAACAGTTAGCCATTTGTCGTTTAAATGCTGATCATTTCTATGATTTACTCAATACGCACAATGTCAATGCTGCGCCAACTGTTCTCTTCTATAATCGAGCGAAAGTGATCGACCGTGTCGATGGATTCAATCAAAGTGATTTGCTGAAAAAGATTAAATTTCACGTGAATTCTATCGGTGTTGTTCAAACAACAGAAATCAGATCCGATTTCGGCTCACCCATGATTCCAGTGGAAAATAAAATCAAACAATTACTTGATTCATCACCGATAATTCTTTTCATGAAAGGCACACCCGCAAGTCCACAGTGTGGTTTCAGTCGTCAAGCTTGTCATTTACTCGACGAACATAAAATCAAATACGACTATTTCGACGTTCTTGCTGATCAAAACGTCCGAGAACAGTTGAAGAGATATTCCAATTGGAACACGTATCCCCAAGTAATTATGATCATCGAGTACACACAAACATCTGAATGTCTGTTTTAGTTATATGTCGGAGGAGAATTGATCGGTGGATTGGACATAGTGAAGCAAATGATCGAAAATGGCGATTTTGAGTTGAAGTTAAAAGAACAAAAGCCACCTGTCTTAGATGAAGAGACGAAAAAATATTTGGAAAGCTTAATCAATCAAGCGCCGTTGATGCTCTTCATCAAAGGAACACCTGAAGCGCCGCGATGTGGTTTCACGAAAGAATTACTCGCGCTTCTATCGAGTGCGAATGTAACCGGTTATAAAACATTCGATATTCTTCAAGATGAAAATGTCCGACAGAAATTAAAAGAATATTCTTCATGGCAAACCTACCCACAGATTTATGTCAATGGTCAATTCATCGGAGGTTTAGATGTTTTAAAGCAAATGAATGAAGATGGAATGTTAGTTGATACATTAACCAAAAGACAAGGTGTAGCAGTTTGAATAGAAGAGAAGAGAAAGGATATTTTGAAAATAAATGATTGTCGATAGATAAAGGTCGTTTCTTAAGTATATTCGATTCCGATTATTTTTTAGATTAGTTGAACATTGAGACAACTCAATAATGTCGAACATTTGGTGAGATTTATCTGCTGAATTGTGTCATATTGATAGAATCTTTATTTTAGGCTTCAGAATTATGAAAGCTGTAAAAACTATTCCCAAGAGATCAATCAGAAAATCAATGAATTGAAAAAACTGCCAAATGGAAGTCCACAACGAGCGAAAGTAATCGCTCTTTATTGTACTATGAATCTACTCATTTATTTTCCTACAGGTCTCTTCGACGATTCGCACAATGATGACAGAGTTTAACAAAGATGTTGACAAACTTTCCAGTGATTTAACTAGTCAATCTCGCAATGGTGCTGTGTAAGAAATTCATGAAAACACACTGTTCTTTCAGATCTCATTCCATTTACGTTATGTAGAACGACGGCGGAAGCGAACCGTCGACGTACTTTGGTTGATACGATCAAAGAGTCGAAAGACGAAATTGAGAGAACGATGCGGGAGAGTTTCAGTGCATATGCGTAAGTTTTCTTTATGAAAAAGAGAATTTCCATAGCAACTATTCATTTAGGCCACGCGATCGAATTGATCCCCGGTTTGCATCGGCAGTCGAAACCGAACATACGCAAGGTTTAACCAATGAAGAATTTGCTGGTCTTCGTTCAAATTTACGAAAAAGTGCATAAAAATTCACTTTTCAACAGAACGAAATGATTCTTTTTTTTGTTTTAGATAACGATGAAGCCATTGAAGCTTTGCATGCGATTGTTAAGCGCCAAAAAGAGATCGGTGTTGCCATGAATTCTGAAGTCGATCGTCACAATGAAATTATCGATACCATAACCGATCGAACAGGTTTACTCGATTCTCGTGTTAAACGGCAAACAATGCTCGTTAAAACCATCGATCGTAAATCTTCAGCATTAGGTCTATGGATCATCATTATACTTCTCTTCATCGCAATTATCGTTATCGTTGCCGTTCCATTTAAAAAATAATGCTAAACATTTGCCATTTTCGCTCTCTGTAATCTATTTCATTTTTTTTTATCATTATTTAAAAAGCAATCAATGGATGATTTAAATATGTTGATTCATAACTTTTTGTCATGACTTGCAATCTTTTTCTAGAATGATCATTCCGACACTCGTGCAGCTCAGCAGTCGAGTTCTAGGAAAGTATTTCCTATCGATCGAAAGCTTTCGATATATCCCAGATGAATTTGTCGAGAACATCTTTGACAGTTATCTGAAAATGAATTCATCGCTATCGATTATAAGCCAAGAAGATCTTATACGAATTGTAAAAGTGTTAACAGATTATCATGGTGACTTATTCTGCACAAGCTTCTCTTATGTTATTGCGAATCATTTGAATATCTTAACTTCGAATTTTTACTTTCATTTATTTAAATGTGTACATAGAAATTTAGTTCAATTGGACTTTTCTCATGCGTTGGAGAAATATACATCGGAAGAGAAAGAACAGTTCTTGAACATTTTCGGTCAAATGGAAACAATTGAATATTTGAGATTAACTTATAATCGATTAGATGATGATGATATTCGACTATTGACTGCAAGTCATCGGATTCAAAGCAAAGCATTGTGTAACTTGCATAGTTTGCATCTTCAAGGTAAACACGACAATTAAGTAAAGGCGTGTAAATGTTTGGATTCATCTAGGCAATCATCTTACCAGTCGTTCGGCTCGGTTCCTCAAATCATTAACAACACTTGATACTTTGTATATCTCCCTGGCATCTCTTCATGTAAAAGATGTATTGAGTCAATATTTGATTAACATTTTGTGAATATTTAGGGCAAACCGGGATTTGTTAGAGAGTTCGACAATCTTTACGAATGTATTTGTTCGGTGCAGAATAGTTGGGAGGAAATTATCAATCGAGGTTGGATTGGCAAGATTCCTCAATTGCAATCGTCGAGTGCATCAGTCGATAATAGTTTTTGTACGGAAATATCTTGTCTTTCTCAGCTATTTTCTCTGAAATCATCATGATTTAGATCGCAAACGACGTCGTGTAGATAATGATGATTCAATTGCCTTAATCAAACTCGTTCGGCATTGTTCAACCTGCCAGCCAAGTCCATCGAAAAAGCCGATGAAGAAAACAGAGAAAGTCATTTCTAATCCAATAGGATTCATAGATTCTAATCAAGCCAATGATCTCTTATCGTGTTATCTATAAAATAGAAATTCTTCTTTCAGATATGCTTTCATCAAAATCATTTTCCATAGTTCGTTTGAATCAATCGACGCGTCTGTTTCGGCGTTCTTTTTTTAATCAAACTTATATCAATGGTCAATGGGTTTTATCACAAACGGGAGAAACTTTTAAAGTTTATAATCCAGCAAACGGCGAAGAAGTAGGTAGTGTACCTAATTGCAATAATCAAGATGCCGAAAAGGCCATTCAAGCAGCGTATGATGCATTTCAAAATAAATGGTCAACGAAGACGGGGAAAGAACGAAGTGTCATCATGAGAAAATTTAATGATCTAATTTTGAAAAATAAAGATCATCTGGCAAAAATCCTGACAACTGAAATGGTGAGATAGGCTTTCGAAAGGAAAATAAAATGGTCATTGTATAAATAGGGTAAACCGGTAAAAGAAGCCGCTGGAGAGATTGTGTACGGTGCAAGGTAAAAAACAAAGAGTAATTGAAATAAACTCAGTTTGATAGTCTATAGTTATATCGAATGGTTTGCTGAAGAAGCAAAACGTATTCACGGTGATGTACTTCCAGTTGGAATAGCAAATCGTCGTTCATTTGTTCTTCGTCAGCCAATTGGTGTCTGTGGTTTCATCACACCATGGAATTTCCCAAGTTCAATGATTCTACGCAAAGCTGGTCCAGCACTGGCTGCTGGCTGTACGATTGTAGTTAAACCAGCAGAAGACACGCCCTACTCGTGTCTGGCTCTTTGTGATGTAAGCAGAAATGTAAATTACTTTCTCACCTTGTTTCTTCTCATTGATTAGTTGGCAAAAGAGGCAGGATTTCCAGATGGTACATTCAATGTGTTAACCAGTACACGATCAGCTGAGATTGGCAAATTTCTTTGCGAGCATCCCCTGATTTCCAAAATGTCATTTACTGGATCGAGTAAGAAGTCATCTCTATGTGAAGGTCAAATCGAACCTGTATGTTTCAGCTGAGGTCGGAAAGAAGATCATGGCAATGTGTGCATCAACGGTGAAAAAAATATCGTTGGAACTTGGTGGAAATGCACCGTTCATAGTATTCAATTCTGCTGATGTCAAACAGGCAGTGCAAGGAGCAATGGCATCGAAATTTCGTGCTTCCGGTCAAACGTGCGTGTGTGCGAATCGAATTCTTGTACAAGATGTAGGTGACGATGAGAGTGCTTGAAAATAGCTGAATGAGAAATCCCCCTTTAGGGTATTTATGATGAATTTGTTGCCGAGTTTACCAAGAAAGCTAAAGCACAGATTGTGGGAGATGGGCAGGATGAGCGAACACATTTAGGACCGGTTATCAATAAAGATCAATACGAAAGAATTATCGATTTTATTGATGATGCTAAAAAACAAGGAGCAAGAATTGTCACTGGTAAGAATAGAAACAGTGAGGAATTTTGAAAAGTGATTGGTTGTACTTTTGATTAGGTGGAAATGAGAAGAAGGGAAAAGAATCGGGATTTTTCATTCAACCAACTGTCGTCGCTGATGTTAAGTTATCAATGCTTGTAGCTAAAGAAGAAATATTTGGACCCATCGCTGCACTTATCAAGTAAACTCCATCTAAGACTCTCTCTCTCTCTTCAGCTTAGTTCTGTTACATTCAAATAGGTTTAAGACAGAAGATGAAGCCATCAAAATTGCGAATTCAGTCGATGTCGGTCTTGCTGGTATGTCAATCTTTTACGAAAAATCAATCAGATACAATGGTTCTGTTTAGGCTACTTCTATAGTCAAGATTTATCACAAATTTGGCGTGTGGCAGAACGACTTCAAACTGGTATGGTCGGTATCAACGAAGGACTTATCTCATCCGTTGAAGCGCCATTCGGTAACTAATCTCAATTCTCACTTTCCGATCGTATTCTTTTGTTTCTTTTATCAAAGGTGGAATAAAACAAAGTGGTTTCGGACGTGAAGGTTCCAAATATGGTATTGATGATTATGTTAACATGAAATACCTCTGTATGGGCGGTTTAAAAGATGTTGATCGAAGTTCGCAATAATGTTTTTTTCTCGAATGATACATCTCTCTGCATTCCGTAATGACCTCCGAAAGTGTTTTTATAGTTCAAAACAATAAGTTTTTCTATAAATTAATATACCCGCGCGCTAAACTTCTTAAATATACGTGTCTACATCTAAAAAATGACTAATTCTGACTCACTAGTAAGGAAAAGAACGGGAAAGAAAGTCTATCGAGTATATGATCCATTTCGGTTCGTTTCAAAGTGATTTTCCAATCGAAACGGACTCTTTATCTATATATCTCTCTGTTTATCATTCGTATTTTCATTCAAAACGTCGACGACGACGACGACAACAGTATCGTCATACTTTGATCGATTGTGCTGTTTGACTAGCCATCTAACTTACTAACACAAATTACAATGATCACTCGAACTCGATCTCGACATTTGCAAAAGCACAATTGTAATTTATATTCATTTGCACGCGGCTTCGATGATTTTGTCGTCACATGGCCACCAACGACTAACAACACCACGAGCATCACTGATGACAAGTAACTTCTCCGAAAAAAAGATTAATTTTCTTTTTGTATTCCAATGTAATCGATGCTCAAACAAATCTGTGCATGTGTATAATTATTTTTCTATTCGATCTGGCCTTTCATTCTGTATTTAAATCTTTCTTTTTTCATTTGTGTAACTATCTGATATGTTCAAGCGTATGTTGTGTATGACATAGACCAAGAAACACAACAAAGTTTCAGTTGTACGTATACGCGTCAAATCGTATCGACACAACATAATCAAGAACATGGAAGATACTATATTTTTTCAATTATTTGTGTTATTGAACAGATCTATGTGTGCAATGATTTAGTATTATAGATTTTTCTCCTTTTTTTCCTTTTTCCATTTTCTATTTTCTGTAACAATAAACAAAGTATAAATTCTATTGAACGATTTCGAACCTGAACAAATCGATCTCTTATTTCGCTTTCCGAATCATATGCCAACACAAAGTGACTTCATTTTTCAGATATTTCATTAGACAGAGAGTAAAAAACGAAACATGTCTGATCTACCATCAGGTTGGGTTAAACACACATCCAGTCGCACAGGTTTGTTAAAGATGATCTTTAAGATAAATCGTATCGGAGAATCTTTTTAGGTAAAGAATATTATTATAATTCAGTAACCAAGGAGAGTCGATGGGAACATCCCGGTTTGACTGGTGGGAAAACATCAGGTGGACGCAGTGGAGGAAATGGTGATCAAGTTCAAGTTCTTCATATTCTGGTTAAACATACAGGTTCGCGTAATCCGAAAAATTATAAAGGTGAAACAATTACACGGAGTAAAGACGAAGCTCGAAAGAGACTTGATGGTTTGTAGTACGAAAAATTCTTTTTCTATCTGATCACTTTGATGTATTTCTAGAAATTATAAATGAATTACATAATGCAAGTGATCTTGAATCGACATTCCGTCACATTGCTAAAGATAAAAGCGATTGTAGTTCAGGTCAACGCGGAGGTAAGATATTGGTTTGTTATCGTTTGAAAAAAATGGAATGAACTTTTTATGCAGGTGATCTTGGCATGTTTGGACGCGGAGCTATGCAGAAAGCGTTTGAAGATGCATCATTCGCTTTAAATGTTGATGAAATGAGTAAAGTTGTCGATTCAGATTCTGGTTTACACGTCATTCTTCGCATCGCTTAAGACAAATTTCATCAGTTTAGTTCCTACAGGACATTCTCTTTTTTTTTTAACTCATCAAATGTGATTTCATCGATCTTTCTTCTTTGAAAATAAACACTCAATAACAGACACCAAGGCAAATGACATCAATTACCGTTAATCAACGTTATATTGCTATCCTTTTCTTTCGTATCCGATGACATATTATCTATCGACCGGAATGTCTGATTTCTTGTTTATTTAAACATATTTTCCGATTGTGTATAACGGCAAATACCCGAAATCGTTTGATGGACTCTTTGCAGATGTGCTAATACACACACAGACAGTATTCTTGCTTGTTCTTTCGATGTTTTCTTGCAGCGACACTCATCTTTTTTCGCACACACATTACCCACATGAATAGATAGTTGAATTATAACAAACAAAACCCGACAACGTAATAATCAATCAACAATAATAATAACAGCTAGTCTAATTGAATAAGAAAAGAAAAACGCGAGTTGTTTTGCAAGAATCGAGAGAAAAGTAAAGGTGGCGAAAGTCAATCTAAAGATAGTCAGAGACGTGTCATCTAAGAGTGTAAATCATTGTTATGACGAATATATTCTTGTTGATTACAATTCCATATTTATGAGTCTATTCTTAACCCCAAAGAGTTCTTTGTCGCTTTTACACAGTAATCTATCAACCCACTGAGAGAAAGAAAATAGGATATATACAATAAGCACAAACACAAGCATTTATTTTTAACAATCGAATATACGGTTGTAGAAGGACGCATAGAAAATTAATTCATGTCATCACAAGTTCTTCCGATTCATCGCGCGGACAAGAATTCCACAAGTGGAAACGGCAATAACAATAAGAATGAGATCTGGTTTGATGCATTCAACTTCGCACCTGGTCAAGACCACAATATCCGCTGGTTAAATCGACCGAATCAACAATTGGTACAAGAAAAATATCCTTATGACATCGAAAAGTTTCGCATCACATTCGATGTGGAAAACTTTCAACCCGAACAAATCAAAGTAAATCAAATCCCACATGCCTTCACGTCGATCTCTCCTCTCACATTCTCTCTAGATCTATATACAAAACTATAAATTAACTATCACCGGTGTCTATGAAGAACGTAGCGAAGGACGACACATGCAAAAACAATTTGAAAAGTCCTATGACATACCCAACAATGCTGATGTCGATGTCATGGCGTGTTATATAACACCTGCTCATATGTTAGTAACTGAAATTCCATTGCAACAAAATTTACAATCGCCAGGAATCCAAGGCGGACAACAACTAAATGTAAACAATCTCATGAATGACAATCGCCGCTTATCATTTTCATTAAATAAATACAATACACTGAATAATCAAGGTTTGTTGTCTTCGTCGAATAATTTATCAAGTTTGCCACCGCCTGCTCAACAAGTTCGTCGGTCATCAATTACAAAAACAACAACAACGACGACCGGATCGACCCCACTCCCACCTGAAGCTGCTGAATTGTTGCGTAGTGCTGAGACAACCACCGGTGGTACACAGACCTATACTACGCGTGTAACTGAACGTCGGCCATCGAATGTAGTCATCAATGAACCAGCACCATCACCACCAATCACATCAACGAATAATCAAACTAAAACAACAACGATTTTAACCAGTGCTGGTAAGTATTCAACTTATTTTCCGACATGAAATGCACAGCTTTTCGATGAACATAGATTTGGCAAATTTACCTATCGAAATTCCTCCGGAACTTTTAGCAACCGGTGGTACGATTACCATCCAAAAACGAAAGGTATCTGTAACAAAAACTGCTGTTGATCCAAATACAGTTCATTCGCCCCCTGTGCTACCGACAAGTCAGAATACTACGCAAGCGACTTCATCAACAATGACAGCAGCAAATAATTTACCACAACCGATGACAACCGAACGAAGAAACTCAAGAGTATTAGAAACAATTGTCTTTCATCAATTTCGATATATTTTCTTGTTTTTAGACAATATCAACTAGCAATCAGCGGCGAACAGTTACACTTGATGACTTTCTTCAAAATAAATCATGGAATCCGTCGATAATTGACAGTCCTGATGGCAAAAAGATTCTCTTAATGCGTTTACAACTGAAACCCGAAACGGCAGCTGATCAATTGAAAGTAACTCTGAATGGTAATGTTTTGCGCGTGGAAGTCGATGCGAAATCTTCACCAGAAACTGGTCGATTCATGAGTACGTATATTTCATTTCAAACCTGAAATAATTCTCCACCTTTTCCTATCTTTAGACGAACACAGCTATCGGCAAATAACTCTTTTCCCGACATGTGAAGTCGATCAATTGAAAACCGAACTTCGAACTGATGGATGTCTCTACATTCAAGTACCAATTAAACTATAATACAAAAAAAAGACTGCTTGAAACAAATTTTCTACGCTATCTGTCCTTCAACGCTATTTACCCTCATTCTATGTTTGTTATTTTGCAAATAATATATCATGCTTTCAATATCAATTTTAGAAACTTTACTATAAACTACGATGATCATGGTTTCGACTATGCATACTGTCGTAACTTTATCTTTCGTTATGCTTAACCAGGAAAAGGTTTTTCCTCATATTGACATTTTTACTTTCGCAAACATTGTGTTATTGATATAGGTATGTGACAAAAAACTAACATAGATACGATCAGATTTCAACGTTTGATAGTCAGATGAAATGATAAAGAAATTCCTATCGATCGAATTACGAGCAAAATTTCCTTTGATTTCGTTGCTTTATTCTTAACGCTCTTTTACTCGAGGATCTTCTACACACGCTAGCTTCTTCCCGTTCTACGCTCAATGAGAAAACAAACACACTTGTACAGTTCCAACTGGAATGCCATCTTTCGATCTTTCCGATTTTCCATTGGTTAGCGACACACGTATTGAAAAAAAAGAACATCTAGCATAGCATAGCCCCTTCTTCTTCTATCCATATACATCTATGTTGATATAACTGATTGATTTGGTATAACAAATCGGCTCGCTGACCCGTATATCGCCGCGTACAATTGCTTCTCAATTGATTAATAACGTTTTTTTCTCCATGTCTCGTTCAGATTTCTATTCGTACTCGTAAAATTGTCCGTTCATCATTTCATATCCCACCACATAGACATCTTCATCGTTCTCTCAACCATTTTGTCCTACTCATTTCACTTGCTCTCATCTATCAAAAGATCAAACCGACTTAGTTCATAGTCATTGCAAACACTGCTTTCGTTCTAAGATGTCTCGATCAAACATTTTGTAATACTCGACAAAACAAATCAGTTCATCAAGACTTAATATTACACTTGGGAATATTCATATAAACTAGTAAACATGGAATCATTACCGTATGCTTATTTTATTATTCATAACTTTCATCTTCGGTGAAGATGTTGCCTTTGGCTGTATGTACTGGTTTCCCAGGCCGTCACATAGCAAAACATGGTACATGATATTTGATTAAAAAATATTTTATTCTATTTTCCTTTCAGATACGAACCATCGTTTTCCGCATGTTATCAGTGAATAAATAAATCGAGAGTTATTGAGTACAACGGCGTAGTTCATCATTTTCGAACACCTGGAAAATACTTTCTGTTGCTATCATATCGCAGAAGTCGGAATACGATATGTTTAGGCCATTTGATTCGCTATGAAATCGACATTGTTTAGATGCGATTACCAAACTTCTCTGTAATACAATATGTATCTTCTATACGATGAGACGAACGAACATATTGCAGCATATGTTTTTCTATACACATTTATATCTTGTCATATGTGTATATTTTTTATCTGGACATCAAAGAATCGATTTGGGAGAGATCTTCTTTCATTTTTAGATTATTGATCTTATTTTTGAATATATTTTCTCTTCAAATGTTCGACTCCTCTCGTCGAAATCTTTATCCAACATAATTAATCGTTCCTTACTCTTGTTCAAGGTAATCATCTGACTCTCAACATACATTGACATCTCCGATATTTTCATCCAACTTCCACTGACACTGAATCATTTCGTTCGAATTCCAAAGGTCATAGGACAAAACCTCTCGAAAATATTCCCAGCGGCATATACATACTGACTCGTAGAACGAAACAGTGGATCAAATAACCCGCCATTATGAGGAATATTCCTTTGTTTTGTTCGTCAGTTAACCTTTAGAATTTAAAAGATCATTAGACATCCATATTAACAATTTCCCTCCATAGAATATTGTTTCATGCAAGTCAAGTAAGATGAATCGTGTAAAATCTGATCTTTTGCCGCAAAGTTCGTCTATTTCCTTGACGTTTGTCATCGAAATGGAAATGATTATTATTTCAAATATTATTCAATCTGAGAGAGATGTGTGTCTTATTACTAATGCAATTTGTTGTCTTCTTTTTGTTCTTCTCATTTATGTAGTAATCGAAAAATCTTCTTCGCTCTTTTGTTGTTTATATCATCTCGAGAATATAACAGAAAAAGACTACACAAGAAGAAGATTATGTTCTTCAGGAACAGTATTCTTCAAGTCGTTTTCACACGATAACATCGCAATTGTGCTAATCTACTTTTGTTGTTTTCCTCTTCTCGCATTGATTTCAACAGTAGACCTGAGTATGTGTAAATCGATCGGTTATGTCTCTAAGTTTCATTGATTTGCTGAAGCCTCATATGATCGACTAAGTCTATTAAGTACTCAACTAATTGCAGTAGTGAACATTACTTCTTCTCGTCTTTTTTCTATTCACAATTGACTCTATTCTATGACCCTACATACAAAGGTATTCTTTCGTTCTCTTTCTTTAGCTAGGACTGATTGAAATACGAAGAGAAAGAGAGAAAAAAGAAGTAACAATGTTTTCTTTGTTTTGCTTCTCTTTCTCTCTCGCTGCTTTTAAATAGATTTTCTTTATGAAGTCAGCGAGATAGACATTTTTACTTCATCTCTTTCGCTCCTTCTTAGTACCAACCATTAACCGATGAATGAATATACATACATGTGCATGTTTTTTCTCTTTCTCTTGTATAATACACGACACTAAGCCATTGGATTTTTTTAATTTCATTCCTGTCGAACATCCATCCAGTTTCGATGGATGAGAGTGAGAAGAAAATTACTATCTGTTTGCTTATTGAACACGCAATATAAATCTCTAATTCTTTGCTTGCATGTCATACTCGTACTTCTCTCTCTTTCTCTCTCTGTCTTTCCATATTGATAAAGTTAAAATCTAATTGAGACGCTTGGCAAGATTAGCTTTATTCACTCATTCCGATACCCATCTCTCTTCGTTATTTTCTTCTTCTTCCATAATAAATAATAAAAAATGGATCTAACTCTTCTTTCAACATACATGCATGCCTCCACACTACGGCAGTATTCGTGTTTGTGCAAAAATGCAAATCTATTGGAATGGCATCATCATTAGCACAGTTATATAGGAAGAAAAACGGAATATAGAGAGTAGTAAAAGAAAAGAAGAACCTACGGACAAACACAAAGCGAAGTAGAAACGATAACTCATAATCACTTTTTTTTTTATAAACAGAATGCGTCGTGCTCTCAATGCTCTTTTTCTTCTTTTATTACTTTTTCTCTCTTTCTCCTGCGAAGATAAGTACTCATTGTCTGTTTTGAACTTAAAACTAGGACTCTTCTCGTTTGGCTAACCGTATGATATTTTGATGAGCATTACTCGAGAAGTTAATTCGATCAATTCTTCTCCTCTGACTGGAAAAAGCGTAAGACAAGATAAGATGTCGAAAATAATCAAAATCAACTTCATCTAACATCATCCCAGAAGACGATAGATTGAAACAGAAAAAAAACGTAGTCCATCACTTTCTTTCTTTCTAACTGGGCGCATTTCATAGATTCTCCTTTGTTTCTTTATTCTAGCCATTTCGTTACATGTGTGTAAATGAGTGATTACAATTGAATAGATAATCAACGGAATGGAACGACAAGATTACGAAGAAAATTATCGTGATAATGATCAAGCACTGGACGACGAAGGTTTGTCGATGAAAATCTCTGTTCAATAAAAATTTACCGACGTTTCTTCTTACAATTTTTAGATAATCATGAACTATCCGTAACACCGGTACCAGAAATAATCAACGATGAAGATAATTATGATGAAAATATCGATCCTGTCGACATGTCAAAATCTCAAGTAAATATCTTTACTTCAAACTAATAGTTCCATAGAAAACAGTTAACCTAATAACAATAGACATGATGTTTTAACAAATTTCATGGTTCATTGTCAAAGACTTTATACTATTGCGTTGCTCTATGTCATATTGCTTGTGTTCATCAATTAGTGTCGAGTCGTTGAATATTCCGAGTCGGATGCCACATCTGTCTATCTATCGATCGTTTCTATATCTTGTTATTGCCTCCTTCTGTCCAGTTCTTTAGATTAATCTATTGTCCTTGCCCGTTGGCAATAATATAAAAAAAGAAGAAGAACTATCGAGAATGTGTTGCTCATCGATAACAATGAGACGAGAGAAATATTTCACATCCGTTGTCAGTTGTGCTTCTTGTCTGTCATCGAGATTGTTCAAAATATTGCTGGTCTTCTATGTTAATCGCATGTCATTTATTTTGTCTTTTTTTGCTTCTTCTCCCTTTTTCATCTCCTTTTTTTCTCACGCCGACATCGCTTTCTGTCCGATGATGATGATGATGATGATGATGACGAGAGTTCGGATCGTTTTTTAGCGTATATATTGGCAAAAAGAATTCAACGTCTGATTGATCCATCTCTAACTTGTCGTTGTCTCTTTCTCTAGCACTTGTTCTTCATGCTCGCGTTCAAACTTCCATTGCCTTCGCTGTCTTCTTCGAATAGTTCTTTTTCTCTTCGTTCTTTTTTCTTTCTCTCTCTCTCTGTTTCCCTTAGAGCCGTGCCATCCTTTATATTGACAGATGCGAGAGGATAGTCTCACTGCAATAGGAAAAGAAGACGAAGTCGAGGAAGAATAAAGAGAAAAAGGAAGAAGGAAGGAGATAGAACGAGAGATGACGAAGAACAGCTATTGAGAAAAAGAAGAGATGGGCATAAATGAGAAATGAGATTGATAGAGCAAACGAACTATATGTTTTGGCATTGAGACAGCGGTCTAATATTACTTGCTATCCATTTTTATTCTACTACGACGATAATAATACTGGTAGCAATATTCTCCGTTCGCATGAGTCAACGAATATAGGATATGCCTTCCTTATCAGCCAATAATACCAGTTCTACTACTATGACGGGGGCGAAATCTCGTCGAAAACATCATCACCATCATCATCATCATCATCGTCATCCTCAACGCCACGTGAGTGTTTGCTACTTCTTCTGAAACGAAAACGCATCTCTCGAGAACGAATGAAGTTGCACGATAGTTCAACAGGAAGGAGAATACAAAGCTCGATCTTTACATACACGTAATTGAAAATATGGCTCAATTGTGTCTGTTCTCTAGCGTAGAGAATGTACAACAAGTCTATAGTCAACTCATCGTTCTAATTGCATGTGTTGATCGTTGTCGACCCCGTCTACCCAAGAGTGTTCCCTCACTTTACTATCGATCTATTGTTATGACTAAACCTAAACGGCTTCGCTCTGTGTAATTCTCATAATTGCCTCAGTGCTTTTGTTTGCTTTTTTTTTCGAGCAGACATGATTATAGAGTTTTACGAAAATGATAGACACCTACAGACATGTTAAGATGGGAGAGTTGATGTGCTATAACTAACTAGTATGGAACAAAATGTCATCGGTGCCATTACTAATTCAAGGATAGGATATACTTTAGTTCGGTAATCGTCATCGGAAATGACGAGAAGATAAAAGAGAAAGAAAATTGCTAAGGAAGATTTATTTGCTCGCGGATAAACACCTGTTTCCTTTTTATGTTCTACAGGTTGATGAAAATGTTCCTCAACAGCAACAACAATCATCATCGACATCATCTGTAACCGTTACAACTCCCGACGATAATGGGCCGTTATCGGCGACAACAACAGCAATAACAACAAAAAGCGACGATAGAGCATCTCCTGTGAATCATCATACACTCCGTAAGAAAAGAAAAAGAGGAAAAAAATATTGACAAAAAAAATCTTTATTCAATATTCATATGGATATTTCCCTTCACTTCGATTGTATATAATAACTTCAAATTATTCCGATACAATTATTGAGTTTCTCAGGAAAAAAGCAAAAGGGCAAAAACATGCGTCTCACTTATCTAAATAAAGCCAGTATATCTCCTAGTATATGTGATATTCTCTAGAGAACACAATAGAAAATATTGGATTAACAATCCAATCAACGATATTCATAACTTTTTTCGAATTCCTTTTTTCTAACCTTAGGTGAAAACCAGCAACTATCGGATCGATCATCGCCTGTTAACGGTCCTGGTTTAGCTAAGCCTATATCGATGACATCCTCTCTAAAAGAACATCGTTCTTCAGCAACAGCTAATACAGCTGGAACGAAACGTATCGATGCTGCCTTAGAAAAGAACATTGAAACTATTGTCACGCAAGTTCGTCGGACGACAACGAAACCATCTCAATTGACTCAAAATGACTTACAACTATTCGATAGTACCTCGTCAACAAATAGTATTCCGAGTGGACACCATTCACGTGAAACAACACCAATTACATCGACTAGTAATCAAAAGCATGTGTCATCATCATCGTCACGTGAGATGACACCGGATTCGATCAATGCTGATTCTGCTAATGAAGATCAACAACAACAACAACAACACCACCATACTATCCGAAATGGAAATCATTATTATCATCAACGTGCTGCACATCCTCAATCTCCTACTCTTCCTCCCGGAGCAGCTACTGCTGACTTAAATGCGCCAACTATTTCACCGTATGGTCAACAGCCATGGCCTCCTACCGTCTATCCATTTCCTCATCAACATCCCGGACTTTATTTGCCTTACCCGCCGCCAACAACATCAACACCAGCCAACGGCTTACCATCGTTTTATCCTTCCTATGATCCATTATTAATCGAACAACATTACGGTTCACAAGGTCTATCGGCGTTTTATACTCAGCAACAACAACAACAAGCGCGCCTGTTACAAGAGCATTCAACAATGTCAGGTACGCCAATCAATCCGTCTTTATTTAGAGAATCTCAATCATTAACAGATATATTTCATAATAATGTAAATAATAATAATAATAACAATCATGCAACAACTCCAACTCGTCTAAATCCGCTTTTGACAAACTTAACTGAACAACAACAATTGATGCTTTCGCATCTCTATCTCAATCAGATCACTTCGCTTCCATTTGTAACTTTATATGATAATACATCACTAGGTCAACAATTTAGATTTAACGGAGATATTGGTGAGAATGAAACCATTTATCGTTCTCAATGTTGTACATTTTGTGTTCTAACTACTAATATATTTCAATATTGAACATCCTTCTGTAATTTCCCATTTTCATATTTTTCATTCCTGTTTAGATCGTCTCTCAACATCGTTAACGACTCCAACACGAGAACACGGTGAAAACTCTCCTGTTGGTAGTGGTGAATCCACCAAATCTGCCGATTCTATTGCAACTGGACATCGGAAAAAGAAATCGGCATCTCGTTCATCTCAACCACATCCGTCAGCGAATGAAAACATCTCGAAATTATCTCCAGATCATTCATCCGACGGTGCTGGTACGAACGATGCTGATAGCATAATTTCCGTTGAAAGTCAAAAATCAGGCACGAATTCAAGTATGCCCATACTTGAAGATGGCCTGTCTGATTCGGAAAATCTCAGCGGCGACGAACAACAACAGTCATCGCCTGTGAAATCCAAAACAAATGGTTGTCACCAAGCGACAAAAAGTGATTTTCTATTTGATAAAAATCATTCGTCCTTAGTCACGTCATCGCACAAACGCCAATTTGCTAAATCTGTCAATACGAATGGTGTCGAACCTCAGTCGAATTCGTTTTATATTCGTCCACCTCCTCCGTCATCGTTCGTTCGACCAGTAGTAACAAATCATTCGACACCGCCAGGCAATACTCCAACCTCCGATTCGAATCGAACAAAAATTCCACCAGAAGAAACATCCACAGCTCCAGCAGGTAAAAATAGCTTCTTTTTCTTCATTTTCGAATCAAGGTTAACACCACTAACCAGTAGACACTTTAGATGAGGGAAATACTAATCCAAAACCAGTGCGAAAAAAGGGTTTGTGTAGCATGTTCTTTTTTTCCTCTCCCCTTTATTTTAACTGTGATTTTGTGGGTAGAAAACAAGCATGATTTGATTTTATGATTTCTTTTCATACGAAAAACTATCGAGAAAACTCGCCTATCTTTCGTTTAGATTACGATACAGATGAAGAAACTGATAAATTGCTCGGCGTTGAACATCGTATCAATGCGAAAAACCAAGCCATTCGTGATGCTGTACGTTTCATATATCTAAATCTATTCTATATGTATTTCTTTGATAAATAGGCTGTGTCCAAACCAACCAGCAAATCGAAATCACAAGAAAGTATGTTTTCCTTATATTCACTACGAATTACTTCCTTTCGTCTTTTCTTTCTCTTTTGTCAATACTCAATAAGATTTCCCTATCGTTTGTGATGCATTTCATACGTGGGAAAAGTCAATGTCAATGAGAAGATAAATATCTTTTTTGTTTTAGCTCTCACTCAATCAATTGCTCATCCAGAAAACTCATCAGTGTTAATCGAAGGCGTTCTATTCCGTTGTCGTTATCTCGGTTCAACGCAACTACTCGTCGAAGGAAATCCAACGAAAGCGTCAAGAATGATGCAAGCTCAAGAAGCCGTTGGCCGAATCAAAGCACCGCAAGGCGAAAGTCAGCCATCGGTTGAAGTCGATCTATTTATTTCGACCGAGAAAATTATGGTCCTAAATACTGATTTACAAGATATTCTGATGGATCATTCGTTGAGATCAATATCTTATATTGGTATGTACGGAAAAGATATGGATTCGTACATTGAATTGTTGTTTATTTTAGCTGATATCGGTGATCTTGTTGTGCTAATGGCTAAACGCCGTTATCTTCAACATACAGATGATAGTGTTAATGGAAGTGATGATTCAAATGAAACAGCCACCCGTCGTGTGGTCTCCGTCAATCAAAAGATGATTTGTCATGTGTTTGAATCCGAAGAAGTGAGTTTATTGTTGAAAAGAAAATTGATCGATCAAACTAACATCGATGTCTTTATTTTGAAAAGGCTCAACCAATTGCTCATTCGATCGGTCAAGCATTTCAAGTTGCATATGTTGAATTTTTAAAAGCGAATGGTATCGATGATCCAAGTCTTACACGTGATATTGATTATCAAGAAGTATTAAATCAACAAGAAATTGGCAGCGAAGAACTCGATCGATTTTCGAAGAAAGAGTGTCAAAAAGAAGTAAATCAGCTTTGTCTTATAGCGTGATCCTCTATGAAATTCTTCTTCATCTTATAGGTTATTGTTCCTAAAGCAAAAAATGAACCACTCGGTATAGTGATTGTTGAAAGTGGTTGGGGATCGATGTTACCAACCGTTGTTATCGCCAATATGATGCCAACTGGACCAGCGGCAAGGTAGGTTTATCCTGTAGAAAGAAAACGCGTTTTCTATTTGTGTTCTGTTTTTGTTTTGATTAGAGGTGGACATTTGAATATCGGGGATCAGATCATATCGGTTAATGGAATTAGTTTAGTTGGATTACCTTTGTCTTCTTGTCAAGCACAGATTAAAGTATTCCAGTTCGCTATAAAAATAGGTCGATTGATGAAAAATTCTATTTAGAGTGTCAAACATTTAACAACTGTACGATTAGTCGTTGTTCCTTGTCCACCAGTTGTTGAAGTACTCATCCGTCGACCAGATACAAAATATCAGGTAAGCATTTCTATCGATCAAGAAACCTCGGTTGAAAAACTTCTTTTTCTTTTCAATCTAGCTCGGCTTTAGTGTACAGAACGGCATCGTAAGTTCTTAATAATCGGCATCGATTAGAATAAAGCGTGTTTGTATCTTTCCTAGATTTGTAGTTTACTTCGCGGCGGTATCGCCGAACGTGGTGGTGTCCGCGTTGGCCATCGAATTATTGAAATAAACGGAAATAGTGTTGTCGCAACCCCACATGAAAGAATCGTTAGTATGCTTTCAAATTCCATCGGTGAAGTAAGTGATTTGTCATCTGCAAACCCGTATATTCGTTACACTTTTCTAGCTTCGAATGAAAACCATGCCGACCCAAATGTATCGTCTCTTAACTGGACAAGAAAATCCAATTTATATATAAAAGTCTTTCTTGTTGTTTGTTTCTCGTTTTTTTTTATCTTATAAATAATGTTGCCATCACCTTCAGTATTCGATCTCAGCTCGTTTGTTCTTGGAACTCGAAGAGTATATGTGACATTGATTTGTGTCTACCTATCACATACACACACACATATGCGCACGCCAAGTTAAATCAAAACAAAAGTCTTGAAAATCTTCTGATGCGTTGATTCAATCTTTCTCTCTCTCTTGTTTGTACATACAGTCGTTTCTTTTTTTTTGTTTGAATTTTGTCGAGCAACGAAATGTGTGAACAGTGTTTCGTGTATTTATTATTCTTATTGACTGAGCTCCACTTTTCAATGATCAGCAAATGGATAAACAACGTATCTCTTTCGTTCTTCGTTTTTTTTTTCAAGTATAATTCTCTAGAACCTCGCATACTCATGTTCGGCCTTCAGTTTTTTTTCTCTTTCTTCCATTATGTACTTCTTCTTGTTCGGCGGTCCTTTTTTGTTATATATACAGTCAGAATGATATTATTGATAAAAAAAAAGAAAGAACTTAAGATAATAGGAATGTCACTTCGTACGGAAATGAAGAAAAAAGAACGAGTGAAAGAAATTAAAATTTAAAAGCAAATATAAGGAGAATTTATGATGAAACCTTACAATTCAGTTGTATGTATTTTGATATAATTAAGAAAAAATAAATCAGACCACATGTACTTCTTCATTATCATGCACAATATTAACATTTGGAAAAAATCTACTGCAAAAATGAGCTACAAATCTGACAAATAGATCTCGGAAGGAGTTATTCTGTTCGCTGCTTGGACGAACTCTAATGGTTTATTATCGATTGAAACTGGTAATAATGACGACGATTGCTCGAATGTATTTAACATTCTTACTAACGATTCGAGAGTTGGTTTGAACTCGATTATTTGTTGAAAGAGAACTTCTTTTCGTTCGTACGAATATAAACGTTGAGTTCGATCATCAAGTAAGGCCTGTAATTGTTGACAATGTTGTTCTAAGAGTTGATTAGCTCGATACAGTTTACTACATTCGAAATTTCTTTGTTGAATTTCTTCTTTTTGTTCATGTGTCAATTGTTCGAGTTCTTGATTACGTATGTACAACATTTGTAGGTGGTTATTCGCTTCGCGTATTGTTGTTCGTGTGATTAAACTTGATGAATTTGACAGGATTGCGTTACTATCAGTCGAAATTGAACGTCTAATGACCCCATCCGTCATATTTTCATTATAAACCGAGTTTATAAAGGGAGGAAAAGAGACGTAGGTAATGTGTTCAATTTCTTTCGAAATGTTTATTCGATCTGACAGTTCAATTTAATTAGTTGGCGTAGTAGCGCCGTTTTTCTTCAGTAAATGAAAAAGAAAATTGAATCACTTTGAAAGTAGATCATGTGTGGGATATTTTCTACTCGAGTGAACATTTCGTCTACAGCTTGACGTTCTTCTCTTCGAAGCAGGAAAAAGCCGATCAGTGAGTTCGCCTTTTTTTCTTACTCAAAATTCCAATCTTCCCTTCCTGAGACACTTCATTTCAAGTATGTCATACGTACAAGTTCAGCGCTTGTTCTTGCATCAAATGACACTTGAAATTCGATTTCGCTGCACACACACCGTCGTGCTTCAGGTTTACAGAAATGAACATCAATATTCTCTGATTGAAAAATAACGGCACTTACAGTTCGTTATAGGCATATGAGGCAAATAGGAAAAAATTCGATTTGATATCAATTTCACTGATCGCATCTATTTACATACATATTTTATGTCCTCCGCTTGATTTTCTCATAGAAGAGACGATTCAAGGTAACGACCTTCTATTGTCATACCAATAAACTTTGTTCAAGTGTTGTTTTAATATTTGTTCTATAATCGTTTGCTTTATTATATTTCATTGGCAAGTCATTAGTCGAATCAGGCTTCATTTTCTTTAATAAATTGTATGAATCCATACACACAAGATATACCACCTGCCGCTTCCTTTTGTTCTTTCAAGGAACTAGTCTATATTATAGGCCAGGATAGTCTTGTTTTTCCTCTTCTTTTATAATAATTTTGCGTGAATTGAAAATAGCAGCTATTCATGATCATGTCGTCTTCCTTTCGGAACATGTTTCAAAGATGAATCTCTCATTTTCTCTGTTTCTTTCAGTTACGCTTCTCTTTTTAACATCGGACCTGATCGATTGCTTCGCTCCTCGCCTCCATCGATTTCGTTCTTCCTTGCATTTTTTTTCATTCAACCACGAAGTACATGTATATGAATGAATTTTCTGACAGACCGTGTTCTCTCCCATTTTGTCTTTCTTCTTGTTCGTTGTATAGTCAATGTGCAACATATCTGCGTATGAAAATGATTGAATTATTGCGAATCAATCATTGAGATGATGAAAACAAGCTCGTTGACCACAACGCTTCTCAATCATCTAACTCCGTCTCAGACAGTCACTGGTTGTACACTATCAACACATTCACCATCTTCGGCTGCATCATCAGGATCGGAGTTGGAGACTGTTTCATCCATATCACACGGTTCTTCTCGTCAAACAACAATCAACACATTGGCTCAGAATGTTCATGATCAAACGGATTCCATCGAACCAGAGGATTCAAGTGAAGCTCTAGTTAACACAATTGACAAACTCAAACGTGAATTAGTCGCGTTGAAGCAAGCAAAGACACAGTTGGAAACTTTATACAAAGTAAGTTTGCATGAAAGTATTAACTAAAATAGTTTCTTCACTCAACGAGAAAAGCAAGATATTAATTGATTGTTAAGTAAGTATTTTGTCTTGTGTCTATATGTTATTAGATATGCCCAGCCAAAATGATTCATCTTTTTTTATTGCCTAAATGAGAGGAAACTGGTTTTCTATATGTTTTTCTTTGCCTTCGGCGAGTGTACATGTACTCAAAATAAATAGAATGTCACCTTGTGAAATTAATATTATTCTTTAAAACTGTTTTATTTACGTTATCTCGTTGCAGGCGAAATCCAAATCGGATCTCGATAAATCAGCGAAGATTACAAAACTTCGTCTTCAATACGAGCATGAACTCAATGTGTTCTGTAAAGAAGATCAGAAAGATCTTGTCTCTTATTTACAACGGCAGTTACTTTTACGTGACCAACGCATCGCTGAACAATCATATGACATCGAACAATTAAAAACATGGTCAGTGCCAGAGACTGTTCTTGATATTAATGAAACTGCCAGTAAGAGAATTGCGCCAGTACAAATATTACGAAGTACTGATCCTGATTTGGTCATTTCTACGGTAAGTTACAAAAGACGAGTTTTATTCTATCACGTGTACATACGCGCATGATCCGCCATGATATATATAAGTTGCCTTAGCACGTCCTCTCTCATCTATGATATCCTGTGTGACTCATTTGAGTTAATGCCCTTGATCGATTCGTCAACATTCGTTTTTTTCGCTTTTCTACAATGCTTGCCTCGCCCTTATTTTCTCTTCTTTTTTTCGTCCATTCGTATCTCGACAAACATAAAGTATTCGCGTACAACGCATACGTCCTCAAAACATAAATTATAACTTAACTAGGTGAACTCAACGTTAAGGCAATGGCTGGAGACGAAGCTAAACAAAGTGGTGGAAAATCGAGCAATGGTGATGGTGGTGGATCAAAACCAGCTGACAAAGATAATAAAGCAAATAAAAACGATGCTGGAGGTGCTGCTAAAGCAGGTGGTGCTGATAAAGGTGGAGCAGCATCAGGTGGAGCAACATCGGGTGGTGCTGATAAAGGTGGAGACAAAGGTGGCGCCAAGAATAGTGGTGATAAAGGAGGAGCTTCGGGTGGAGCTGATAAAGGTGGTGCCAAAGGCGGTGATAAGGGAGGCGATGCCAAATCCGGCGGTGGAGACAAAAGTGGGGATAAGAAAGAAGCATCTGGCGGTGGAGGCGGTGGTGAATGGGAAGGTGGTGATCCTGAAAAGGGTGCAAAACTATTCAAAACGAAATGTTCTCAATGTCACACTGCTGAAAAAGGTGGCGGCAATAAACAAGGGCCAAATCTACATGGTTTGTTTGGTCGACACACTGGTTCAGTTCCTGGTTTTAATTACAGCGATGCTAACAAAAACAAGAATATCACTTGGGGCGGTGATACTCTTTGGGTCTATCTAAAAGATCCAAAGAAATACATTCCAGGGACAAAAATGATTTTCGCTGGCTTGAAAAAGGATGAGGAACGAAAGGATCTAATTGCTTATCTAAAACAAGCATCCAGCGATTAGGCAGTAATTCTATTGTGGAATTTTTTTCATCTCAGTTATGATGTGAAATTTCTGTGTTGTTTTTGTACTCTTCATTTCTATTTAATCTAGCATGTACTATTTAAATAAGCATTGTTCTACTTTCCTAGAATTCATATCAGCGTTTTGCTATTTTTACTCGAAATATACAAACGCATGAAGCAGCGTTTAGTAAAAATCGTGTAAAGGATTAGTTCATTTGGTGCGATCGATTTTTCACTCAGTGAAAATGAATTTTTCTCAAGTGCCGATTATTGATGAGTTTAGGGACGAACGGCAACTTATGATCTACAGGGATTTTCATCCTTTTCTTGTTCTTTTTTTGTTCGAATTTTCCAAGTTAATTTAATATTCTCCTTTGTTCTTTATCAAACTTAGAATCAACATCTTCATGATGAACAAAAACAGTCTTCACAACAGGATCTCGTTGAATTACACGATCGTGTCAAACGATTCGAACGAACATTGGAAGTGCTTAAACAGGAGCAACCAGTAACTGTTTGAGAATGCGGCTGTAAAGATTTGAAATCATAATGATTGCCATCTTTTTTAGAAAGATCACGATAAAGAATTAATCAAACGAGCATTGGCAAAGCAAGCCAGTAAAGATGCTATCGAATATCAGAAGTTATTGAAGAAAAAAAACGATGAAATCAAACAATTAAGTATTCAACTGCAAGAATTATCGACAGTAATTGATAACCAAGGAAACATCGTCGCGTAATTCCTATGAATATTTGTGTTTTTTCTTTTGCTAGGCAAATCATCTTGGCACAGCATTACGACAGATAAATATTGAAAAACTTCATCTTGAACGACGTCTTTTGGCTTCAAGAACAACATCAACATTGAACTCGATAGCAAATATAGGCGTAAGTCTTCAAGCATCCCATTGAAAGATGACGGAAACTGCCTTTCTTTCCACATTATTGACTGTCTCTTAGGTAGACAGACGTCTTCTTATTGTTGTTCGATCCATTTCCTTGATGAAAAAAACTGGAAGGAAAGAATACAAGATTTGTTTCATGTGCATATTGAAAAGAAAACTTTCTTATTTATCGAATCACTTCGATAGTTTCTCCCTCTTTCATTCTCGTTCTTCTCTCTTCTCTTGTTTTTCATCAGTCATTCTAATCTTCCATGTATTGTGAGAAAGACATGTGGGAAAGAGAGAAGAAGGAAAAAAGTGCAAATAGAAAGACATCTTCATCGGCACGCGCGCTAGAGCGAGGCCTCGTTCGGTCGATGAACATTCCTCTTTTTTGCTTCTTGTGACTATTTCTCTCGTTAAGTTTCTGTTCTGTTTCCCACTTTTTTCTTGCTTTTTCTTCATCAGTTTTTTCCTCTTGTCGTTGCAAAAGAAAGTGAGAGAGAGAAAGAGAAAGAAGAAAAAAAAACGGGAATATTTTTTTACCACACTACTACCGGTTGCAGAAGACTCCTCTCTTTCTCAGAGATAATCATATTAGTTATTTACGCTCGCGTGTGCGTGTATGTATGTATGTAGATGTGGTAGTATCAAACTTAGCTGAACCACAAGAATAAAGCATTAGTTAGAGAATAGAGAAAGTAGAGATTGATTCTCTTAAGTATAAAATAAAGAAAAACTATCGAAAACAATTATGACCAGCTCATCATCGCCGCGTTTTACCGGTTTTATTCGCGATGTGAAGTCATCAAAACAGAATTTACAACAAACATTCTCACAGGTTTGCCAAACAGACATTTCATTGCGAATTCATCATCGAAAGTGTCTCGTTATTCGCATGTTTCTTTTCTGTTTAGCCATCATCAGCAGCGAATACAACGACGAATGTCACGGAACAACAGCAACAATACCCGACAACAACAACAACAGCAAGTGGCCGCTCGAGAACTAATTCTTCAACAGCATCTTCCATCGATCCCTTTCATTATCAAGCATTACAAGACACGAATGAAGCGCTAAAAAGTGAAGTACATCGTTTGGCACGCGCTGAAGACGAACATGTCACCAAACTGAAATTACAGGTTAGAAGATACTCATTTTCATGATTTTGTTTTTCTTCGTCGTCGTCATCAAAATAACCAGTCACTCATCATAGGTCCTCAGGAATAAAACTGTCAACTTCATTTAAGCCGCTTTTTCTCGTTTTTTGTTTTAATCTTCTAAAGCCGTTTTCTCTATTGGAAGACGTTCGATCAGCAAGAATAGAATTGTATCTATTCTTCTATTCATTCATTCTTTATTTCTTCTCTTTACTTCTAATAGCTTCAACAATATACTGAACTTGAAGAAGCATATAGACATCTTCAAAATGAGTATACACATCTAACAGAGATCGAAGAACGCTTCGTGGAAATACAAAATACGTATAAGAATGAAAAATCAACGTTCGAATATTGTTCACATGAAAACGAGCAATTGAAAAGCCAAAACGAACATTTACTTGGTGAATTAGCACGTTTGACACAGATCGAAACACGTGATCGAACGCGATCAGCAGAACATGCTGACCAACGTCGTCAATACGATGATTTATTCAATCAATTCAATGAATTAAAACAAAACTACAACGATTTGAAAGATAAATACCAAGATAATCAGAACAGTTATGAAAATGATATCAAACATCTCAATGATGAGAACATCAAACTTCGTCTCGATAATGAACAATTACGTGCAGCGAATGATTTGCTACGCGAAGAACGTAATCAAATGAAAGAATCCCATGAAACGATCTTGAGAAAACGGCTCGATGAAATCAAATATCTTCAGACTGAAAATCGAGATTTGCAGATGTTGAAACAACGATACAACGAAGACCGAGAAACATTTCAAGCAATTGATCTGCGCAAGACACAATTAGAAAATGACCTTTTAACTATGCAGGCAGTTGAAGATCGTTGTCAAGATCTCCAGGCAACAGTCGAACGATTACAAACGGAAATTCAACTCAGCGTAAGTCCTATCCACATTCTAAATACATATAATATTCCAAAGCAAAAAGTGCTAAAGGGGTGGAAAATAAGGGTGAGACGCACAAGAGAAAGAAATAAAGATCATGTTTCCGGAATCGAGAGAACTAGCTTGTTTGGTTGGCTGGTTGCCCGCCTCATTCGTTGTTGGCGAAGAGAAAGAAATCGACCTGTTCACAATTGTATGATGCAGAAAACCATCCTCTTTTCTCCTCATATTTTTTTTTGTTGTTCTCTATTTCATTCTATTCTCTTTTTCTTTTTTGCTTTCTTCGAACGTCAACAGCAGAAAAAATCCGACGATCATGCAATGGCACTAGCAAATCTGAACAAAGAAAATGCTCGGCTTGTAAGTACTTGCACCATGGCATTCATCTTTTTCTTCCTCGTTAGGCTTTGTCTTTCCCTCTCTCTCTCTCTCTCTCTCTCTCACTTTACTCCTCCCTCTCTGCTCTTGTTTCTATTCTCAAGATACATTTTTTCTTTACCCTCTAGATCAAAGAACTCGAGAGTGCCTCAATGCTAAACACGCAAATGCGCACCGAAATTAGCAATGCAACAAATACTAATGAACGGGTTAGTGATGACTCTATGCATTAATAAAATGCAGAAAAAAATCGTGAGGAAAAGAAAATAATCAATATTTGAATAAATAATACAATGTGCTCAATATCAATCCGCATCTCTATGTATGCCTTTTTCTCTTTTCATTCAATAGTTGACGCAAGAATGTGAGCGATTTCGGACAACCTCGGATTCCAAAATGTCTGAATGTGATATGAAACGACGTGAAAATGAGCAGCTTAACCAGAAAGTTCGTGAACTCGAAGCAATAATCAAATCATTACGTGATAGCACTGATTTACAAAAGCAATTGAACGTTGAAAATGAAGTAAATAAAATAGAATTGAAACGAAAACAAGATGATTTTGAACAATTTCAAAGAGTTAGTTGAAGTTTTCCTTGCAATTGTTCCCTACGTCTCTTGAAAATTCTTCTAGATGCACGATGCAACCAAACAAGAACATCAAGACACGATTCATCTACTTGAAGTAATTCAATCTATCATCTTCATATCAATCTTCTATTAATTGAGTCTTTTTTTAAGGAAAAAATTCATGATCTCGAACGAAAAACTGAATTACAATCGTTGAAACATGAAGAGATTCTTCTCGAATTTGAATCCTTAAAAGCAAGACGTGACCGAATGTTGCCATCGTCATCCGTGGCTATGCTTTCGAATAATCATTCCTCGCCAATACCATCTCCTCATCCATGGCCTCTGCCAATTATGGTTGACTCTCAAACATCACCATCAGATAACATGATGAGCTCAGCTATGCCACCAGCTTCATTAGCTACAACAGTTCAACAACGACCATTGGTCAAATCGATCGCCAGTCAATCGAAAAATCCAGTAGAAAATCAAGACATCAAATCGAATATCTGTCTGAATACTCAAACAGCTCAAGTCGTCGTTGCGAAATATTCTTATGAACCATTGCAATTCTCACCTAATGATCATCCGGAAGTAGAACTACCATTACGTATCGGAGAATACTATCTGACTTATGGAGACGTCGATGAAGTAAATCGAGAATTGACAATAGGAATCGCATACAATGCTATTATCGTTTTTAGGATGGATTCTATGATGGAAGAAATCTGGAGGGTCGATATGGTTTGATTCCATCAAATTTAGTTGAGCCAATTCTCAATCCTGATGACCTACCTGAAACTATACGACATATAGTTCAACGGCTGATAGGAAGAACACTTACCGGTAGGAGAAATTTTCGGCTTCTTTGTTGATCTCCTGTCATTTTCTCTCATAGATGGAACGATATCACCACGCCGTGATCAACCCGTTAGTATAAATTCTGAAGTCACTACATCTGTCAATGTACCAGCTATGTTTCGGAAGCAATGTAATATTTATGAAAAGAAAATTTTGTCTTGTGAAAGTAAGAGCGTTCTTTCTTATTCTTTTCAGTACTAGCAACGGCCGGAAATCTTTCGGAATCTGCCTCAACGAATGGTCTCTCCTTTGGTAAACATGGTAAGAATGGCTAATTCCATTTCATTTATGGGATTCGATTAAATGTATTTCTTTAGTTCCATGTCCGACGAGTCTTCGTGTAGAAAAGTATCTCACCAATAGTGTCTTAATCGCCTGGAATCCTCCATCCACAAACACAGTCCAAGTACTTGGTTATCAAGTACTGCTTGATCATTCCTTATACACAACTATTCGTGCTAATGAACGTACACGCGCATTAATTGAAAACATCAATCTAAATGAAAAACATCATCGTATAAGTGTTCGAACTATCACACAGCGTGGCTTATCTCGTGATCAAGAATGTACAGTACTGTTAGCAATGTCAAATTCTAATGGAAACATGAATGACGTATCGTATGCACCAAGTGATTTACGTGTTGACCGGATTAATCAGACATCAGCTGTCGTTTCTTGGTGGCCTGCGTCGAACGATATTGTTCATAAACTATTCGTGAATGACATTGATGTTCAAACATTAAAAGCAGGAGTTTATCGATTTAAACTATCGGGTTTAATACCGAACACGGTACATAAAGTAACGATCAAAGCCAAACCAAACAATGTGGCAAGCACACAACAACAACTAGCAGCTTCGATTGAATTTCGCACTACTTCATTCGGTACATTTTCTCATTCGATTTCGAAAAGGAAATTTTCATTGATTTCGATTTCTAGACGAATCTATTGAGCCGCCCAAACGAGTACAAGTAATAGCTGGTCCACAATCCAACACGCTGCTTATCTCTTGGGAGCAACCGACATCGGCAACAACTGCTGCTCGTGGTTATCGAGTTCTTGTCGATGGTCGACAATTACAAGACATAACAAATCCACCAAGTCAGTCATTGAACACGAGAAAATAATCCTGAAATCATTTTCTTTGATTATAGATGATCATACTGTCATTAACATGAGTACAATACATCACGGAAGATTCTTAACGATTCGCACATTAACAGAAAATGAAGGGGAATCACACGATTCTGCTCCAATAGATCTCGATGAAATTTTGAAAAAAGTAGGACGATTAACTCTAGATTATGGTATTTTCAATTACACCTTTGTATGTCTGATTAGCTGGATATGGACGTTTCACCACCTGCGATTCCTCCAGTTTGTGAAGAAGCCTTTGATAAAGAGTCCGTACCATTGACAGCATCCTCTTCCATTACACTAAGAACAACTTCTGAAGACGAAATAGCAAATCCTGAACCGCAAATTCTTCCACCGCCGCCACCACCTCCTGCGCAACTGCCACCACCTCCTGTGCAGCCACCCCCACCCCCACCTATTCAACCGCCCCCGCCGCCGCCGCCATCAAGCATTGCAGAAACTCCATCAAAGGTTTGATTCGCTTTCTTCATCTTCACATATATAGAGGAAAATTTGGTGCTTAATTCTAGTCTTCTCGTCAACAAGATTTTTCGCAACCATTGCCACCACCACCGCCACCGTCGACGACGAGTATTCCATCTTCTCGACCACCGACCTCGGTGGTAAATCAACCGTCGATGAATACACCACCACCACCGATAAAATCTTCAACAGCTAATCCTGATAAAATCCGTCCAATCCATAAAACTTCCACGCGGCTCGTTGGTGTACCGCCGGTTCAATCATCATCGAAATCTTCTTCGGCAGCACCTTCAGCGGCATCCGTCAATACAGATGTCCCGCAAATTGAAATCAATTCTCCGAGTCCGAATAGTCCCATCATTGCTTCGGCAGCCAAATCGAAAAATGGTAATCGTGACCAACACGATCAACCGCAGCAACGTTTCGGTTATGAAGCCTACATGAAACAACAGTCAGAAGATGCGCCAACGCCTATGAAATCTCCGAGTACTCAACGAAAAACAAGTAAAGCATCTACAACAATTTCACCGGTAAAACAACGTGAACATACTGATACAAAACGAACAACAGCTGCACCCATCAACGGCAATCCACACATGAACAAAGCGAAAATGTCTTCGCCACGTCATACATCCACATCTTCAGAAGAACAACATATCACTCCTCCTGTACCAATGAAACCTATCAAGGCTAAAGAACAAACACCTGCCGCATCATCATCGACCACATCTGTCCCATTGATGAATAGTCATATGATTAAAACAACTAATCCTCCACGTTTATTTATCGGTCTTTTCGACTACGATCCAAACGCCATGTCACCAAATAAAGATAATGAAGAAGAATTACCGTTCAAAGAGGGACAATTGATTCGCGTAAGAATTTCTTTTTATGAAGAACCATTTTCATCAACAATACAAATCTTTCTGTATAGATTTATGGTGATCAAGATGCCGATGGATTTTACATTGGGCAAACTGAAAATGGTCGCACAGGCTTTGTGCCAAGTAACATGATTTCCGAAGTTCAACTCGATGATGCCGAAATAGAAGCACATTTACTTGCTGGTACTATGAATTTAGACAATTCCAATCGCATGTCGTCGAGTAAGTTAAATGATTATCTTCTTGAATCATGAATATATTCTTCGATCTTCAAGTGGCATCGAGTTCCAGTGCGACAACTTCATCAACAACAAAACGTCTATCACCTGGTACGAATCAAACAAATTCCAAATCTCCACCACAATCTATAAAGAAAATGGTAGCTTTATTTGATTACAATCCAACGGAACATTCTCCTAATGTTAATCCTGACGAGGAGTTATCATTTCAATCGGGTGATACTATCTACGTGCATGGAAATGTTCATGACGATGGATTTTATCTTGGTGAATTAGAAAATGGTAGCAAAGGATTAGTTCCATCAAACTTTCTCAAAGAAGTTTCATCCATGACCACAAATGAGAATTCTCATCAACAAGATAATGAACCAATGATGCTGAACGAAAACAAGGTAAAGAGGAAACTAGACTTCTTTTCCGAAATTAGTTATTTTGCTTATTTTTTTCTTCTTCTCATCCTCTAGAAATCATCATATCGACGGTAATTTTCTTGCGCTGAAAATCTTTGACAGACGATCGTTCTCGATTTTGTTCTTTTAGAAGTCCTCATCAAGTATAGATGATATTTCAACAAGAGATCTTCCTCCGAAATCGAACGAACTTTCATTGATAGATTCCTCAATTCAAAAGTGAACGAACTCATCTCCTGCTTTGAAAAAAAAACAACTCTACTCAGGTTTTGTTTTTCGTACAGTAAATGAGAGCAAACAGTGTCTATGTAAATGTGTATTTTTCCGGTAGTGTTGACCTTATCATCTTTTCACCTATCATTATATGTATATAATATCTCCGATGATTGAATTTTGTTTGTTTTTGTTTGATCGTTACATTGGAAAACTTTGTTGTTTGAATTTTATTTTGAAAAAAAGAGAAAAGAAAATACAATGACAAGCAAATCAGTTCCTTTTTTCGTCAAACAAAACGAAATTCTTTATTTGGTTTTATGCTGACGTGAAGTGGGAGAATCGTAGCTATGGAGAATATTTTGAAATAGTCTCGGGAAACGTTCAGGTAAGAGCAGACGTTCGACGTATGTTGGCGAATTGTAACGGAGAGGAGCTTCGGGAAATGTGACAAGAACGTAACGACTAAAGTGAAACATGATATGTAATCAAATATGTAAGAGTATCTATTCGTTTAGTTAACCTGCATTTTGATGGAATTGATACGGTGCGTTGTGTGCCAATGTAAGCAGGTAATTCAGGCATATCTGATTCAATAGATATGTGAGTGTATGCTGATGGCGGACTAGAAAGAAAACGTTAACAAGATAGTTATTATTCAAAGGAGTAGACAGATCCATTTCCTAACGAACCGATTTTTTGGACTTGGTTGGCGAGAATTTAATGTGACATTTGATTTTGGACGTTGTCTAGTCTCCGAGAGTCTTGTGTAAAATCGTTGTCGAACAGCCATTGCCGAGCCAGTTACAACGGGTGGTTGTGACGAAGGAATCATTGGCGATGGGGGATCTTTTTGAGTTTTGTTCATTGCCATTAGTGATGGCTGTGGTGGTGCTGTGACATTGGCTGGTATATTTGATGACGAAAATGATGACGCTATTGATTTCGAAGACATCGGACGTTCCTTTGATGCATCGATCGTTTCATGCGATTCCTGGAAATTGTCATCAAGAAAAGTGACACTTTTAACCAAAGGTGCATCGAATAATTCGTTTTGTTCAATTGTTGAAAAACTTTCCGGTAGATTCGGAGCGGTCGGAATCGTTATTGGTGTAGATACATGACGGGTCGATGAATGATCAGGTGTCAAATCTTCATTAACTTCATGTACTTCAGTAATTGGGTTTGATTTTAAAGTATCAGCAACGAGTTGCTGTTCATTGTCTTTGGAAAAACAAAACATGTGATCAAAACTAACTGACGATGTTCACTCAAAATTGACCTACTTATCAATTGTTCTCGTGTGACACAGTGTTTCGAATCGAAGGTATCTATTGATGTACTCGTCAAAGTCTGATGTGATACCGGCACTGATCGTAACATTGGAATTCGTGTCCCTAAGAAACCCAGAATATTTTTTCGATTGAAAAAAACGGAAAATCTTTTTTTTTACCAGTAACGATTTGTTTCTGAAATGTGTCGAATTTGATATCGTTTGAGTAATATAAGTTAAACAATTCCTCCATATCATATTTGGATTGTTTCATTCGTTGTGAACAATTCTTTGGATTATTTTGAATCTGTCGAAATAGTTTTCGTCGGGTTGTTACCAAAGGTGCTGTTTGATTAGAAAGACTGCTCAAACGCGTCGTTGCTGACAAGGCTGTTGACCAGCCAGTCGTTGGTCGACTCCGTGCAGACATCGTCTTGACAAAACTCTTGGATTGATTTCTTTTTCTTACTCGAGTAGAATCAATCGTCAAAAGTAATATTTGTCAATAACATCGATCTGTAATATTGGCTTCCTTCTATTGATATAATATGAGAGAGACGAACTCGATTATTTAGAAGAAAAATTGATTTTTTTCTTCTTTTTATCGAAGTGCGCTGCTTTGATTTGTTTACACGATCGGCAAAATGATGCCGTTGCTGTAAGAAATCATTCTTTCTTCCTTTTGACAACAGTGAAACTCGACCGTTTCAAAAACAATCTTGCTATGCTCTCTCTTATCGTCAGTTATTCAACTCCTTTTCACGAAACAATCATTAATTATCTTGATCAGCCCAAAAACGAACTAAATCGAATCAAATTGTTACATTCCACTGAATATGTCAAGCAGGAAAACCTATTCGATGTAATTAATTGAAATTTGCCTACTTCAGACAATTGGTTTCTACAAGGCCAAAAGAGAATCAAAAAACGAGACCTTGTAAATTCTATCAACATTTTCATAAAGGGATGTTATGTATCCTTGTCGAGTTGGTCATGAGCGAAGACGATTGAAACTTCGATGATTAGTTTTTTTTTTAACAAAAAAAACAATAACCGGAACCATAAAATATCTTCTTCTTGTTAACTATTCGTGTTAAACAGTAAAAAACGAAAAGAGAAAACAATAAAAGAACGAAAATCATTTCTGATTTTGTAGAATGTTGATTAATGGATCATTGGATGCGAAGTTGAAATTCGTCGGTTGGCCAGAAGCGGCTGATTGTGAGAAATTATAACCACCGGCATCACGAATTTTATTGGATTCTAAAAAAAAGCGTTTTGTTTTCGAAATCAATCACATGCGAGAAGAACAAAACGTACCTTTCTCTTGTTTTCGTTTTTCAGCATAGTGAATGATGTTTTGTACTTGTGTGCGTTGTTCAGCAGTTAAAACTTGTAATAATGCTTGATTATAACCAGTTGTATCTGCTTGAAGTTCTAGAAGAACAGAAATCAGTTGACAATGAAAAACTCTAGTGAAGAATTTACTTTGTAAACTTTCGCAGAAGATTTGAAATTCATCTATATCTTCATTTACTTCGAGAACAGTTGAATAGGATTCAAGATCTGTTTCATCTATATCAAAATCACTGCCTTCATCGTCGTCGTCATCATCATCTTCATCAAGACCATCACCGGACATTTCATGATCAGGTACCTTAAACACATGGGGTGAAATCTTTCCTGTTGCGAACTATTCTCTTGACTTACTTTTCCTTTGAATTTTGCTAAATAATCATCTTCATGCTCAATTGTTTCATCTTCCCCATCTTCGATTTCTACAAAACGAAGCCAAAATTTACTTCGACTCTCCCCACATAAATATTACCACTAGCAACCGAATCATCATCATCATCGTCGCTATCATCATCGCTATCATCTTCTTCATTGTGTTGATACGTTTTCATCAAACCTTCATAGATTTGGATGCAATTTGGAAGTATCTTCGGTACAACCTCCGATATTGCTGGATAATAGCTTGCATTGATACGAAGAAGTGTGCAAAGACCAAGTGCGCAAACACGTCGATCATGTACACCAGCAAATAGACGACAATCAGTCATCCATTGATTGAAAAAGTTACCAATGATCTTCTGCGTACTTGGATCACTTGCAGCAACTGTGTTCAATGTTTGAAAGAATCTGTCTGGATTGAGCCATAGGATAACAATAAACACTTGAATTAACATTAAACGTAATTCACTGGTGATTACTTCACGTTCGAAACGTTTAGCTATCATTTGAACAATAGCAGGTAAGGCCTGAAATGCGTCAAGCATCGTTCTATTGTATTGCATTCTCGATAAGAATACTTACAATACTCATATTGTCTTGGCATTGAAGAATAATCACTTCAATTAATTTAGCAGCATGAGCTTCGGAATCTTCACCGAGATCATTGACTATGACCTACAAATATATTGCTTTTATTATGAGCATTGGTCAAAATCATTATCAATGTTCGATTTTATTACATTCTTCATCGATCATTCTTTATCAAAGAACAGTACTTGAATAAATTAGAAAGCTCATCTGTCTGCTAATTAAACTAAGATGAGATTTTTACGGATGACCTACATGTTTGCACATTTCCAAAATGATTTCAAGTCGATCGGGTTGTGATAAGAATGATGGTGTATCATTGACAATATAATTGTGTAAACAATTCATAATTTCTAGACATGAAAGAAAACAAATGAAATATTACTACCATCTGTTGTGTCTTACCAGCAAAATAATCAGCAGCATCTCGATAGAATGCTTCTTTGATTAAGTAAAACACTTGCCACATTAATGGACTCACCGTATTGATTGTTAATGTATCAACCAAAGTTAATATTTCTTCATAGAAATCTATACAAAAAAAAAGACAGACATACATCTGAAATCCATAACAGATTTGAAAACTTACCGAGAATACCATCTCGTAGTACCACAACAATTGCTTCATAGATAAGTTGTTCAATTTGTGCTAATATCTAGACATAACAAAAGAATCGAACAGGAGTTTTTTTTTCCTATTTTAAATTTCGTTTTCTTACTTCTGGTTTTTCTCCCATACAACTAACAATTGTATCCAATGTATTTAAAACTCCCATAGCTGCTACTGTTCTTTCTTCGACTTTTGTTTCATCACTTGCTGAACTTTCCGAACAGATGACATGCTTGAAGAATTCAACCAATTGTGCTGTCATTTGAACGGCTATTGGCTGTAATTCTTGATCATACAAGCCGACAATCTTCTGCAGGACGATCATCACATCATCGATCTCAGTTTTTCGTATGATTTCAATAATACGCATAACGATGACTTGTAAATGTGGAACAATAATTGCTTTTCCTTTTTCACCGGCGTCTGTGTCCGACATGAACAAGTTCAATGCCATTGCTGCTTCGATTTGTACGGGTAATGACGTGTCATTACATAAACAATGAATCAAATGTGTGAGACAACGTGATGAGTTCTCCGAATTCGTAAATTCCAATTTCGAAAAATTTCGTAAGGCATAGCAAGCACGTGCACGAAGATACGGTGTTGGACTTTGTAATTCCGGAAATAGATATTGCACAATAATGTTTTCTAATTGACCAGCAAATGTTTTCTTCTTAATGAGAACATTACCAATAACGCCTAACATATGTAGAACACCATCCTTTTGTTTTGGACTGATCGTATCATTATGAATCACGGTTCCGAGGAAAGCAACGGTTTTCATTAACACGTCTTTTCGTTTAGCGACAGCATCCGAAAGAAACAATTCAGCAGCCGAGACTGGACTGATGTATTCATCTAAGATATCTAAATGAAATTCGATTAATAAGACGGTAAATGGACTTTCTTATCGTGGTTTTCTCCTACCAAGACGTGCACGAACGAATTCAACAGGTTCATCATTGAATAACTCGATATCATCATCGTTGATACATAGTAATGGATAGATGATATCTTGTATCAAAACAACGATATTATTTTGAACAATTTTCCACGAAAATGCATGTCGAACACTAAAGAATGTAAAAACGTAAAAGCAAGGAACTCTAATAGTTAATTCAACTACCTTTCTCGTAAATAGTTCAAACAGAGTTGTACAACACGTGGTGACACATACACTTTTTGTCTGTATGCTTCAAGAGTATTGAAAACAAGTGTGATAATCTTAGCTAAAGAAAACATAGTTGTATTCATGTAAACAAACATGTTTATTTTCCGTACCAGAGAAACCTTTCAGATAGAAATTAGCAAACTCCACACGATCAGCTGCTGATCCTTTTGGTAAATTAGCTGGTGATCCGTGTCTGTAAAAACATAAATAGATCGATTTCTTCAATGCAAATGAACATCTTCTACCGTTCGAATGTTCGAATGAGAATATGTAACGCCCATTTTTTACATTTCCACCATGGATGATCAGCGCGATCATCTTCATCAAGCGCATCGAGACGTTCAGGCAAGCGTCTTTCAAGTACCATGCAACATGTATCTAGCCACGATGCCATTGTTTGTGTTGGTAGTACTCGGAAGCTTAGATGAAGCTAGAATAGTCATGTTAAAAATTTTTATTCAATATCTATTCACGATCAACTGTGATAGAAGTTTTGTTTATTTCTGTATGCTGTACGGATAACCGAGTAAAACATTTGTAATTGACATGACAATCTATCAATCATAATTTACATTGTAAATAGAGTGGCTTTTCTCCTAATGTCATTCTTAGCTGAGATAAGGATTCTTTCGTTTATCTCTGATGTCAGAATATTAGGCGATCATTTGCGTTTTTAGATGAGTTTGTTAACATACCTGAGTATAAGCATGAAAGATTTTCAAGATTTGTTTTTGTATAAGTGCTGATTGATCGGAGTCATTATGAGTGAATAATTGCATGAATCGTTGATGAAGGAGTGGCATAAGAACAACCATCACATCATCCATTGGACTACGATCTTCAACTTTCTTATATCTAGAGATCATTTCCGCATAGAACTTTGTAACTAAATACGCAAAACTTACTCATAATATTGAACAAGTATGTAGAAAACTAAGAGAACACTTGTCCATGTTTCAGTGTTATCACTTGATAGACATGTATGAACTTGATTCATGAATTGTGGCCATTTAGATGGAAAATCGTTCTTTATCATTGTACCTGCTGTTGTAATCAATTGACATCTTCGAAAGAGTTTCTGTTGAAAAGTAGTTCATTCGTTTTCTAATTTGACTTACTTAAGCGGATCTTTTGTGCGTATGATAGCATCGATCAGAACATTTCTTAAGTAATCTTTATCAGCATCAGAAATAGCTGAAGATTTGGTGGTATCACCATTAACTTTTGGTACACTCACATTCACTGCATCAGCTAATGCAAGAATATCGGGGTCGGTTGTTGAAGGAGAATCAGTGCCATCGGACCAATAGGCATTAATGTGATTTTTCAGTAGAATAGCTCCTAAAAAGATCAAATTACTTATTAGAATTTCGTCTTGAACAGGGAAGCTATGTAATACCAGCTTGACGAGCGCCCATGTCGCATTGCTCACTGAGAATGATTTGCATGAGACATGGGATGAAACCTGATGTTTTCCAAAACTAGAACCAATGATTGAAAATGTGTTAATTCTTCACAAAACAGTAACGTACCTCGGCAAGTTTGTCTTCAGCTTGCTTGCGCATATGAGGCACAAGCGTTGCTTGAAGTGCTTCGACCACCGGGGCAAGATCCATGATATTCGCTGTTCTAAAGATATAACTATCGAATAATTATAACGAAATAGAGAGAAACAAAATTAAAACTAGGACAAACTATAGTTCCAATTTCATAAGAATTGGGTGGATCACTAAGAGTAAAATATGCGAACCAACCGAATGAGTTCCTGCATTTTTACATAAAACCGTTCAAAAATGTTTTCAAAGAAGATTTCTCGAAATTTTCAGAGTGGAAAAGACTGATTTTTTCTCGAATTCCATTTGTATATAGATGTCACTTTTATGACTCATAGATCCTAGCCAGCTGTTCTCTTTCGAGGTTCGATTAGATTTCTTGTTGTTATTATCTTTTCTTTCCATCCCGTCTCGTGTATGCCTATTTGTCTATAGTCGCCATAAGATCATGGACATTTAATATTGGCAAAAACAAGTCAAAAATATGGAAAAAATGTTTTTTTTTCCGCTTCGAGTTCTCTCGGTCAGCATAGAAGGCGGCGCTAGAGATTATTTATTTCGTTTGTTTTTCTTTCTTTTGTCGATTGAAATCATCGATATACATAGTCAAATCAGTTGCATGTTTTTTTTTGTTGTCGTTGTTGTTTTTTCTCGATGACACATCGGTTCGATGAATCAGATACGTATTTATTTCTATTTACCATACTTAAATCTAAACAATCAGTTTCGACTAATGATGATAATAATAATCATGAATATACATGTATATATATAAAGAGAGAGACATGAATAACCGTTCGCCATTCTTCTGCATTTCTTTTTCTTTTTTTCTCTAACGTCAGACAGTAACAGAGAGTGCGTTACGGACAGAAGAACAACTCTAGTGATGAGAGGATAGATTATCGACAAACGATGTTAGTACGAAGAATTTTACCCTAGTGCATGCGTTTTTCCTGTTCGCACAGCCATCGCCACCACCTCCGACTATTTTCCTACTGTTGTTATTTATTCGCTTTCTCCTTTCTTACTTATCTACTGTCTTTTCTTCCTTTTTCTCTCTAGTTATGTACTATTCTGCTACTGATATTCTCGTATGTTCTCTATTTTCAACCTTCGTTTTTCTATTAATATCAGCACTCGATTTCATCGAAGTTACTATTTCTTTCTTCTAGATTGTTAACTAGAGCCATTATCTCTTCAAGATATTAAACTATTCAAATGTCAGGTTGGGATCAGTATATCACAAACTTAACCAGTCAAGGCATTTCGCATGCTGGAATATTTGGTGCTGATGGTTCAAAATGGGCGGCATCACCGAATTTTCCTGTAAGTTTTTCGTTTAAGGAAGACTTCTCGAATATCATCGAATGTTTGTTTTTCTCTTTAGAATATCGATAATCTCAAAGAAGAATTGCCCAGAGCTTTTTCAGCCCAACCAGCTGGTATTTTAGTTAATGGTGAAAAATACATATTCATTCGTAATCAAGACAATTTCGTTGTCTTTCGAAAAGGTGCTGATGGTATGGTTGTCGTGAAACTAAATCAAGGTAAATAGGAAAAACATTGAAAATAATCAACGAAATTCTTGTCATTTTTCTTTAGCTTATATCGTCTCGATTGGTATCAATCAAAAACCAGAAATGTTAGTAGGTGCAACTAGCAAGATCGGTGAATACTTGAAAAATTGTGGCTATTAAAAATGTCTATCTTGTTGTCCGGCACAATATCTCATCACTTCTTTTGTTCCTCAAAGTTTACTACTCATTTTTTTGCGTCATTAGTGGTTTGTGTGCATGTATTCTTTTTTCTTCTTTTATGTTAGTCAATGCTTTTTCTGCTGCTGCTTTGCTCTTTTTCTCATTATTATACTTATACTTCTGTCATTTCTTAAAAACCATACTTTCATAAACAAAACAATTGATATGATCATGATCTTTCTCTTTTTTTTCTCTCTCTCTCTCTCTATCTACTATTTATCATCGTGCTTAGCGCATCAAAACTTTCATTATTTTTTAATCGGATCTATTTTATTGTTTCGCTTGTTCATCATATGTGAATATATATGTGAAAGTTAGCGAAAAAATCTCTCAAAAACATTTTATATACTTTTGTCTCTGTCTCTCATATGTACAATCACGTATAGACCTTTCTTATGTTCTTTTTTTCTTCGTTTTTAATTCCGCGCCGCTTATAAAGACAAATATAGAGATGAGATATATCATGTTTTCGATGCAAAATTCCTCCGTTTGTGTTTTCGACGATGAATTTGTTTGTGTGTGCGTTGTCTGGTGCTATGATTGTGGTGATGATGTTCTTTGTGTTTGTGTTGGTTTATTGAAGAGAAGAGAAAAAACAATGTAGAAGTATACTGAAAATGAATTTCATTGGAAAATGAGAATTACCCAGGTTAATAGATGATTACTAAGTATCGCGTCATTGCCATTGATTCATGTGTCTCATCGATAGATGAATCATCATTATCGAATGATGTAATTCGAAACAGAAACGATAAAATTACTCTGTGTACTTTATTCGCCACTGTATCGTTAAAAACCATTCTTCGCATGGGGTTTTTTCATATGTCACTATTTATTTAGGTGAAAAATATTTGCAGAGTACAGTCGACTAGCTAGTGGATCAGAGATCAAACGACTACGATTAATGTTTAATTAAAAACAGATTGTGAATGACAGTTTCAAGGACAGTTCAACATCGAAGAAATGGATGCTAGTTATCGATGTATTGAATGGAAAATGTATTGCTCCGCAATACCTAAAACACATTCAACTATTATATCAATGCTAACATTCCGAAAGAACCTGTGCACTATTAAATCGATTTTCTCACAGACAAATTCAAATTCTGACACAAACTTGTACCGATGCATTTTTAAGTGAAGGTGAAGACAACAGTAAATGTGCTGCTCAGAGCGTAGGCAAGAATATTCTATTTTCTATTGTTCATCAACACCCACTCTCAAAATTACCACGATCCTTACATTTCCGGTACGAGCCACAACTCCTTGAGGATGAGGGTGAGATCGCACCGTAGTGCTTTTGTGTCAGATAGAGTTGTCCAACTTTGCATCTTGAGGGTGTGTGGGTGTGGGTGTGGAGCGAATGTTGTTGAGCTGGGCGTAGATAGCCTGAGGTGAGGGTGAGATTCACCGAAACTATCTTTATGTCCGCGAACGTTAACAAAGCCATCCTAGATGTGCTGTATGCTGGGTAGCCCGGAAATCCGCCCAAAACACGATTTTCGTTAAAATCTGTGGTTTGTCTGAAGGGAGTCGAAATATCCATACATCTTGAGGGTGCGGATGTGGGTGGAAGTTGAATCGTTTAAAACGGGAATACTAAACTGAAAAATTGAGAATTCGAACGAAAGTTTAATACTCAAATCGAGTTAACGACTTCTATATCACTCCATTAATCAATTATTCAATCTGCAAAGTCTTTTATTTGATAACATCATACGAAAAAGATCATTATATCCCACAGACGAATCAGCAAATGAAATGAACAAATTGTTTTCTGTATTGAATTTTTTAAAAGTATTTGTACTTGAACTTTATGTTTAGCTACACCAGAAGTTTCCTTCTTAAAGCGTTTTACTTTTGACTCTTCACAAAACTCACAAGATCATCATATCAGCTTTTGAATTACGCAAATTCATATCTAAGTCAAATTCCGTTTCTTAACGCAACACGAAGCACAGCGTCACGTGGTGTTATGCGAGTTTTCTACTGTCTACGATTGTATCACTTATTCTTGTATGTATCATACCTGTGTGACTAATTCATTGAATAATGATATAATTATTCCTGTCTATGTTATATCCAATAGAGGAGAAAATATTCCATTCTGAGCCTACGAATGAAACAAAGCACCATCGTAGCGGAAGCGGTAACTCGGAAAATATTGATGCGAACACACTGCTAACGTATCTGCAGTGATCTTAAACTATCCGTTTCCCGAAATTTAACAATGACTTTTCATTCATACACGGAATGTTTCTAAAAGACGACATGTTGATTGTGAAATGTTCTTAGTTAATCAAATACACACATCAGCTAAATTTTACAATGAAATCTAACTGTCTAGCTTTTTGAAAAGAATTTGTTTGTCTGTAATTGAAACCAGACATGGTGTCTTATCGCACGTGTCAAAAATAGTATTACGACATTGGGAAAAAAAAGAAAGAAGATATTTTATCAGTACATATATCTATATAGCACGCGCACATACTTAATTAAGTATTTAAAAAGGCGCTGCGAGAACAGCTATTCTTATAAACACAATTTCACTCATTATAGAAAATCCATAAAAAAACGATGTCGTCTTCGCAACAAAATTCTCAAAATTGGCAACGAGGTGTCAATCAATACGGTAATCGATACGATAACCGTGGCGAAGGAGCTGCACAGGGTGGTACGTTGAACACGTCGTTTTTGCGACAGAACAAATCATCTTTTTTTTGTCTTACCGTGTAGGTAACTATCATTATAGTAATACCGATGGCTCGTATTACTATCAGAATAGCAATGGTTCAACATTTTATCAAGCACCGAATGGTTACCAACAATACACAGCACCCGAAAACAATTCTCGTTACTACCGGCAATAGCTGATGAAGAAATACAACTCATAAACTGCATTTTACCACTTTATTTTGCTTACAATATTCGTTCTATTGTTAATCGTTTCTCATATAATCTTCATTCCTAATTTGAAAATAAATTTCTTCTGATATCGGAAACCCGATCGAAGACTTCAGTTAGTATGAAATCTCCTAAAGCGTCGTTTCTATGCACTAAATATCAATTAAGCTTCATAAGCATAGAGCGTCCTCTATCCAAGTATTTACACGTTACTTAGATAAGATTTCAATGCCTGTATTTGATTCGTCTGGTAAGTTTAGTTCAATGAAAGTATTTTATACATCACCCAATTTTGAGTTTAGTTAGTCAACCAACCTACATCGCCACTTAACTATAACTGACGACGTGGAAGACCAATAATTTGTTTATTTCAAAAGTAGAAGAATCAGGAAGAAATTTTTTTTTGACATATTCATGGCTGACTTCAAACTTCTCATAATCCTTTTTGTTTATTAATTTCAGATGTTGATAATCAGACATTAGTCATTTCAGTATCATATAACAACGGAAAGTTTTTTCATCAAAAAAGGACGAAAATTATTTTTGAATGGGCAGTTTATTAAGTATATTTTCTGGTTTATTCGGTAGTAAAGAACGTCGAATACTTATTCTGGGTCTTGATGGTGCAGGAAAAACAACAATTCTGTATCGTCTTCAAGTCAGTGAAGTTGTGACAACGATTCCCACAATTGGTTTCAATGTTGAAACTGTGCAGTATAAAAATTTAAAATTTCAAGTTTGGGATCTTGGTAAATCAATTTGTTTTCACCCTTCCTTCTATTCACATTTCATTTTAACTTCTTTCAAGGTGGCCAGACATCCATCCGTCCATATTGGCGTTGTTATTATTCAAATACAGATGCTATCATATATGTTGTTGATTCCATGGATCGTGAACGTATTAGTATATCAAAACAAGAACTTGTTGCTATGCTTGAAGAAGACGAATTGAAAAATGCCGTTCTATGTGTCTTCGCCAATAAACAAGATCTCGAAGGTTGTATGAGTGTTAGTGAAGTGGCTAATTCACTTGGTTTAACCTCATTAAAAAATCGCAAGTATCAAATATTTAAAACATCAGCAATTAAAGGTACAGGATTAAACGAAGCCATGGACTGGTTAGCAAACTCGCTGCAACAAAAAACCTAATTACTTGAATCGAAAACAAAAGAAAACCAGATAGACTCTTCTTAGGCCAATTTATACTTTTAGTTTGTCTTCGAATGGGATGATCATAAGGGTGCATATGATTTAATTCTTTATCTAACAAACGTCTGTAATAATATCATAAGCACATGTTTCATTTTGGGTGTTTTTCGCTTTATTTGCTTTTCTTTCGTTTAGTTTCTTCTTCTTCGTCTTCTTCTTTCTGTTCAGTATTTGATCATGTAAACATATACATAGAAGAAAACTGCACTCTTGTTTATCTCATACTGTTGTTGTTATTTTCATTTTACGAAGGGTTGAACGTTATTTTAATCTTTGAGAAATAAACTAAAACTGGCCATTTCATTTCTAACAAATTATTGAATATATTTCCACAATTGTAAAGTTTTGCCAATATTTCAGTGTCATCATTGTAATTGACTGATGCATTTGTTCATGAAGACTATAGACATTATCTGCTTTATCTTTGTTTCTATCCGTCAGTCAAAATACAAAACACGTACCTCGTTGTTAACGTTCGTCAGAAGGCACGAGAAAGACGACACGGTTGTTCTTCGGCGATTAGCTTTTCAAAATTTCATAGATAGCTATGTGAAATGTATATTAGTTTCTTACTCAACCGTCTAGAAGAGTAATCATCTGATTGAGTGATTGATGCATCCCAATATATTTTGCAGATATTGATTAGCGAGATATTCGACAGTATTCATTCTGTACTATGTTTCATGACTTCTATTGGTTTGTAACTGTCGCAGAATCTTGCTTCTCTTGAAAATGCTCTTGGCTATGCTTATCCAATGAAAAACAAATAGTTAAAAGATTCCAAAAATAAATTTTTACTTTAGATTGGCTTAAAAGTTTAAACACGTCGAAGAGAAAAGAATGAACACTTTTCGAAGCTAAATGAAATATGATTTTCATGATAGTTTCTCGAAATTTATGATTCATGCATGCGATAAAATGTTCTTACATCCAGAAAAGCGTATTAGAAATCATGATAATCGTGTCCGTTACGCTTATGCTTAGTCATTCTTATAGACTTAATAACGTTTCACAGCATGCGCTGAAATTTTACATTTCACAAATGAAAGATTGCGAAGGTAAGACAAATTTCTGTCTATCAAATTATTCAACAAACAAAATCAGAAAAGAAAGGGAGTATACCTTTTCACTGCAGGACTTCTTTTGTAATTCTAAATGTATGGCGCTTCAAGAAATACTTGAGCATGACTCATGAAAGCGCATTTTAGTAATCATTGAAAACTTCGGTTCATATAAATATAGATGAATTATTGGCTAGTTAACCTACGTTTCATCAAATGACAAAATATAGTTAAGGCGTTTTACAATTGTGTTCTATGAAGTAGAACGTCTGATTTATATCACATAACATCAACTTGTTTTTTTCTGAAGAAACGCGAAATATTGCTTCGAAAAAAATAGACCATGTTTCATCTGATTTAGTTTTCCATCTACTTCAATTATTTCCATCAAATCCAATAAATCAATTTCCTCGTTTCTGGATATCTGTACTCGTCTAAGTCTGTGATCCATTTTCCTAATCGAAATCGACAACTACACTGAGAAGAAAACTGACGAATCCTTTCTCATGCGGCAAATTATTAAAAGATCATCGACTATATGGTCATAAATATGCATCCGTGATATACATTAAATATGTTTGTTTACAGTAAAGAACGAAAAGGTGATTGTATTGAGTCGTCTTTCATTGGCGTTCATTCGTAATCAAGAATAGACCGTGAACGACCTTGATTGAAACCATACATTGATTGCATCTCTTCAGTTGTATATTAGATAAACGAAAGTCAGGTATTTCTTATTAATACTGTGAAATTTTTTCTTTCATCCTATTTTTAAACTAAACTTGCATGAAACGTTTCTTTTCTCCGTCTTCCTTCGCGCTGTAGTCATTACGTCTTATATATTTACATTTCTTTTTCTGCATTTTTAAGAGAAAAAAATTCCTTTTCTCAGAGAATGATTAGTCAGCGGCGCATTTAGGACGTGAATCTATAATAATGAACAAAAAAAAGATTTCTAAATAATTAATCCATTTGTATTTCAGTATATATATTTTATAAAGAAGTTTTTATCATGGAATCAGACAATGCTAATGGTGAAGTCTTCCTATTTACATCAGAATCAGTCGGTGAAGGCCATCCTGGTAAGTGTTTGACTACTTCTCCTCACGAGGAAGTATATAATTATACGTGAAATTAAACATAGTAAAAATCTTTTTTTTTCTTTTCTAGACAAAATTTGCGACCAGATTAGTGATGCCATTCTCGATGAATGCTTGCGAGTAGATCCGAACTCTAAAGTTGCATGTGGTATGTTCAAAGAAAACTTCCTTTTGTATTGATGTCAAAATGTCATTTGCATATAGAGACATGTACAAAAACTGGTATGATTTTGGTTTGCGGTGAAATAACAACGAAAACTGTACTTGACTATCAGAAAATCATTCGAAATACCGTTCGTGAAATCGGGTATGACTCATCGGAAAAAGGTTTTGATTACAATACTATGAACGTTCTGGTCGCTATCGAACAGCAATCACCTGATATAGCACAAGCAGTGCATGAGGAGAAGGCTGATGATGATATTGGCGCTGGTGACCAAGGCTTGATGTTCGGATATGCAACAGACGAAACAGAAGAATGTATGCCATTGACAGTTGAATTGTCACATAGATTAAACGCTAAAATGGCGGAATTGCGACGAAATGGTCAAATGGATTATCTTCGACCAGATTCGAAAACTCAAGTAGATGAGATTTAGACTCAAAACTGAACGAAATCTTTTTTCCACAGGTCACTATTGAATACAAATTTGATCATGGTGCTTGTATTCCACTACGTGTGCATACAATTGTTATTTCTACTCAACATAGTCCTCAAGTCACTCAAGAACAATTGCGAGACGATCTGCGTAAGAAAATTATTGAGCCAGTTATACCCGCGAATTTACTTGGTAAGATTTTCTGTGTGAGATACAAAGTGTTTAATAGTAGAAATTTTAGATAATAAAACAGTTTATTATTTGAATCCATCCGGTAAATTCGAAATCGGTGGTCCACAAGGTGACGCGGGTTTAACTGGACGTAAAATCATCGTTGACACTTACGGTGGATGGGGTGCACATGGTGGTGGTGCATTCAGTGGTAAAGATCCATCGAAAGTTGATCGTTCAGGAGCGTATGCCGCTCGTTGGGTAGCGAAATCTCTTGTCAAGGCCAAGCTGTGCCGCCGTTGCCTCGTTCAAATTTCCTATAGCATTGCGATCGCTGAACCTTTATCAGTAACTGTTTTCTCCTACGGCACGTCACAGAAATCTAATAAAGAGCTATTGGAAATAGTTAAAAATAACTTTGACCTTCGTCCTGGTATGATTATTCGGTAGGATAAACTTCCACTTGTCTTCATTTGGAATCATTCATTGAATTTGTAGAGATTTAAATTTGAAAAATTCAATTTATAGAAAAACAGCATGTTATGGACATTTCGGTCGACCTGAATTTCCTTGGGAACAAGCAAAGCAACTAAAATTCTAACACCATGATTCATTTTATTCTTTAGCAAATATAACTGTCTATCTCGTTGTATTCAATTCAGTTATTTTTGTGATACACCTGTGCTAATAACATGTCATTGTGTGGGTTAACTTTAGATTATTTGTAATCACGAGGCGGAAGTTTGTTTGTGTGTCTGTCATATGAAATCCAATATCAACACTTGCTTTTCTGACTCTTATGCAAAAATAAATCGATAGTACAATGAAATAGCACGCACCACCAAGTATACAGATAACAAAAAAAACACTAAACGTTGAAAGACGTGATACAATGTAATCAGAAGTCAAGCTTAATCTCCATTCTTCCCTCCTCAATAGCACATACATTTATCTTTCACGAATATGTCGATTCCACCAACAGTGCAACAACCGAAACCAACGAATCCGACTCTTGGCTTATTACCTGATGAATATATCCGATTTGAATATGTTCACAAACCAGGTTGCTGCTGTTTTACATCCAAAATTACAACAGTTACAAATCAACGTTTGATTACACGTACTATTAAACCACCGCCAATATTTTCCAAGCGAACTTCGTGCAAGCCCGGACCAGCCAAAATCAGATCGCTAACGGATATTCACAATGTCAGGGAACTACGATCAGCGATTCCATCAAGTGAAAACACCTGGTGGATGAAATGCATTGATATTTTAACATGCGGTTGTTCGAGTCCACAGATCAATTGGTTGGAATCGTGTGGAGTAGATAATTTAGCCATGGAAACGCCAACATCAACACAAAAATCGGAGGCATTAAGAACATCTATATTAGTTGAGAAATTTTAATCTACTATATGTTTGAAAAATACACTTTTCAGAGTTTCTTGCTACTTTCCTTTTGATGTCATATTCGAAAATATACACTTATTGTTGCGTGGTACTCTTTGGTATTTGGTGTAGTATTCTTCTCTAGTGACTTTGAGATTATGAATAGTCTCGATTGATTTATTGGAATCTCTTAATGCAGACTATTCGTTTTTGTGAACAGTTAAAGTCGAGGTCGCTATTAGTCGCTTAAACATTGTTCTTACGCGTATTCGGTTCGAAGAAAAGAACGAACGAGTTATAATCGTACATGGTAATTTATGGATTGGATGCTTTAAAATGATGACGATAGGGGAAAGTCAAAGGTCGATAGTCGTGTACGTACTTTGCTCTATAAATTAAAGTTGATATCCGTCAAATAGACAGTAGAGAAAAAAAATCATGGTATTCAAAAGAGCTGTCTATATTGTTGCTGCACGTCGTACTCCATTCGGTACATATGGTGGTAAACTGAAAGACTTTTCGGCAACACATTTACAAGAGCTTGCCAATCGTGCTGCTCTCAAACAAGCTAAACTATCCCCCGAAGCAATTGACAGCACTATTGTTGGTAATGTTATGCAATCATCTTCCGATGCCGCTTACATTGCTCGACATGCTGCTTTACGTGCCGGCGTGCCTGTTCATGTTCCAGCCTTGACAGTGAATCGCCTTTGTGGATCAGGTTTTCAATCGATTGTATCCGGTGGCCAAGAAATTCAGTTGGGTGACTCAAATATTGTACTTTGTGGTGGTGCTGAAAGTATGTCGCAAGCTCCTTATGCAGTGCGAAACATTCGCTTCGGAACTAAATTGGGACAGGACTTAAAACTCGAGGATACATTGTGGCAAGGATTGACTGATGAATATGCCAAAACACCGATGGGTATCACAGGTAATTGTGACAAATCAAATCGTGAAGTATGTTCTAATGATTTTATTTTGACATATAGCGGAGAACTTAGCAAAAAAGTACAATGTGACACGTCAAGATACTGATCAATATGCTTTACAATCGCAACAGCGTTGGAAAAAGGCAAATGACCAAGGTGCGTTCAAAGATGAAATCGAACCAATAAAACTCAAAGGTAAAAAAGGTGCAGAAGAAAGTTTCGACACCGACGAACACCCACGCCCACAATCCACAATCGAAACACTCTCCAAATTACCCGCTGTCTTCATCAAAGACAAAGGAACAGTTACAGCTGGTAATGCCAGCGGCGTTTGTGATGGTGCTGGTGCTGTAATTGTCTGTAGTGAAGAAGCTTTGAAAAAGCATAATCTTACACCGTTAGCTCGAGTCGTCGCATACCATGTTAGTGGAGTCGAACCAACATTGATGGGTTTCGGTCCTGTGCCGGCAATCGAGAACTTGTTGAAGAAAGTTCAAAAATCAATTTCGGATATTGATCTATTTGATATAAATGAAGCTTTCGCACCGCAATTTTTATCTTGCCAAAAAGTTTTGAAATTACCCAACGAAAAGACCAATGTTAACGGAGGTGCTATTGCTCTTGGCCATCCATTAGGTGCGTCCGGCGCACGAATCACTGCAAATCTTGTCTATGAATTACGACGACGACAAGGTAAATATGCTATCGGTGCAGCCTGTATCGGTGGTGGTCAAGGTATTTCATTATTAGTTGAACGTGTTTAAATCTTCGACTCTTTCTCTCCTTGTCATCATCACAAACTTTTTATATTGAAAAAAAATTCATTTGATTGCATAGAAAGAAAATTTTGTTTGATTTTAACGATTTGCGACCGATTGTTCGTGGTATTCAATGTCTAGAAGCAACCTTTTTAGATGTCTTTCAATGCATATATGCACGTTCGTAATCGTTATCGATCGAATCCATCAGACTTTCAGCAGCTCGCAGAAAAACATCCAAATTTAAAACAATATCTCATCGAAAAGAGTAAAGGTGGCGTAACGCTTGATTTTTGTGATCCAAATGCTGTCCGAGCATTAACAATTGCAGTGGCAAAAGAAGATTTTAATTTAGATTTAGAACTAAGTCTCGGTAAGACAGGATTTCAGTCGTTAGAAATCAATCTCGACTTTCTTGTTCACATCGTAGATCGCTTGATACCAAGAATTCCACAGAAATTGAATTATCTCCATTGGATCGAGGATTTAATAGAGTGTCGAAACGATGCGATCGGAATTGATATTGGTAGAGAAGAAAGAATGCAAATATCTGCTTTTCTAATCTCATATTGATGTTCTTTTGAGGCGGTGGTTGTTCATGTATTCATGCACTTCTTGCAGTTCGCCTGAATCCTCAATGGACGATGTATGTTTCCGAAATAGATCCATTTAACTATCGTATGGCGATGAAGAATGTTGAACAGAACGGATTACAAGATCGCATTCATGGTGAGCACACGGCCAGATTGATCATGACTGAATCATTCGAGTGTTATTCTAGTTGTTCAGATGGATTCATCGGCTTTGTTTCATGATTTCATCGATCAGACTAAACATTATGATTTTCTCATGTGTAATCCTCCGTTTTATTGTGATTCATCGGAATCTCAAGGTTTGACAAATACTCGTAAATCCGATCGTCCGTCGGCTAATTCAATAAATACGGCTGCGCCTGTTGAGTCGATTTATGATCAAGGCGGTGAAGTTGAATTTGTCAAACGAATGATTAATGAAAGTCAAACATACGCAACAAATGTCAGGTAGAAAACTGTTCTGTTGTAAGTTCATTCGTTCATCGGAGCATATTTTTATTGAGAATGCTCTTGTTTTTTTTCCTTTCCGGCAGAATTTTTACAAGTCAACTCGGCAAAAAATCGAGCTTAGATCGTATTAAAAAGCATCTAGCAAAAATTCGACATATCGATACGGAATTATGTCAAGGAAATACCATGCGCTGGGCAATTGCCTGGACATTTGATGAAACGTATCAATTTCCTTCTGAATGTCAATCGCGAAAAGCATTTCAAGCCTTAAAAGTATTTCTTTGGCAAGAAAACTAGCATATCATTTGCTTCTATTAATATAGAAAACCAAGAAGAAAAACGAAACTCCTCGGACACCCATCAGCGTTCCGTTTGATTCGAAATATTCATTTGATTTTATTAAAAATTATCTTGAGACGTATTTGTTCAATGAACTACATGTAAGTTAAAGGATTCTATTTGCTCGGCAAAGTGAAGAACATTCGTTCTTATATTTAACCTTCACAAACAGCTCTCGTTAGTTATCGTATTTGATCAAGCAACGCACGAGATGACTTTATTTCACCATTTTTTATTACCCCGTTGATTTATTTTTAGTTGAAATGGACAAGCCTCAGTTCCTATGCGTGGATATTCGATGCCTACGACAATCTCTGGTCTCATCAACGACGCCGCCGACGTCAGCATACAAATGATGAACCACCTTCCAAACGTTTGAAATCCAATGATGAACCAACGGCGAAAGTGTGCACTATTCAAATGCGTTTAGACGAACACGAAGGTATCTGCACTCTTTATCTACTGTTTGTCGATGGAACAAATGCCGACGCTGCTAATCAAATCGGCCAATATATCAAAAATCAATTTCCAACCTACTGTCAAAGTCATGAATAGAAAATATTGACAATTGAATAATTCATGCCATCTTTGGACACACAATCAGTGAAATTGAGTTCTGTTTTCATTATTCATTCAAAAGACATAAATATATATTTTGCATTTTTTCCGTCTGTATCCATGTTGTTTACGACTGTCATACAAATAGTCCACGTAATTACTCACCTTTACATATGAAAATGATAATGGCGAGAGAAACCACCATACTGTTGTTTCACTACTTGGAGCAAACGTTTTTCTCGTCCGCATTGACTCGTGCATGTGACAATCTGGCAAATAATTTACATTCATCCTGCACTTTTTTTCTGATCTACTCGTTTAACTTTGCCATTATGCAATGATAGATGAAAAGAAAGAGAGAAAAGCACGCCATGATCAGTAAATGTTTGCATACATAGAGAAAGAAACAAGTGCAGAATATAAGATTATGAAGCAAGTTGTGAAGTGTTTTACACGATTTCTCGTTTTAGATTGACGTCGACCGATATCGAGATGAAAAACAAATGATCTAGGTATGTTAATTATAGATTTTGTCATGGTTTCGTATCTGTTTTTTATCTTTACGCTCAATCATCTCTATCAAAAGAAAAACGTGCGCGTCTGTTGATAAAATAAAAAAGGAAAAAAACAAAGAGTGAAGAACGAGTTGTAGCAACACGAGAGACAGAGAGAAAGAAAAAACTTTATAGTAGATGAGAGGAAGAGAAGTAGTCGAACATTTTTCTTTTATTTTCTTTCTTTTTTATATGACGTAGACAAAGAAACGTCGAAAAAGAAAAGACGATGGCAACAGCAGCTCTTTCAATCTCGCGTTTTTCTCTTCATTCTATGTCTCTTTGTAGTAAGAGTTTTACTTGTTATTATATATTCCTATTCGTATGCATGTGTCTTTCCTTTTTTGCTGCTCAGTTATCGCGAAAAAACAAGCGACGAAGTAATCTTTAGTTACTTCTCTAGAGACATTTGATTGTCGCTTACATTTTAACCAAACACGAACATCCGTTGAGGTTAATCAACGGTTAGCTGGTACACATATCTCTTAAGCGTAGACACATAATCTTTTCTTTCGACCAGGGAGAAAACAATCGAATAACATGCTCAATCGACATTGTCATGTTTTATAGTTACTTCATCCGGGTGTGTTATTTATCAGTTATTCTATTTAGAAACAACGAATTTATTTGAACTTCCAAGATGCCATCTTTAACTCCACCACCGCCGCCAGTAAATAATCTCGTAGAACATCCGTTAGTTAATATGATAGCTGGTTATATCGTTCAATTACAAGGCCATCCGATGTTAACTAAACAACGTCTTCTATCATTACGACAAAGTTTCTTAGTAACAGTTGGCTTTCTTGTTCTCTTATATTGTTTAATTCATATTCAAATCTTGTTCTTTTGGCTACTGAAATTTCTTTTTCGGTTATTATTTAAAATCTTTTCGCTTATTTTCTGGCTTCCACTTAGAACTGTTCGTCTATTACTCCCGAAATCTGTTGACTACGATATTCTATTTCCACTGTTTTGGTTATGCTCAATTGCATCATTTTACGTTTCAAAGTTTTCGCACGAAAGCATTTGTCAATTCTACGATGAACATCTCGTTCGACGATATAAATCTCTTCAATATGATCCAGCAAAACGTGGAGACATTCGACGATACTTATTTATAGGAACATTTCTTGTTCTTCTGCTTGTTCAATGTTTATTTATTCTTACACCGATTGCTTTGTCAATTCGAAATCATCATGCAAATTCTAAAGTGTCTTCGGTAAACAGAAATGAATAAGTATGTTGATCAACACGCGAAAATGTTTTCTTTTCATAGACACCTATGATTGTGACCCCAACAACGACTGTTCAAACTACAACAGCTAAATCGGCTGTGAAAGGCGTTGTAGAAACAATGCGTGCGAACGTCTATAAACGTTTCATCAATGCCTTTACAGACGATAATGAAACATATGTCAGTGAAAAACGTAAGCCGTTAGTCAGTGATGAGCAACTTGAAGAAACAGTTAAATCGCTGCGAAAGACGATTAAAAGTGGCATAGAGAGCATAAAACCAACGGATAAACCCAAAGAAGTTCAAGAAGAAAAGAAAAGTTCAAGATTTCAACGATGGATTATTCATTATCTCAAAGCACCTTTTCAGAAATGGGAAAGTAAAAAGCCTGCAGTAATCAACTCAAAAGATGAACAGAATAAATTAGATGATCAAGAAGAGGAGGAATATGTGCAAATCAATTCCTCCTCTTCACTTTTAGATGCAGAGGAAAGTGATCAAGAAGATGAAGATGATAATGATGATGACGACGACGATGATGACGACCTGTCAGGATCTGATGTCGACGACGACGAAGACGATGATGATGATATTCAAGAGGAAAATGCGAGTATTAGGGACAAACTGCAACAAGGTTTAGATTCAGCTAGTAATTTAGGAGAAAAACTTAAAGACAAAGTTTGTGAAAATATCAAAATACTGCTCATACTAGTTTTTTTGTTTTATCTGTCGTAGCTATTTTCATCTTCAAAAGATAAAGACGACGATAATGGTTCTTTGTCAATACAACAACGTCTAGCTGAATCAGTGACAAATATCAAAGAATTAAAAAAAAAGGTTTGGTTTGTTTAGAATTCTTTCGGAAAGTGAATTACGTGATTCAATTCTAGTTCTCTCCTTCGACGACTAACGAGGACGAAGGTTCAGATTCAGATGACGAGCTAATAGAAAATGCTAAAACTATATCTCAAGCAGTAGAAGATAAATTACAAAGCAAAGTAAGTGGATTTATTCATCAGGAAAAATGTTGATAACACATGTCATATTTAGTTACATTCATCTATTGATGCTTATGATGAAGATGAAGAATCTGGATATGATTCGGATGATGAAGGAGAACAATTCACAACATTAACTGACAAAGCGAAAGAAACTTTAGGAGAATCCGTGGAAAAAGTCAAATCGAATGTCAAAGACAAAGTTAGTCATTGAGTTTCTTCGAACATACAGCAACACAAAGATTTCTTTAGGTTGTCTCTGCATTGGAAAATGACGATGAAGCAGTCGTATCAATTTCTGATAAAATCAAAGAGGGGTTAGGTAAACCAGTCGAAGTGGTGAAAGAATTCGGCGAAGATGTAATAACTAATGTTAAAAACAAAGTTCGTTGATGCCTTATTAAAAGGTTTTCTATCAAATATTGTTTTCTAGTTATCATCACCCGCCGGCAATGACAAAGAAGAAGAAGAAGATCCATCGATGATGAATCGTGCACAGGAAGCTGCAGAGAAAGTATGTTCGTTTAGCAGCCGGGTTCACGTTATCACTGAAAAATCTTTCTTAGGTTATCTCCGTTGCCAATGAACTCAGACATAAAACCGTTGATATTCTGGATACTGCCGAAGAATATGCAGAAAATGCAGTGAAACAGTCCGCCGAGTTCATCGTCAAGAAAGCAAAAGATGTACGTAGCTGTTTTCACTGTAGACATAGAAAAATTTGATTTTATCTTCAGGCGAAAAAACGTTTACCAAAACCGGATAAAGTTATTTCAAAAATAAAACACGACGTCGTTGAGCCACTGGAAGCCGAAGCTGCCAAATTGAAAAAAGAGCTGGAAACGAAAGCTGACCAGGTTTGTTTCGCAGTTCGATTTGATACCATATATCGACTTGCCTCTGTTCAGATAAAAACAACCGTCGTTGGTAAGATCAAAGCTTTGAAAAAAGAAAAGAAACCCAAAACATTGAGCGAAAAAGCAAAAGAGAAATTGCAATCCATCGCTGACTCGATTCAAGAAAAACTTCCAGGTAGAAAGAAGAAAGTAAAAGAAGCAAAACTACTCGATAAAATCGCATCGAAACTACAGCTGAAAAATCGAATTAATGGTTGGTTTGATGAAGCTTGGAATATTTGGCATCTAGCAAAATCTAATTTGGCCCATATCTTTATTTCTTCAACAAAACATGCACGACATTTACCGCGCTACAACAGTACATCTTTGTATACAGCATATACAGATGTGAAATGTTCTCCTTATGCCAGAAAATTAAATCGTTATCGACTTGGTAAACAATCCTATCTGTATTTTCTCGATACATATCGGCGACATTCACCATTTTTGGTTTATCTATCAATCTTGAAATCAAACGGGCCGAAATGCTATCGCCATTATCCAGATTCTTCATGTGCATTGATACAAAAGATTCCGAAAGGAAGCTTCAAAGCGAAAATCTATCGTTTCGTTCGATTTTGGGCGTTGATGGGTTTGATTGGTGTGATTCTCAGTGCTATCTATAAATATTATCTAAGTTTGCCAAAATCCCAGTCATCATCACCATTCCGTCAACACAGAGACTTCGATCGATCAACAGATAGAAAACAAACAACAAGAACGTCGTCATCACCATCGAAGACTGATCTATCCAAAACAACGCAAAAGACATCATCCGATAATGAAAACAATACTTCAGCGAATAATAGCACTCAACCATTAGACCCAACAATTGATCAACAACTTCAATTATGGCTCCAACGCGAACAAAATGATGGATTTCGAAATCTTAGCGAAACATGTCGTCTAGCAATTAATAATACATTTCTAAAACAGCTAGTAAGTCCTATGGAGATATATCAATGACCTTCTTTTTCTAGTCAATATTAACCTTGACGTTATATAGTATTTCTCGTTTCTCAGAAAAGCATAGCGATTGACTTCATTGACTATCAACAAAGCTGTTCTCTCGTTTCTTTTCCATGTTGTCTCGTAGGTTGGTTGCTTGTTTGTTTGTTTGTTTGCCATCAATGACGTCTTGACGGATTCCTTTTGGCCAGATGATGAGAACGATAAAGAAAGAGAGGGAGAAAAACGATTCTTTATCCTATATGTGATTTATATGTTCTAGGTTCGAGCGTTTGTTTGTTTCCTCGGAGCATTATCTACGCATAATATCGCAGGAGATTTTCTCTTCCTTTGCTCTCTCTCTCTCTTCTCCTTTTTCTTCTGTTGCTTTCCATATCCTTAACGACAAAATACGCAGTAAAACACTTGGAAAGATGAGGAAAAATGCCGATCGTCGACAGCTCGATGCTGATGATGATGATGATGATTGAGTTTCTTTTACCAAGTGTATGGCGTATGAAACAACAGAAGAGATCCTACTGAAGTAAATCATCATGTCTGCAGACAACCGTCAAGAAGTCATCGATGCGTTCATTGAACGACAACGTGATAATTTTCATCAATTAGTTCAAAATCTATCGATTTATTATCAGAGCTTTCGTTCCCAATTTGCTTTTCCTACGGATAAGTCACACCAACGTTACCTTTATCTAACTGTTCTTTTGTCTCTTATTCTCTTGACAATAATCTATTTAATTGTTGTCGATTATCAGCGTTTAGTAAAACTTCTTCGTACTTATTTTCGTTTCGCTTATTCTTATTGGCAAGTATTATTCACAAGAATAAGAAACAAATTTTTACAAAAAACAACGCCATCGTTGTTGAATATCTTACTAAACCGTAAAAGTCACATCCGAGAGAAATTTTCGCAAGAATTCCTTCGCGCAATCAATCAAGAACTCTTTAATCGAAAGGTAAAGTATCTTTTCCATCTGAAAACATTTGATTATCAAGTAGCAGCGCTATTTTTTCATCTGTATACCATATTGATGCGTGTCCTTAAGCAAATTAACTGACAAAGCCAATTGAGACAAACATGTTTTTATTATTATTAGGACCGACTCAGCGTGGAAACTCTGCAATTTGCTAATGCGAAAATTCATAATGTTTCTCAAAATAATAATAACAGAACTACTGAAACAACTGCTGAAAAGATCGTAATTAGATATTTTAGCTTTTGAGATCGGTATCAAATGAAATTTCGTTGTTTATTCTCTTCGAAGATCATCAATGCAGTGCTCGATATTGATCATTTGACTTTGAATATGGTCCATACATTCAGAGAACAACATTTCTCGGTGGAAACACAGAAATTATCTGGTCAAATTTATATTTTATTAGTTGTTAATACCAATCAGTATTCAATTGAAGCTAATCTTCAACAACTTCACATTTACCCTGTTAACATTATTGATTCGAATCATGTATGATCAAACGAAGAGATTTCATAGCTTGACGATTGTTGTTTTTTAGGCTTTATCGGAAAGTGACAAACAAAATCTTGTTAAATTATTAGACGAGACAATCAGTCGAACTGTTGTTCGATGTTCGTTTCGTCTTTCTGATGCTCAAGAAGCTCCGAATGCAACTCATCTTTACAATTCTTCAACAATATCTCCTTCGGGAGCAACTAAACCGGTAAGAAATTCTCTTTCGTACGCTCGATGTCGATGTAATCTTGCGTTACTCTAGTCGACATCTTCTGCACAACTTACCACATCATCTATTCAAACAACTACGTCTCGTTCTCCTCAATTAAACTCAGCTAAATATCAGCCAAATGACTCTATACCCACTGTATTAATCAATAGTACACATCCACCTTCATATACAAGTGATTCATTGATCAACAAAGAATCGAAAAGACTACTTGTTCGTATTGTCAAAGCAGTGAAACTACATGGTAAATTTATGGCTTTTGTTGCTATTTCACGTATTTTCTGTTTCTTTTCGAATAGATGTTGAGCAACCTTATTGTATTCTCGAGTTAAATCATCCTCAACAAGTTCAGAAAACAAGTATAGCTAACAATGGTCTCAATCCGTATGTTCTACATGACACATTTTTCTCTGGAATGTTCTTTTTCATCTTTTCAAGCTTTTGGGATGAACGTTTTCTTTTCGAATGTGATGATAAAAGTAATCAAATACATTTACAAATCATCGATCGAAAACAAGCAATTAAGCGAACAGGCAATAACTACGGTTCGTGATTTGTCGATTTCTTCCTTAAATATCGCGTTTTATTTCTCTTCTCTAGTCGACACAGTTCATGCGGATGTTTTGATACCGTTCTCCTATGTTCAGAATACGATTTACAAGCAAGATGTTCAATTCAGCCCACAACATCCCGAATCCATTATTCGGCTTGAGGTAAATAAATTTTCTAAGTCGATACCTCGATTATTTGCGTATGAAACAAAAGATTGATAGTCGTACGTAAGGATTTTACCTGGCTTATTCGATGCACTTCGTAGAAAGATTCGCTCTTTCTTAGGTAAGAAAAGGCGGAGTGAAGCAATGATAGTTTGAAAAAGCAAGATCAACTTTAATGATAAGGTTTTGTATTCGATAGACTTGACACATCGTTTCTCCTTTCTTTTTCTCTATTTTATCCGTCACTTTTTGTATTTCTTCTTGCGATACACCTACCATATTTTGCTTTTTTTCTTCATCTCATTTACTACGCTCTTCGTCATTTCGAACGTTTCATATAAAAATTACGGTGCATGAGAAATGTGCAAATAAGTTAACATTTGCTGCTTTTGGAGTATACCAGTGACTAATAAGTAAGCAAGTCATACTTTTCCCATGGTTCGAAGCCGGAGCGAAGCGAATTTAAATCGAATTCTGATCGATCTCTGTACAAGTCCCAGTATACGTTCGAAAAATGAACACATTCGAAATAATCAACGGCAGCATCATCCACCATTACCAACATTGAAGCCAATCAAATCGAATTCTTGTTCAGATTTAACTAAACCAACAACATCTATACTACCAGTGATATCAGTATCGTTAGAGGAAGAAACACCACCTCCATCGCCATCACCGACAGCTCAACCAGAAACATCGAGTTTACCTTTGTCATTTCAACGATCTCCTTTAACAGCAAAACGATCGGTCGAACTAAGCCCAGTTCCTATTGTACAACTGATACCAAAAGAATCGACAGGTTTTGTTGTTCAAACACCATCCTATATGACGCAAACATCTCTATCGCTTTTCGAAACAAATTTAATAAACTCGAGTGTCAGACACCATGGTCATCGATCCTTGGCAAATGTGAAGTCGTCGTCATTAGGAGCATCGCCTTTAGTAGGACAAAAATCTAATACCAGTTCACTGACATCCTCGACAACAAATGATTGGCAACAGCCAGATTTTGCTAGTCGATTACGTGATCGGTTAAAAGCTCGAGGACATCTACGCAAATTTTTCTTGTCATAGCTTCTGTAATCTGTATATTTATAAATATAGATATCTCTCTGAAACTTCTCATACTTGAATGGTTATTTTTCAATAAACCCAAACTTCTCTGCTTTATTCTAGTTCTCAACATTATCTGAAGAAGATGCATTAGCTGGTAAGAGTCATATTATTTATTGCTCTTTCGTACTTGCATGTAGCTTTCTTTTTCGTTGATTAATTGTAATCAATAACGTTGTACATTTCTCTCTTTTTTTTCTATTAATTAATCACAGCTAGTAATGGCTACGATGTCGAAAGTCTAACTGACAGTCAAAATTGGACATTTAATGACCGAGGTAGATAACATTTGTTGTGTAATTCTGCTTTACTCGATGATTTTTGCCTTTACGAATCAAATCTAATCGGCCGACTTTCTCCTTTTAGAAGGAAATCGAATTGATCAAGAATATCCTCATCAATTTCAACAATCAACATCGAATGATTTCTTAACGTCATCGTACGATGTTGGAAGTTTACCAAAACACTATGGTCTATCTTCGACTATATACGATGACGTAAGTTCGATAAATAAAAAGACACGCTACCGACCTACATTGACTCACGAATGTTTTGATGAATGATAATGAACAGACACACAGTCGAGTAGTAGGCAAAATTAAGCGAAAGGACTCAAATGATCGAATCATTCGACATTAAAACGAAATACAATGCATTAAACGAAGGACAAACATGATGACGCATATGTCAACGACTTTGTCAGACATATCCTTAGTAAAAATAGTATCAAGCTGTAAGACCTTGGTCGAGTAGAGACATCGGATTATCTGACATACATGTCTTATCGAGATTTACAAAGTATTCAACATAGTGACATTGTATTTACATAAATATTCGTTTTAGGAACGTGATTATGCATCAACAATTCCTCGAACCACTGGTGCGAGCCCGTATTCCCCATCGACGCCGTTAACACCTCGAGATGGCGCTGGCCTTACAGGTGATAAACCACAAAAGTCCAAGTCATTTATGAGTTCTCTGAAGCATTTAACATTACCTCGACGAAAACATAACAAGAACAAGTATGATACGAGTATGGGCTCTCAAACAAGCAGCATCACACATTTAAACACTCCTCTGCAATCACCGCCGACAAATTTAACATCGCACAGTTTGTCATCTGGTAAGATAGAGTGTTTTTCTCGATTTTTCTCATCTTTCATCACACGAAATCATACATAACTTTCTACAGCTCTACCAGGACCATATCCCGGTATGTCTCAATGCATGCTTAACATACTATTAAGCATGTTGACGTGGTTAAAGGAATAGCATTACTAATTCGCTGACAATTCTATTCTTTTTTACATACGTCGAATAAACTTTTCTTTGATATTTTAGAATATTTTCTGTCGAATACAATGGAGTCAACACCAATCCGTCGTAGTCGTTCAATATCCCAATCATTCAGAAATCTGTTTCGTTCGAGTTCAAAGAAGAAAGCGATGGCAGCCAGAGCTGATGCTATGGGTGAATTCGAGAATGGTGACTTAATATGGACTTTCTCTCTGAACTTAAACGAGCAGTACTGTTTGATTTTTAGGCACGCACAACTATGTTAGTGATAATCGTAGTCATTTATCAACATCGGTTCCAACATCCAAGAAACTTTCATTTTTGCAACGACGAAAATCAAAACAAAAAGCGAAGAATCAATCAACGAATTCTCTCTCAAGTTATGACTGTTCAAGGTAAATGAAAACGATTTTCAGTCTTTCCAAACTGATGAAAACAAAACCTACCATTTTTAGTGCTTCCTCGTGAGTCATATCAATTGATTTTGTATAGTTCTAATAGATGAAAATAACCGAAAAGAAATTAGTTCACTGTTTTGTTTGTATAAACTAACAAAAACTACGAACAGAATCGTGTGACCTCTCGGTGTTGTTCTCTTAGATGAAATTATTATATCCTGATCATTGAAAAATTCTTTCTCTCTGTTTAGAATGGAATCTGTGCGCGATACACCTATCCGCGCTAACGTTGGCCATCCAGTGACGATGACAAAATCACTTGTACGATGATGATGTTCGTTTCTTTTACATTGTACAGTGTGTATGTGTGTAAACAATGCAAGATTGAACAAATTCATGTGCGATGTTCATCTTGTTTTCAGTTAGATCTGATCGAGTCGATTTTTCCCTTTATATTAGATGTAAAAAAGACTAACATGTTTGTTTTTCTCTTTTTTTTGGTTCAATGCTATTCTTTGACGTGTTTTCTATTTTGTATGTATGACGACAATGGTTAGGACATGTGGGCTTTTTTTCTGTCTTATCCGCGCATTTTGTTGTTCTGATTTGGTAAAAAAAAACTAAACTAAACCAGTTGTCATTAATTCATCGAATATTTTATGAAATCCGAATGACGATGGCTGATATCAGCGCAAGGAATTCCTCATTGTTCGTCGTACAGGAAATGATTGACATCTGTTAAGAAGAAGAAAAGCGATTTCCATGTATGGAGTTTTTGTTTAGCAGCTTGAATACGAAAATAAACGATGTTGATTGGTTTTTGATGGATATAGAAATATCATACAATGACAGAAACATTATTTAACCTTGAATACCTAGAAACTCGATGTCTATTTCGTAAAAGATACGCTGCTCGATGACGACTTTCTTCTTTGTCATATTCCGATCGATTTTTCTTTCGGCTTGTTGCTAAGATATCCGATGAATAATTACGTACTAAAAGAAAGGAGAAAAAAAAAGGAACCCATGGCGTATATAAACAAAACTGTTGAAAATTAGCTTTTCTCTTCGTGACATATTCGAGATATACAAACAAACAAATTAAAATTTATGATTGATAAAAACAAACAAAAAAGAAAGAAACGAGGAATAGGAAAAAAAACGGCAACGACATTGCTTAAACAGTCGTATTGTCAAGAGTAAGTAATGTAAAAAGAACAGGTAAAAAACGTTGATAATGTTCCCATGGTGTCCCATGAAATGTCAATTTTGGTTCTGATTTAAAGCCACGATAAAGACATAGAAATTCCACTACACCTAATTTTTCTTCCAAGTAGGTGCGAAGGATATTGATTTTCACTATCCGCGCATCGCGTTGTTTCGCAACTGTTAACAGAATATCAGTGACACTTTCATCCCACATCGGATTAGTTATCGATGGCCACGAGGACGTTTTGAGTACTGAACAGGACGGTGATGATGATGTAAGATCATTTGATAACGAATTTGAGGGTGATGACGATGCTGTTCCACTATCATCTTCTATGGGATTTGTACAGAACGTGACGGAAAGGTTAAGAGGTTGAACTAAAGTTGGCGAGGAATGAAGTCGTTTAGTTGCTGTTAATAAACTGGACGATGAGATTCGTGATTCGTTTCGTTTCCCGTTGAGAATCGACGTTGGTGATAATAAATCATTCGAAATAGATGTAGAAGATGAATGTTCATTTGATTTCAAAGTTGAGATCGGAGATAATTGTTTTGGAAGAATAATACGTTGAAGAGCATTTTGAAGTACTTGCTCAAGATTTTTACCTACTCCTGTTGTTTTGTACCTATATGCAAAGAGAAAACACTAATGGAATTAGTTCGATAATGAGAGGATTTTGTTACCAAATATGATGTGCACTAGACGCACGGGGAGTAAGAAAGAAAGGTGATCGGGAGGTATTGCATTGTGGTGGTCGATGAGTAGCATAGAGACGATATGCTTGAACTGGACATGTCGAGGGTTGACTCGGTGTAGCATACAATCGCGTGGTTTGACTTTCTGGTCTCTGCTGCTGACATACGAGATATTGTTCATCGACCAAAGTGATATCACCCCAAAGTAATTGTCCCAGTGGTAGAATTTTATCTTGATAAAGTTTTGTGATATGTACATACATTTCTAATAGTAAATTATCGGGTTTGGTTCGATCAAAAACTGGTAGAGTTTTGAGATTAACCGATGATAAGAACGATTTCGATTGTGGCTGATGATGGTTGGTGGAATGATTTCCACCGCCTAGTTTTTTCCATTGCTCACGTTTATTGATGATAATTTGTCGACATGATTGAAACAATGGCGATTCCATGAGATTATACTCATATTTTTTACTTTTCAAGTATCGTTCAACACTTAATAAAAAACTTCTCAATGTGTCCGGTTCATATTGGGTTCCATCGAACTTTTTCGTATTTTCGAAATAATGTTTTAAGTATCGACAAAGTGATTCTGCTGGCAGTGTTTGTATAGGTTTTTGCTCACCGAATCGTTCATCTATATACATCACAAAGCGTTTGACATCATGTTTCGTCTTTCGAATGGTATTGTGAGAATTCGTATCAGATGAAATAAGAAATACATTTGGATCAGGATCAACTAGATTCAATGAAGAAAGGTGACCATTATCATGGACAGATTTATGTGCTGCTGACGAGGATGTTCGAACTGATCGACGAGTGGATGGTGGAACTACTGAGGTTTTCTCCACTTCCATGTTATATACTGAAGATAACAGAGAAAGGACTGTGAAATTTGTTGAATGAGATGCGTTACCTGACGATGGTGGTACTTGAATTGATGATAAAGGTCGATCATCATCTGTGCTGGATATAGGCGTTGATGGGTTTGATACTGATTTCATTGATTCATCTGTTGTAGCAAAATTTGAACAGTTGTTATTGATATCATCATTGATACGCGACGTAAATTTTGAATCTTGATCAAATTCCATCGATTTCTCTCGTCGAAATTTAATAACTGTCGTATTCTTTTGATTATTTAATGTATCGACGTATTCTTGCTGTTGCTGATCTGAAGGTAATGTTTGAATAGTGATCGTCGATGATGGTGACTGAGATGGCATCAACATCTTGTCGATTTCTATTTCTATAAGGAAAAAAAAGAAGACGAAGAAGAAGAAGCAGAAGAAAAGAAGAAGAAAAAAAAACGGTCTTCTAAAAAATGAAATATGAGTGAATGGAGAAAAGAAAAGAAAAGTTTACTTATTCACTATCGAATACTTTATACACGTAAGAAACTGAAAGTCCGAATCGACTTGATTTGTTTGAATGTATAAAGAACACGAAAGAAGAAAGGAAAGATTCGAATATGTACGCACACATATACAGTTCTTCTAGTTCAAACTTCTGATTAGCAAGGCATTACTTAATAATTCTTGTCACACATAAATGCAACAGTTGAATTCATGCATCATTTCTAACCCGATGATACGAAAGATAACGGCGAAGTTTTCTTCTTCAAAAAGAATTGTATCAGTGGAACATGATTGGAAAAAGAACAAATAATTCTCTTCAAAGTAGATAAGTAGAAAGATATTTGGTTGCCTTGAGGCAGTATAAAAAAATGAAGACACGATGGTTAGAGAAAGCGGCAAAATCCTCCGCAAAATAATCAAGACACGTTCACTAAAAAAAAGAAAATGATAGAAGCCAAGTAAAAGGAACAGAAGAAGAAGAAAAAGCGGAATAGAGAAAACAGAAAAAGCCTTTTCCATATCATTCACGATACTCTCATATAAACGTTCAATCTGTATCTATTTTTTTGGAGAATATGAGAATACTCTTATTAGTCGTCTTGCCAGTCTCGGATTTCTTTATGCGCATAAGAACGTCTAGATGAGTATGTGTCTAACGTTGGTTTGAATTATCATGACGAGTCTTTCGGTTTTTTTCTCTCTCTCTCTTTCTGTATCTATCTATATCTCTATCTCGTGATCCAAACGCAGAATGAATAGGAAAGAAGAGGAAAACGCAAAGAACTGAATGAACATTGACGAGCAAATCCGTATCAGAGAAGACGGATACAAACTGGTCGAGCAAAAAAGAAGAATTCATCAAACAATCATCATTGTTGATTCTCTTCTTCCGCGTTCGACAATCCGACTTTTAGACTTGTCGAAATTCCAGCAGATAACTCACCTCGGGTAGAGTGATAAAACAAAACCTGATCTTCACGTTGACGATTGATCAGAACTGTTCGATAAACTAAATGGATAAATCGTTGGGAAAAACGAAATCGAACGAAGACATGAGAGTTTTAATTGAAAAATAAGATATTAATGATTAACGTATCTCGTTCTCTTTTTTTTCCTTCGTGTTGTCTAGTTGTTATTCAATAAATGACAACATACGTTATTTATCACTATCAAACATCGATCTACCTTCATTTCTTTAGTTGAATCAACGCAAAAGAAGAAGGAAGATGAATAGAGTTGTATGATGGTTCTTCTTCGTTTCATTGTATCATCATATCATTCTTCCATCGACTATCGGAAGACCGAATTCGATGCGTTACTTTATATTCAAAGAAAGAAAATGGAAAGAGAAGAAGAAAAAAAAACGATATGTATATATATATAGACGAAATAGTAAATGGCTGTTCGAGATAAAGGAATCATCGAAATAACAATGACATTTTCCAATATTTGAATGAATAAATCGAGATATATATGTATAAAAAGAAATCTACAAAATCATCATTCCTAATAGTATACACCAAATAAAAGACATCCAACGAAGAAAAACACAGAAAGAACCGAATTTATTTTCAAGCAAGTATACATATTATCACTTATTTTTCTTACTTTGTTTGGATGTATATATATATATATGTGTATCATAAGACGTGCTTTACATATAGGTGTAATATATGCATGTGTATAAACCTTCCCTTCTCTGTTATTCATTACGATGCAGCGTATATCATATATATATTTTTGAGTACCTATCGATTCTAAGCGAATCGTTGTTATTAATCATTAGAAGGAAAAAAACGAAACTACTGGATAAACGAATTGTGCTTGATATCGTAGATTATTGACAAATACGGTAATTTATCGAATCATCGATTTGGAAAAAAATATTTTTACTGTTATGACATTTGATCATGGGATGTTAACGTGTGTTCGGTCAATATGTGTCGACTATTTGACAGATTTGCCTATTTGCATTGCAATTTAGAATCGCAACGCTCCGACGGTTCATTCTATTTTGATTTTGATTCTAATAATTGAAAGAACAGAATTCACTTCTGAAGGATATATCACCTCAGACCGAATGCAAAACAAGTCGAAATCAGTGATCCAGAAAGCCGCTGTTTATTATCCGATATGATAAAACAATATGAAAAAGAATACTCTTGCAGATGAAAATCTATAAAAACGACGCATCAATCAAATATATACATATCATCAATATTTGTTCGAATGAATAAATTTTCTATTGATACAATTGGAAAGAACTTCTTGAGCTTCCTGCTGAGATTTCAGATGATAGTTTGGTTTGTAATAGAACTAGACTGTATTTTTCTTCATTATTGTTTTAACAACTATGAATTAATTAAATAGAAAAGGAACACGAGGAAAAAAAAAGAAAGTATTGAAGATTAAATAGAGTAAAAGCATTAGAGAAAGGCAAGCAGTGACATAGGAAATATTTCATGTTACAAAGAAATAATAGGGACACAATTTGAGAGAAGAATTCGAACTAGAAGTCAATCAATTGTCATACACACTTGTTCAGATCTTGAGAATCTCTCGTTTCTTTCTTCGCATTTGACTCACCATGATGGACATTCACTGTGTATGATATACTGATAGTTTGAAAGGGAATTCAAGTACAAAGGTTGCATTAGAACGATATGAAATACATATAAAGAAGCGATATTGAATTATTTGACAAAAAAAAACAAAATTCGTTTGTTAACTTCTATTCCTCGAAACAAAATATTACTCGACGTAGCTATTCGAGCGCGTTGGACTGATGATTTCAATCGATGGGATGATCAGTTCTTTTTGACCACACAAGATAGGATTTTCACCTAGAAATATTCATAGGATGAATTAAACTGTTTATGAAAAACAAATCGAACGAACTTGGTTCGGTAGTATTGCCATTGATTCGATTGGGTCGTTGTTTAATGTAACTTGACGGTTGTCCACAACATCTAAATAACATACAGATCGTCTGTAGTCTATCGAATAGATTGTTCATGAATGTAAGGCAATTCAATGAAGTCACTCTGAGGAATCGTACGTCGATATTCGCGTGAGGTATGCGATAGAATAATAGAAACAAGTGGTTCTATCTATACTCGTGTTGTACTAGATAACACCAATAGAATCTTGCAGACTGCATTGTGATCCATAAGACTAATCCTCGTTGGTTCTTTAGTCAAAAGCAATTTCATCAATAGTCATTCTTCTGTTGTAGTAACAATAAATTTTCTCCGACTGGCGGCTTTTCCCACTGCGTCCATACAATATTTACTAGTTATTTGAGTGAGAAACTAGTTTTCTTTCCTCTGTAGACAAACATGTAGGGAGTCGACTGCAAGTATTAATTCCAAGCATGATTTCCTTGAGTAAGAAATTAAATGAGCTGTAATGAGAGTGCTTACAAATTTAAGTAATAAAAAGTAATATTGACCTCTCAGCTAATAACACTCATCTGTACTTATATCACACAAAAAATTTAATAACTTTCTTATCTCGACAAGTTATCAGAGTAAAATATTTTTATTTTATTCGAAAAACCACAACGTCATCATAATAGGTGTTACTTCACCTGGGCGATTTATTTTTCTCTCACATATTGCCCACCTCTTCGATGAATATTACTAATGGTGGGAAGTTTTCTTTTATGTGAGGGAAATGTACTCACGTATTCATACTACAGTCTTTGAGACATTCGAGAATACACTCTTTATCACCAACTGTGCCGAGAATGATCTCTTGCTAGAAAAGATAAAAGAGAATTCTTATCAGTTAAGATATCTGTGTCGATTACATACATCATCAATAAATTCGGGTTGAATTGTTGTCGAATGAATTCCCTCTTGGTGAAAGAAGTCTTTTACTTGTTCAGCAATGTCCATATAGCCGCTTAGATTATGACAACGGATATGTGCTGATGCGATAATCTTCGAGCCACTTAATTGCCATACATGAAATTCATGTACCGCAAGAACACCAGGTACCTGAAAGCAAGAGAAATGACATATTTACTTGCTGAAAACGCATCATTCGAGAATAACTACTTGTTGAACAAGACGTTTTTGAAGATCGGCTACTTCAATATGTGTAGGTGCTGTTTGCAATAAAACAAGTGCTGATTCACGTACTAAATTGAGAAAAGTGTAGATTCTCTTTCTGTATACAAATAAACTTACACAATGGAATAGTAAATATAACAATCATCGAAATCATAAGTAAACTAGCAACTGGATCAATATAGATAACCCAAAGCTTATGAGGCCATAACAGTAGAGCAATGCCAGAAACAATAACGACGAGTGAACCCAAAGCATCGTTGAGTACATGTAGAAAGGCGCCATGAATATTCATTTGCTCACCGCCAGCCGCTAGAAGTTCAAAGGAAGAACATTATTATTTAAATTTGTTATTTTTTACGGACCTCTTGTCTTCTTTTTATGTTTAGCATTTGTTGCTTCATTTTTATCTGATACAGCATGACTATGTGAATGCCCATGATGTCCTTCACCTGTCGCATGTTCATCACTGCATAGATGTTCACTGTCACCAATCTCAATACTATCTTCATCTTTCTTGCCGCTCTTTCTATGCTTCGCTTTTTTGCCTCCTCCACCTCCATGCGAATGGCCATGAGCCATATCACCTAGAAAAATCAATTGATTTGTCCTACAGTGTACTGAAATGCAAAACAAACTGCGAACCTCGAAGAATCACTAGTGCCATAAGATTAATAACTAAACCAACGATACCAATAATAATATAATATCGTAAATATTCCTTTTCGATTGCCCCAGGTGCGATTATACGTTTAATAGCTTGTACGATAACTGTGAAACAAAGTGACATGAGTAGTATACAATTAACCATAGCGCCTAGTTCTTGTGCTCGCACCCAACTAAACAAATCGAAAGACAGAAATACTCTTCTGTTCTCTACATTTTACTTTCCTACCCAAATGTGTTCTTTGCAGATTTTCGCTTGGCGATCTTTACGAAGAGGAAACAAAAGAAGAGATGAACAAGATTTCATTCAATTAAACATCTTTGAGATGCATACTCGTACGGATACCATAGCAATAATCAGAGCACCGCTGTCGCTAAGCATGTGAATAGCATCTGCTGCAATAGCCACCGATTCCATTACATATCCACCAATAAGTTCAACGAAGAAGAAGGCTATTGTAAGACCCAATACTGTTCCTAATCGACAAGTTTTGGAAACATGTAGAGATGCTTTCCCTTCACTATGTGAATGAGAATGTGTATGATGAGCCATGTGAAAATAGTGATGTTACACTAATCTAGTCAATAGATTTTCATACACTAATGAATCGAGAAAAGCAAGAGAATAGATTCTTTCTTAACATTGATGTACCCGCTTGTGATTGGTTACTTTCGATAAACCATATAGAAAAAGAGATTGTTCTGTGTCCATGAAAATTCTGTGAAATATATTTTCCATTTGTTCGAATTCGATAATTTAGTGAATCGATGAAAAATCAGTATTAATTCGAAAAAACTGTTCATTTTCTTCTGATTAGAAACAAAGGGTTGTTGTCATAGCAATTGATTAGGTCATATGATGGCGTTGACATCAATAAAAATTTGTATGTTGTATTGTTAAGTGGTCGTTCGTAGAAAAAAACAACATCGTGCGACATGTAATTCTACATAGTAGATTTTTGCCAAAAATATCCACGAAAAAGTTCTTTCGGTGATTATTTTTCTATTTATTTTAACTTTTAGAAATCAAAACGAATTCATTCAAATGGCTGCACTTGATAAAATGATTATCGATGATCGGGATTTAGCCAATCGATATTTTGGCGAGAATACTCTCGACGATCTCAATACAGACCAATTCTTATTTTCCAAACAAATGAAAACTACTCAAGGAGAGTCATCTTTGAAATCCAGAATGAAACAGGATGCAAGCACAAAAGAAGATGACCTCACAGGACTATTCGGAAGGAGAGTTTATTTAGAATCACCGTCGTTCGACAATAAAGAAGAAGAAGATATGTACAGGTAAGTGACACTAATTAGATTTCAATTATGTTGAACAATCTTCAATAGATACGTCCCAAGTCGTCTCAGTGAAGTTCCAGCACCACTTGTTGAAGGAACTGCTCCAACCATGACAACCGATACATTGATAGATTCGTTGGATTTTGAATTGGACCTCCTCGGAGCAGCTCATACTCGTCATAGATTCCCTTATCGAACAACTACACAACTACTACAAGATTCGAAACCACCTGCGCCATTGACACAATTACAAAATCCGTCGAAACCATTTTCCTTGACAAATGCACCAAGGTAAATCAAATCAGATCATACTCGTTAAGTTTTCAAAACAGGATCAGATTACTGATTAGAGCTTCGAACGCTCGTGTTTTTCTTCCTTTGTTCTCTTTTTCTGACGCGATGGAAACTTAGTTACGTGCATGATATAGGTGTGACAAGAATAATCAGTGTGAATGTGTCGAATTCTAATTAAATCTGACATCATAATTTTATTTTTCTCATAAAAAGGAAAACGCCTGTCGCCTGACAAATAAAGACAATACTTAGGGATTCTTTTTCATTTAGCAGAATTTCACATTCAGATCGATTCAATAGAAAGAAAAAAGGCTTCATTGATTTCGATGTAATCAAATCAAGAGAATAGATGTCGATTTATTTCTATATTTACTTTGATGATAATTGAAAACTAAAAGAAAAGACTCATTTTGACATTGCTAATCGATAGTTTCTTTTTTCATAGAGCCGATCCCCGTCAAGATCCACTTCTTGGCCCATTACTTGCTGAGCTGGACACCATGACTACTCAACAACAACAACAGCAACAATTAACACAGCCTATGTATAGGCGAAATTCCGTTCCGTACGAACCAAATCTTATTCGGCCAGCAGTTCAATCACAATCGAACCATCGTAAGTCTATATTTAGTGCGCATTTACATCAGAGAGACCTTTCATGATCTGCATTTCATGTCTTTCTCTTCGTCTTTATGTTTGACGGGAACCATATGGTTATGTACGAATAAGTGCCATTTAACAAAATGTGTTTAGTCAGATTTGAATTGCTTGTCTTCGATATTGCATCTAGGATGATTCTGAACTCAAGTAGATTTCATTAGCAACTCTTCGAACGTATTACTGTTGAGTATGATTTATAAGAGCGAAAAGAGAGGGGAATAAATGACGAAGAAAGAAAGTAAACGGAGAGAAATGTTGATGTCAAGTAACTTGATTGATTTTCTTGCGTTTCTCTCCACTTTTTTTTGTTTTCTCCTGATTGTAAGAAAAACAACTTTGAAAAGAGAATTGTGCAGTTAAAATGGTATCAACGATAATTGTTCGTGTGTCGACGGTTGCCCGTGTTGGTCGTCATAAGAACAAAAAAAACTCAGAGAAGAAAAAGAATAGACTAACAAACATTAACATAAGTTGATATAGTGAGTAACAACGAGAAGAACTTTTTCACTCTGCAAATTCGTTCGACTTTTGTTTATATTTGTATTTGAATAAACATCATTTATCCGATGTGTTTCATCTTTTAGTATTATCAAATACAGCTAATCGTACAGTTAATGAAGCTTTACTTGAAGCAGAACTCTACGATTCACTTGATCCAAAAGATCATCAGCCAAGCTACGATCGTCAACATATAATATTCTCTGCTCCAAATAGTACTTCATCTCATCAACTTCAACAGCAGCAACCGCAACGACTACCGCCACGCCCCTTAAATATGAATAACGTTGATGTATTTATGCCGACATCTTATGACAATGGTACAGGAGTTTTCTCAAACCAATATGGTGCAAATGATCAAATGTTCCAACAACCGTTACTTAATGCTCTCGGTCAGAATTACGTACCTAACGCAAGACAACACCCTCCTTCCCAACATCAACAGCAACCACAGCCACAAACCGAACAACGAGATAAAAGTTATGATGACATTTACTCACGTATGTCTCCACCACAGCGTTCTGGATACGGCCCTTCACAGCAACAGCCACCGAATAATAATAATAATCATCAATATCAACCACAGCAACAGCAAAGACGACAGCAGCAGCCGCAGCAGCCGCAGCAGCAGCAGCAACAACAACAACAGCATCCACAGCAACGTGAACCATCAGATAAAAGTTACGATGATATATATTCACGAATGTCTCCACCACAGCGTGCACCTTACATGCCAGCTCAACAACAACAGCAGCAGCCACAACATCAACCAAACAACATGAATCCTTATCAACATCAATTACCTCCACCTGTACCTAATCGACAAGCCACGTATAACAATAATAACAATCCTGATAATGAAAATGATCCATTCAACGAATTTCAAGAAATGTTTGGTACAACTCAATATCAACATACATCTCAATTACCACCTCCAGCAGCGTCTCAGCATCAACCTATGCCACCAGGACCACCATCATTCCGGCAGCAAAGAATGCCACCACCAGCACAGCAACAGCAAACTATGAATCCCTCACAACCACCACCATTTCCACAAACAAGAATGCCACAACCACCGGCAGCACCTGTCTCATTTCAACAACCAAGAATGCCACAACAGCCACGAATGCCACCGCCACAATATCCTTCACAACAGCAGTACCAAAAGTCTCCCATATCTACTCAACAAAATGATGAATACCACTCATTCTCACCGTTTAATCAACAGCAACAACAACAGCAGCAGCCGCATCAACAACAACAGTATTACGACGAAGAATTTCTCAACACAAATTATCCTTCAAATAATCAAGACATGTTCTTCACTGATGTTAACGATGATCAATTCGACCAAACCCCTTATCAACAACAACATTCGCAAGGACAACCAATGTCGAATCAGCAGAATGTAGAACAACAAGATGATCAAGATTCCAAGCGACAAGGTAAACTTTTCGATTGAAGGATCATTTTGTTGTTATAAGCTAATAAAATAATCTCTTCTTATTTCAGCTGTATGGAATGAATTGCAACGAACGAACGCCAAAGTTCAAGAAAAGAATGCAAAGAAACGTGAATCAGCGAATCGACGTGATCAAATCTTAAAAGGCACATATGTTCCAAATAACGCGTGGACTAGCACTGGAAGTAAACTTTCTTCTGCTCAATCTAAAACAGGCGCAAAGTCTCCACCCGCACGTCGGCCACCGCTTCCACCTGCCTCGAATACTAATTATATCGAAGAAAACATCGACATGATTAAAAACAAAGAGAACTTCTATCATCGTTATCCAGCGAAGAAATATGAAAACCTATACTCGAAACGCAAAGATCTTTTCGGTGGTGGTACTAACAATAATCAAAGAAATGAACAAAATGGAAACCAAAAGTAAATGACATTTGTTGGTCTATATCCATTCGTTATCTTTTTTGTAGCGCACATAATAACTTTGATCAAGTACAACCAATGAACCACGATACAGGAACCTATTCGAATTCTGAGCGTCAAAACAATCTACCTGTAACTATTAATCTAAATCCAGGAAATCGAACGCAAAATGAAAATCTTCCAGCAACAGTATCAATTCCTCTCGGTAAATACAACTGATCCAATAATCATGAAGAATGTTAGTCTAATTTTATTTTGCTTTTTACAGATAGTCATGTTACTCGAGTTGGTGATAAAATATCTGTGAATATTGATGTACGTCTTCTTGATCTACAAAATATGAAACAACAACAACAACAAAATCATGGTGCAGACCATTCTGGCTTAGATCCACTGGATCGACATATCCGAAAATTAGAGAATAGCATTGATCAAGTAAGATTTGCTTCATCATGATCTATTTCGTAGTTCAGATTATTGTTACACATTGTTCAGTTCAGAAACGAAAACGAAAACCTATTGAGTGTCGCTGGATAAATTGTCCTTGTCAGCGACGTTGGCAGCAGGTAGCTGCTTGCATAGCTCATTTGCCGTATTTTACTTTATGCAACATTTCTTTTCCTCAAAAATATCATCCTTTTCTTACTTTAGTCATTACCACCAACTCATTCTCCTCCTCGACGCAGTTCACCACCGGCATCAGTACCATATCCTACCGTCAATCCGTCCATAGGTCGTTACGGTAAAACGACGATAGGCTCTGGTCAAAGTGCTTACAGTCCACCGAGCTATAAATCAACTGATCATTACAGTTATAGTGCTAAAGCAAGACAGGAGGGTAACTTGATCTACATACACACATGAAAAAAAAATGATTTTCGGTATTGAATTATTGTTTTTTTTTTATCCGATTAGATTCTTATCTATCTAAACTGACACAAGTGAAGAAACCTGTAAACTATAAACCGTATACGGGTCGTGATTTTGAACAGTTCAAAAAGAATTATGCATTTGGCAGCGGTTATCTAGGTTTTGATTATGACAATCCTGAATACAAAGAAAAAGTATATAATATCTTTATTTGTCAAATCTCTCAATATTATATTTCATTGCTTTACTTTTGTCTAGAGTGATAAAATATCAAAAACTAAAGAATATGCTCAACAAATCGAACTTCGGAATAAGAAAATACTCGCAGATGCTCCTCGTCGTACATTATCAGAAACACGAAAACCACAACCGGAGCCGTCAGTTACTCAACGAGTATGACCATTATCCTTATTCACATACATGTATATTTCTGATCTCGATTCCTAAATAGGCATTGGAATATGCTCGTGTATCTACTCGACACAAAATTCCGCTAAATTCTGCCACTCAACCATCGCCACCATATCGAGATGAACCTGCGCCTCTTCAACGTCGACCAACTGAAGTACCTCGTCCACCACCTGTACCAAGACAAGTACCAAAAGTAGTACACAACGATGATCACGATTTAGTCGAACGTTTAGCTCAACGTCATGAACGTGATAAAGCGCAAGTACAAGGTATTCTAAATCCATCTCAGAAACGGCGTGAACAACTGTTCGACGATGATGATCGCCGAATGACTGATATTGAAAAATTAGCACAAGAACGAGCTAATCAAAGACGTTCATCACCACCGAAACAGCCGCATCCACCTGCACCATCTACCAATGGAAATGCTCGACGGCCGTTAAGATTTGACAAACCACTTTTACCCGACGAACCAGTAGCACCTTCACAGCCGCAAACTCGTGTGGTACCACAACCACCACCTCAGCAACTATCTACACAACAACAACCTGCTCAAGCAAAATCACCCGCTCCCCAAATACAGCATACCACTGAACAGCAGCACACTATCAAACAACAACATTCCAACGTAGACCAACTAGCTAATCGACACAATGATGAAAAGATCCTTATGGAAGCTATTCGTAAAGAACTCAGTGAACGTCCATTAGATGATGACGAAGAACTAGTTGTTGTTGAACAATAATACTGATATTGAACTTTATGATGACAACCCTGTGATAATTTCATTGCTAACTATTATATTCCTTCACGAAATCTTCTGATATGCTGCTATAGTATACTCAAATCTACATCACATGTTCGCATTTGCTTCCAATAATGTCACAAAAGTTTCTCTCTTTGTATATATGTGGTCTTTCAAATACATATGTCTGTAAAGGCCTCGTTTTGTTTTTCTTTTTCCTAGTTGCTAATTCTAACAACGGTTTTGAAAATTATTTCTTAGCAACAACAACAGAAAATCACGTATTCTTCTTCTTATTCTTCGTTTCCTTTTTCTTCTTCTTCTTCTTCTCGTGTGCCTATTCGTTGTATTTCTCACTCGATTGTTAACTTGACGTGCAGTGCAGTTGAAAACGGGGATGTGCTTTTTATGTTATCAGACTGTCTAAGAACATTGCCAAATGCGAATTAAATTTGTATTAGAATTATCCATTTGTTTTTCGTATTAAATTTCTAGTATAGAGCGTAGTGAAATTCCAGCCATCTTCATTCCCAAGTTCACAAAACAGAGTACTAAGTTTGTGCTTGTCAACTAGTCATAACGCCATTCGTTCATATGGGAATGAGAGTCAATGTGAAATCCGGTGGCCATGACGTAGTTCTTTTCCGGAAAGAATTTGAATGAATGACATTTAGTCATTCATAAATTATTCATAGATATCGGCGAGATCAATAGAATCACAAACAGAATGATGGTCACTGGTTTCGAAAAGGTTACGTGAACGTTTTGAAGTAATCAAATGCACATAACTGACGATGCGATGCAATCGTACAATAGCCGCTCGATTGTATATTTTACTGAAAACTTCCAGTTCGATGAATTCAAGTGTTCTTTCAATCGTTTAGTTTGTATATATTTAAAAGCAATAGAAACTCTTGAAAAGAAATATTTCCAATAAATCAGACCGACTTATCAACCCCAGGTGTTGCTTTCACCAGTGAAATGTTAGAAAATAAGAATTATAACAATTTTAGTCGTCGTCGTCAACTAGTTATTCATTCTTTAGAGAGTGTATTGTTTAATGAACAGTTTGAAAAAGCAAAAAAGTGCGAGATCTGCTTCATTGAACATCAATTGTGAAAGGTCATCATCATCACAAGAAAAATAAATCAATCACTCATATCAATATATTGTGCGTTGTTGTATGAATGAAAGGGTTCGATTTCGTTTTGAATTTACCCTCTCATTGATATATAGAGTTGAAGGTGGATGTTCTAACTTGATCTTCGAGATAACATTTGTAATCAAGGCCTAGACTCGCTTGATTTAAATTTGAGATTTTTCAAAGATCAACTCTTTTTACCAATTAATTGATTTGATTTTAAATCGAATAATTGAATTTTAATCTTAACCTTTGTTTAATGCATTACACTAATCCTTTCCTATCCAGTTTACTCTCTTTCTTCAAGAATAAAGAGAACGAGAAACGATGTAAATCGTCTTTGATTGTTACATCATTCGATTCTTTATCCATTGGCACATCCAACAAATATTTGACCACTTTTACAAGAAATCCTTAACTATCTCCATCGAACACGAGTGAGAATCTTGAAAGTGTGTATATGTTCATCTCTCTCTCTACTGCCAATTAATTCTGAGGTTTGTTTGTTCTTCGTCTTCATCACATAGTCTGGTCCACTGTGCATGGACATTCACTCATCTATGTGTTTATGATGACGACTAGACAAGTTTCAATTGTATACATGTGCAATAGTGTCAGCTCGGATTAGAGATGAACATCAACGCATTGTCTGTCTGTCTTTCTAATTAGGTGTATTCACTCATATGATATATAAACACAAATTCGAAAAGAAGCAAGAAAATGCGTGTACACACTGTCGATTTGAAATTATAATTATTCATATCAAAACCTATTTAGGTCATAATTTCAAACGATTAAATATTCTCATTTCTTTCTCCTTTCATCAAACTATAGAAATCTGTTTGTCAATGTGGCAAATATCAATGATTACATCATCATTTCTAATAACCGTCGATATGAACATTGTATATTCTTTCGTCTTTCTCCCGCCAAGCTCATATTCAATGATTTGTCGAATGTTTTACACAATGTAGGTTAAGATGTAATTTCACACATGACAAAAAATGTCAATATTCTCTTTGCTCCTTCCACCTGAAGCCAAAGTGTCCTCTCGATGTCGAATTTCTTTTACATAAGAGTTCATCAATGCGAGTTGCTTCTGTCTGTTTTCTTTTTTTGATTTCAAACATAACCTCATCAAATAATTTACAGAACTAAAAAGAAAGAAAGAGAAGAATCACAAGAGAAGAGAAAGAGCAAAAGATAAAGGAACACAAATATTGGATGGGAAGAAGCGAAGAAAAAGAGAGAGAGACAGAGAGGAACATTTGAATACTCGTAGGTGATATTAACCAACAGAGAAAAGATAAAGAAGAAGAAGAAGAAGAAAAACACATCTTGTGTACGTCTGTTTGAATGGAACGATAGAATGCGCTAAAACGATCCAAACTGTGTGCGTACACGACAAATAGAAAAAAAATATATATAGAAACTCTATTACAGGATCTAAAAAGAGAGAAAAAAAGGAAAAAGTGATCTTTTTTTTATACATAGACTGCATCGTCTGTACTTCCGCCCATAAGCTCATTCTCGTTACATACACCTGATAGATGAGCTTCTTCGGTATAACCACTTGATATCGAATACATGGAATTCGATAATTGGTTTGAATTGTCTGAATGTGCATGTGGATGTGGAGATGATGGACGTCGACTACCATGACCTATTTTCTTCGGTCCATTTGTTACTTTATGTTTAATAACTAGATTGCAATCAGCAATTGGAAAGAAGACATCTTCGTTGGTCATCGATGCCGCATTTAAACGCGATATTGTATAACTCGGCCGAGGTGAACTCGTGGGAGATATGGATGGCGTTCGTATTTCATTCGATGACCGACTTGAAGATGATGAACATCGACTTTTACATACTGAAGAAGACGATGAAGACGAGGACGAAGGTGAACGAGAGCCACTGGTAGATATGATTGACGGGGCATACGATGAAGGCGATTCAGGCGGTGGAGTTGTTGAACTAATCGTAGTTAGTTCAATTGATTTTGGAATCGTTTTCTTAGTTTGTTGCTCGAAATTTTTACGTAGTTCAGATACATTAGGATATGTAAATGATTCCGTGTCTGAAGGTGTGCGAGCTGACATTGCTGAAACCGTGGTCAGCGAGCTATTTGTCATTGTCGTCGATGCTTGTAATGCTTGAGAGAGATCAGTTGTAACAGCTCGTGGCCGAGACGGACGATTGTTTGCTGTCGTACTAAATTGTTCAATACGCTTACGAAAATTCGGTTGATGTTTATGATAGTTTAACAATGAGATAGGTGATGATGTGTTTAAATTGATTGGTTTCGTCGCGTGGAGAGCAATAGGTTTTCTTGGCAATGTGCTTGTCACAAATGTTTTGGCTTTATCTAAACTTTGACCATGCTGTTTTTCACGTAATTGCTTCCAATTGATAGTCGGATATTGATTAGAGGAACTTGAAAGAGATTGGTCGGTGCTTGGTATTTGCTCTGATGATTCATCAATTTGAGAAAGATTTGCAAAATGCTGCTTGGTAGGAGAAATTAGCAGAGAAGACGACGTTGGAGACGTTGTGGTATTTTGTTCTGAGTTAGATGATGAATATTGCTTGTGAGAGGATGTTCCCGAGATCGCTGAATCACACGAAACTGCTTTACTTGAATGAAATGTTAAATGTGCTGGTGGTTCACTATAATCTGAGCCCACAGCAGAATCAGCATAGATATCTTCTGTTGAACTATCCCCTACAAAAATAAAGATAATTAGAAGATCAATATTTGTAATGGGCTGACAAAATAATTAAATCAATACTCACCTTCATCATGCCATTTTGAAAGACCAAAACAAGAATGTGATTCAGGTAGAAATTGTCGAGTTGAATGGTTTGCTGTTGTAATTAATCCTCCATGTCTTGCCGACGTTG